GATGTCGCACCGTCCACAGCAATCCGAAATCCGGAACTCAATTGTGGAGCACGTAGTCGGCGAGGTGGTGGTGCCTGGGCGAGAAATGGAGACTGGATGGCAATTTGATGATCAGCCTGGTGTGACAGTAATTGACGATGAAGGCAGGCGATGGAAAACTGGGCGTGGGGGAGGAAGACAACATTGTTGCGACTTTTCCATAGTCGCCAAAATAATAGTACCCAAGAACTAATAGAGGTGATATCCGCATTGAATATGAGATGTCGCCAAAACAATGAAAGATTAGTGGTGAGAAGGAGACCAGGAGGCAAATCGAGCCCTACCAAATTACGCAAAGCAACTGCCACCGGACAGCGAAGAAATAAATGCTCGGCTGATTCACCTTCTGTGGACTCACAAATTGGGCATAATTCTTCAACTTGTACTCCATGGCGATTCAGGTCTTCCCTGATAGGCAGAATGCGCAAAATAATACGCCAGAGAAAAAATTTGAGCTTAGGGGAAAGGGGAAGCCCCCATAGCTTCGGCCATAATTTTTGATCGACTGGGGAGGCCGAAGAAACTTTTGCCGCTTTTGGAGGCGGTCGCGCAGCCATAGCCAGACGGTAAGCAGATTTGACGGAGAACAGGCCATCGGATTGATAATGCCAAACGTAACGGTTAAGACCCGGGGTCAGAGGAATCGGAATATTTAGGATCGCAGAAACTGATTCATTAGTAAAAAATTGTGAAAGTTCATATCTTATAACAAGGGTTTTGTTTATTTATTTTCACACCATACTATTAGAAAGAAAACATTATCTGATTGTGAAGAATAAAAAACGATTCACCAAATCGTATACCGAGGAATGGCTTGCAAATTGCAATGTCAGAATAGAGACGTGTTTGACCGTACAGATTATATACGGAAACTAGCGCCGCCAAAAGTTCAAGTTTTGCGAACTTTCTTTTCCCACTCTAAAATGGGATAATAATATTGAAGGAAGAATATATTTTTATTATTCAAACAAACAAGGGAGAATGAAGAATATAATTCTACATAAGTGGGCAAATGGACGAACTTTACAAATTACAGTGCTTTTAAAGTATCGCTTTTAGTTTTTGTTTTTATGGTACAAGTTGAAGCTATGCATTTTACGTTATGGTATAATTTTAATTTGTACCAATACTTTCTAGTATAAATTATCTTATTGTACAAATTTAATTGTACATTTGACGTTTTGGTACTGCTTCAAGTTATACTTTAAAGCACCAATACTTTAAAGCATAGTAGTAGTGATCGGGCAAATGAGGTAGCTTAAGCTTAGTTAGTAAATTGATGATTATTAGTGAGATACTTTAACATTGATTAACTTATTGTATTTGTAGATGTGTCACTTATGATTCCAATTGTTGGGAGAAATCTAACTATTGACTTCTTTCATATGTAATGTCAAATAAAAATTAGTTTATGAATTGGGAATTAACATAGTTCCATCATATGCTATTGTTCATAGTAAAAACACGAAAAATTGAATATTAGCCATCTAAATAAAGTTTCAGATACCATATCAATCAAGAACCATTTCTTCAAAAAAGAGTGAAATTGTTATTGACGCGCAAACATGATGCAAATGAAAAGACCCAATTTTACATTTAATACCAATGTCCTATGGTAAAACAGAAAGCTGTGAACAAGTTCACAGGTTTTAGTCTTTTCTTAGCAGTCCATCTACTATATATACTTCAAAGCATTAGTGTTTACAGATACAAGTTATACTTGTACCATAACGTGAAAAGTACAAATTTGATTTGTACGCAAAGAAATTTTAACGAAAAATGTATATGTACAGACTGGATTATTATCTTAACGTTAAAAGGACAAGTTCAATTTTTATCATAAAAAAATTTACATAATAAACATAGTTACAAACTGAATTCATAACATTTCATACTATAATGTTAAAAGGAAAAGTTCATATGGTAATTGTTTTTTATACCGAGTATTTTAAAATTCCTCTTCAAAATAGTGGGACAAAAATCAACTCATGAATTGAATTTCATATAATATAAGCATCTTGCATCACCCAAAGACTCACATTTTAACATTATTAATAATAATAATTCATGTTAACATACAAAAAAACTATATAAAAAATCGTCTAAATTAGTTCCAAAACAATGGAGATGTCGGCCTTTTCAACTTTCAAGCTGGGTCGACAGAATAATTTAACTAATGATAAATGAGCACGTGTGATATCCTAGAACTATATTAACAAGTTTTTTCTATGATTGGAATTAAGTAATTAGCAAGTTGGATAGAGCATTTGTGTAATATTAATATATGGCGGGTGACGTGGCGGCTATAATTTCATACATTCAATCGGATGGATTCAATGTTCCAGGTACAATCCGTACGTAGAGTTGACGTACACGATGACAATCCCATAGCCATTACTTTTTTAAGAATTAATCCTAAATTAACTACATTACTCTGTCTCACTTCTACCTCTCTTCTTTTTCCTGACAAATTTCGTTAAGCTCTCCGACCGAACCTGCATCACTAAACAAAAATCAGTACCACTAGATGCAAATCGGTACCAAAACACATACATGTCTTCTAAGTCAGCACCAAACTCTAACACATAAAGAACACAAACGTCACATACTCAAAATTTTGTGTCTGACTCAACACGGATAAAAACAACACATTTTAGACGACGAACACTTAAACTCGAATTCAAATTTGTTTTCTTGGAACCAAATTTTATTGACCGATGTTCCGATCCAATCTTCCAACAGTTACATCATTCACTTGTATATTAGACACAAGTTAATACCGTTTTACCATGTCATGCTTAACAAAATAACTAAGGTTTTTTTTTGTTTGTTTGTTTTAGATGAAGTTACAATTAAATTTATAATTTTGTTTGCATCCCTCGTCGTCACTCGTCACCAATAAGATTGAGTCATGTTTGTTCAAATTAAAGGGGTCAAAATATGTGCACGAGGATGTGAAATCGATAAATTTCACGGCGAAATTATTAATAGATGCTGAGTGGTTATGTATTTTTATGATTTTTTTGAGGAAATCAAGTTGTATTAGACTTGGTATCTTAAACACAACATGCAAAGCTTCGTGTTTGATGGCTAGGGGAAAAAAAGGGGTTGATTATTGGAATATTATGAGCAATGTAGTCAAAATCGCGTTTTAAAATTTAACAATTTACACTTCTACATTTCTAGGTCATATAACGCTTCTATGTAGAATCACGCTTTTCCCTTACAAGTGTAGTCAAAATCTATGTGTTAAGTAAAGGTTAAAAACATACGTTTGTTATGCTTCTAGCACTGCTGCTACGCAAAATCACGATTTTGACTGCATGTCTGCATTGATTATAAGTCGAGCTATTTTTGCGATAACACAGTGTTGTTCATGATTTGAACACCATGAGATTAGCTTGATTTGTGAATAAGGACATAACACGTAGCTAATTAGGACATGTATCAAGTAATAACTAGCAATCAATTGAACTGAGTCCTTAATTTTCAGTTGAAGGAAATTGTGAGGAACACATATAGCAAAACCAAAACTTGATCTACCACATGGTTAATTGAATGTTAAAAGAGAAAAACATGAATATAGCTAGGGCTTGTCTTTATAGAAATCCAATTCCAAACTGAACTCTCTCTCTCTCGATTTCATTTGCCCCATTTGGTTCCTTCCCTTTTCTCATCACCGACAAATCAATTACTTGCTTCTGACTCCAAATATTAATGGAAAATCCACAGCCAAGTAAATAATATCATTGTGGGTTATTGTACCTTCTGACCAAATTCAGATAACTAAGTCAATACCCTTTTTGAGTGTGAACATAGCATAAGTCGGCAGACGTGGATATATGCTTGAGGAAGCCCTAAACTAACCCACATGACAAAACCCTAAACAACATGGTAAAAATGAGGTCTTTATCGTTATTAGCATTCCCTGTAGATGATAAATTTGGTTTTTGACGCTAAAATCTTTCTGGGGTCATTTGGATCCAGGATTTTAATTTGTGGGATTTTGACTCAAATTACTGGTTTAAAAACCCAGGTTTTTAATTTGTGGAATTTGTGTGGGATTTTAAAATAGCTGATCACCATCAGCTATTTCATAATCTCACAATTGTGGGTTTCTGAAATCTCTAATATTTAAAATCTCTTATCATATAATTGCTTTCCAAATGATTGATTTTAATTAAAATTTCACACTATGTAGGATTGTGCCCAAATCCCACACCCAAAACCTGCATCCAAATTACCCCTCTATGTTCTCTTTCAAAAAAGAAGTTTGGATCTTTTACTACGTACGGACCTTTTCGTAACTAGTTTAAATAAGTTACTTGAACAATGATATCCTTATGTGTTGCTAACATCCCGAACCTTTTTCCGACAAAATAATGTTTGGTTTGGGGTAGGATTCTCACAATTTTTGTCTTGGGTGCATATCAAGTTGACTTCTCATTGGTCACTCATCCTTGCAGTGCGCCACAGTGACTTTGGAATTCTCACAATATCTCCTTAATTTCACCCCAAAAGGCATCTTGTCAGTTAAGGTTGGTACCTTACTTATGAATGAACCATGGATCTCTCTCGTGCTTTGTCGATGTGGGATTCGCTTAATGTGTTACATACACCCTCTCCCCTTGGAACTCTACATCCTCGTTGAGGTTTTCCCCCACCATCGTTCAAGAATGACACATAAAGGCTCTGGTACCATTTGTAACATCCCAAAATTTCCTCAACAAAATTTTGTCCGCCCGCTCCCTCACAGTTTTTGCCTTGGGTGCACATCAATATCATGGTAACTTCCCATAAGATCACAAATCCATGCAGTGCTCTACAGTGACCACGTTTAACTTCAGAATTCTCTCAAAAACTTCTCCATTTCATCCCGAAACACATCTTGTCACTTAACATCGCTTTTTACTTATGAACCATATATAGATCTCTCCCGTGGTTTATCAGGATTTTCCCCTAGCTTAATAATATGATTTTTTTTTTTGAAGCAACTTAATAGTATAATATTCAAGCCATATGAAAGCCATTATCCAATAGTAAAGGTGAACTCTCTAGAGAACTGTTGTCGTGGCGGCTCTGGGCTTTGGCCTTTTTAAGGCCGATCTACTTTGAATTCTTCGAATCAGAATTTTACACCTCTCTCTCTCTCTCTCCCAAGCCATATATATCTCTTCACACACGAACATCATTCAACATTTTCCACCTCTCTCTCTCTCTCTATCTCTCTGTCGTTAACTTCAACCAGGGGTCACCTCTTCCATCATATATCGCAAACCAGTTCCCATTCAAGCAAAAAGAATTTCATACCCCCACAAAGGGGAAAAATTAAACCGAAAAAGAAAGCAGAGTTTAAGACCCACCAGCGGCAGAGAAAGGAGAATTCGAGGGGTTTTTATATGAATAGTCGGTTTGGTGGTCTTCTTTTTCTTCTTCTTCGTGCTTCGATCAACATCTAGTATTAGTTCATGTGCTTGTTCGTGAAGGTGGCGGACCAAAAAGGCGGCAGCGGCGGCGGCGGCGGCGACAGCTACTTCCCACCTTTCACTTCTTCCTCCTCTTCTTACCCCGGTGGCGATCAGGATGCTGCGGAAAACAGCAATAATCAACAACAAGATGAAGTCTTTTTGCCGCTCCCGAACAACCCACAAGATTTCGCTCCTACCCATCTCCATCAACAATTCCAATTCGGCCACCATAATCCGAATCAGCAGCAAGTTGCGGCAGGGCAGGGGAATTTGATGATGAGTATGGATTCTCCGACTGGGTACAGAAGCGCCAGAGAGATGTCCGCCATGGTGTCCGCTCTCACCCATGTCGTCTCCGGCACCGGAAGGTGGGGTTATGGCGGTGGAGAGGCGGCGCCAACATCGCCGCCGCCGCCGCCGCCGCCGCAGATGTCGAGTACGTCTTCAGGGGCCTCTGCAGGCTTGTGGAAGGCGGCGGTCGGGATGAAGAGAGAAAGAGAAGAAGAAGATGCGGCTTCCGTCGCTCAATTGATGGAGCATCGGGCAAGGAACTTTCGAGATTTCGGTCGTAATTTGATTCGTGCCGGCGATTCTTCTTCTTCTGGTGGTGCAACTGGTAAATTTTTCCCCCCTTTCTGTATTACTCTGTTTCTCCTTCCCCTGTTTTCTGCTCTGTTTTTTTCAAAGTTAGGGATTCGTATTTTTTGAATAAGATAATTTACTTAATACATACGTATACGTATGTAATTATCATTCCAATCAATAAAACTAATGGAACAGTGATTTTCTGCAATACCATGAGCAAGAAGAAAAAAATTTGGAATCTCAATCTCTTTGCTTCAACGCAATGGAAATTAATTATAAAATTATAATAATGTTTTATCTTGATTTCTAATTCACATTCCAATCTCTCGATACCAGCCCAAACAGAGGACTCATCTCATACACCGGCGACTCCTACGGCGGCGGCGGCGGCGGCAGCCTCGCCGGCTTCAACGGAGTCTGGCGGCGGCGATGGAGGGGAAAAAAGGAGGAGATACAGAGGAGTGAGGCAGAGACCGTGGGGGAAATGGGCGGCGGAGATAAGAGACCCGCATAAGGCGGCGAGAGTCTGGTTAGGGACATTCGACACGGCGGAGGCGGCGGCCAGAGCATACGACGAAGCCGCCCTCCGATTCAGGGGAAGCAGAGCCAAGCTCAATTTCCCCGAAAACGTCCGCCTCCTCCCACCGCCATTGCAGAACGTCAATTCCCCATCCGCCGCCGCCGCCGCCCGCCACATCGTTCCCCGCCTCAATCCTGCTCCGCCTCAGCCGTCTTCCCAATTCCGTGGATTTTCCCAGCCGGCGGCGCCGCCGCCGCCTCTTCAGGCGGATTTGGTGAGGGATTATTGGCAATACTCCCAGTTGCTACAGAGTTCCTCTGCTTCCGGCGGCGGATTTCATCCGCAGCAGCCTTCCACGCTATTAGAGCAGTTGCTATACAGCTCGCAGGCTCCACCGTCTCAGCCGCTCGTTCCATTGCCGTCGACGACTTCTCCACCGTCAGTTCGCGTTCAATCTCCATCTCCTACTTCTTCCTCCTCTGCTTCGTTTCCCCTGCTTTTCGCGGGTCAGCAGCAATCCGGTTATTACCACCGGCCGCAACCGAGCCAGAACCCGAACCCGAGTCAGACCCCGACCGCCGGTTCGGATTTCCCGGTGCCGCCGTGGTCGCATTCGAGTCATTACCCGCCGTCTAGCGGTTGATTTTCAAAAAAAACAGTTTCCTTTTTACAGTTTTCACTTTTTCTCATTGGGGTAAGAATTTAGAATATTCATATAGTTTGATTTTTTTTTGTTGTGTGTGACAATAATTCTTTTCTAAAGATATGTTGAGGCTATACAAACGGATAATTGCTGGTAGGATTTTTCGTTCTTCTGACGATATTATTATTGTTGTCATATTTATTGTATAAACTATAAAGGAAAGAAGATGACAAATATTGGATTTTTTTTTAGTAGGAGATTGCATCATATATAGATGGATACGTTTCATTCTCAAGATTTGCTTGATGTCAACATTATCCATTACGTATCCATGATTTCTTTATGTCTTCTTTGATTGACGTACTTGCGGGAAGTTGATGAATTGTAGCATCTTATAAATCGGGTAGAAGTGTAGATATTTTGCTTATACTTTTTAGACGATTTACTAGAAAATGGACGAAATTGAATAGTTTTGGTTTTGATTGATTATATTCTAAGCATATTGCGATTTGACTATTGAAAATGTGTGGAGTCGTGCTTGCGTTTGTCTCATTCTATGATTAAGTTGGATTGGTGAATCTTAACTTTTATTCATGTGGTTTACTTCCAAGTGTTTTGATTGAATGCTATTAGTATTTAATAATCATTTCATCTTATCTTTGATCATTGTATTGGATTTGTTCAATTAATTTGCTTAGGATTCGTCAAGTTGATGGCGAGGTTTAGGCCGATTACGATTGTGAGTGCTGACGAAAAATAAATTTATGCAAATGGGCAAGTGTGGATCAACTACCTCGAGGCTTATTGCATATATGAACTAGCTTATAACCCGGCCAATTGACCGGAATTTTCATATTTATATTTTTATGTTACGTTTAAGCTAATCAACCGGTTTAATTTTATTGACAATCCTTCGATCGAAATGATACATAAAGTATAGGTTTAACATTCGGAGAAATACCATCATCATTTAAGAATATAAAATATAAAATGTATCATTAATTCAATTTTCATAATGATCTCATTCAAATGCTATTGGTTAGTTGATTGTCAAGAAAGAGGGTATAAAAGCTCAGTGAAATTCCACACGACCCATAGATAGTTTGAAACTAAATCTTAAACCTCACAATCCTACATAAGGGTTTAATACGCTCCTTTTATGAACAATATGCCACTAATCAAAAAGAAATGGAGAGTTGTTGATTCAAGTCAACTATATACTAACAACTCAGCTAAGAGGGGACCATCAAAACTTGAGAGCAAACGACAAAATTAGGGTTATCTCCAACATACTAATCGACTCAATCAAAGTAATAATAGCACAAAATTAGACACTCCTTGTCTATCAGTTCCAGTAGATTGAATAAAGAATCGACCTACTTCAATAAATCAATCAAAGTAATAAGACACAAAATTAGACACTCCTTATCTATCAGTTCCAGTAGATTGAATAAAGAATCGACCTACTTCAATAAATCAATCAATGATTCCTCGTTTTAAGATAGAAATAGGCTGTGATAGATGTAAAAACCATAAATCAAGCACATGAAACTCTACAATGAAAATTGAAGTATCAAGCACCATAAAAATACATACGATATACTTAGTGGGCTTGCTAATCATGATGGGAAGTCCTGCGATTTTTAGAGAGTTGAACTTCGTGTATATTTTGTATTCAAAAAGACACAACAAATTTGTTCAGTGTAAATTGTTGTGATTGTTGTCTTTGTTTGAAGAGACCTGGGTTCAAATCCTAATGTTGATATTTTTTATGTGAGATAAATAATTCATTGTAAAGACAAAAATATCCTTCCTACTTTCACTCTCATTGCAGGAAATTTAAAATAGAGAAAAATACACAAAAATGTACTATATATTATTGGGGGTGATAATGGACTGACTCATTGGTAATTTGATTTATATAGATCATACTCGAATGGATCTATATATTTGTGGTGGTTTTGAGTTTGGATCGAGTTCAGATGACTCTATGCCAAAAAAGATAACATATAGATCATCTCCTTAACTATATTCTACCCAATTACACTTTTACTATTGGTGTTTGCACTTTTCTATTTGTTTCATAATAAAACAAAAAATAAGGCAAAAATTGTATTAGAATCGGATATTTTTTTCTTTTTCTATACCCAATATTACGAGTCCAATTTATATTTAAACAAAAAAGTTGAATATGAATAAGAAGGAAACTTAAGCAAAGCCCAAACTCTATAACCGTCGATTACTAGTTGGATATGGCGAGATTAACTGATAATGCAAAATTGACAATCAATCATTGGTTAATTAACCACCGATTAACTGTATAGTTATCAGTTAATCCGGTAACTAGTAAACCTGTTAACAACCCTTTAGCTAACAGGAAACGTGGAAATAAAAATGCAGAAGAGAACTTCATTCATTGTTCCTAGATATCGCTGGACTTGGCCGGTGGATACGTACCAAAAAGAAGCTTTGCTACAAGACCATTTTAATTTTATTTTCCCCATCCACACACAACAAACAAGCACGTGTCGCCGTCCGAACAAATTAAACAAACAAACGAAAAGGGGAAGCTTACAAACTTCTTGAAAACGAAACGTGGTAAATGTGCGCATATTATATTTAACCATTCTCGAGTCGACCTCTAGTGTTCTGCATTACCTTCTTCTGTATCCAGATCGCGCTCAGCAGTTCTTAGATTTCGACTTGGAGATTTCATGTTAGAGAAAGTGAGGTTTAGATCAGGCGGTAAATGGTTAGTGGATTTTGCTTAGTTGTATTTTACTTAGTGGTTATAGTATAACAATATAGTTTTGGGTTTTGGCTAAGGGGGAAAAATTCCAAGATTCCAAACCAAACAAAGTAGCAATTCCAAAAATCGTTCCAATGTATATCTATTGCGAACAACCTTTCTCCCAAAGTCTCAAATATGTTTAAGAGTCAGGAATCCGGCCGAAAGTCATCCATTCCTTACTCGCCTTTGTAGTCGACAGAGCGAACCTTACATTCTATTAGTCTTTGTCTATTTCATGCGTCTGTGAATGACGATGATCTTTGTCGTACTTTGTGTTTGATGTCTTGCTAGTCGACACTGGCTAATTGGATGAAGAATTTTGATTATTTGTAATTTTGTGTGTTTGAATTTGGATATTTATTAATTTACAATATATGTTGTATTGTATTGTATTGTATTGATTTGATGTTTTTTCTTATAATTATTATTTTAGTTAATTTTTTTTGAACATATTTTTTAATTATTTGTATGATTATATTTTAGGGCAATGTCTATTTTTTACCCAAACCTTTTTCATATTCTTTTATTTTAACCAAACCTATTGAATTCCTAAAAATTATCCAAATGTTAATTCTCCGTCAACTTTTCTGTTAGTAATGCTGACTAAGTATGACCATAATGAGTTGACTTCCTACGTGGCGGTCAGAATACCATCATTTACTATTTGTAATAAAAAGATTATCAAAAAACAAAACAAAATCCCACCTCTCACGTGGACAAAATAAGTAACGGTAACAGAATGAATGCCCAGACTTTGATAAATTATAATACGTTTGGATAATAAATAGAATTTCTATAGGTTTGGTTAAAATAAAAGAATCTGAAAAATGGAAGAATGGGAGATCATTCCCAAAGCAATGGATTGGTTAGACGAATACCTGGAATTCCAAGCAGAGAAGACGGCGGAGGAGCGGGGAAATGATGCATGGCGGTTATCTCAGGCGACGGAATTTTCCATCTTGGTAGATGCGGGATGCTTGCTGGATCAGGGAACAGGGATGGGGGTGATAATTCGTCGCAAGGATGGCTGGTTTGTGGCGGCGGCAGTTCGAAGAACCAGGCGGCAGTGGGAGGCGGCGGAGGCGGAAGCTTTGGCGGTGCTCTTTGGTATGGAAATGGCGAATCGGCTCCAACTGAGCTCGGTCTCGATCCGATCTGACTGTCAGCAAGTGATTCGGTTAATCACTAATCGAACTGATAACATGTGATTAACTAATAAGCCTTATCGATTCAGTTATTGGTTTGCATTTTCCCCTAGTGGTTAACCACCAACCAGCATATTGATCATTGATTAATCAAAACCAAACCGATTAGCATCCTAATGAAGTTTGAAATAGAAGAGAGAACGTCAATTACAGAAGAGTTGAGTTCCTATATTACTTGCTACCCTAATCTACATAAAGACCACCCTAATACATCAAAATTTACACTTTAATCCCTATATTAATACTCTAACCGTAGTAATTAGTTTGCATTCATGACTAGCTACTGATCCAACTACGTAAATATTTACTGTCATGGTACAGTAAAAAAATTTAATTACAAGGTAACAGAAGTGCCGACGTCAAAATTACTTGAGACTGAAGTGCACGTCTCTCTCAATTCTCAAATGATTTCCAGCCCAGTTTTTTTTTTTTTACCCAGTCAAGCCATATAGATGCAGTGCCACGTCGTTTTCCCAACTGGACGCAATCATGGCGCACGTGCCCACGTGACTTTCATTTTCTGTTTGCTTGTGGGCGTACGTGGCCTGCCAACAAAGAGATGGAATAGTTGCGGTGGGCCATCGTCTTGCCACGTTGCAGCAAACAAAATTAAAGGTGTGACTTTGAGTCTTGAGCGGTATGATGATTGTTTCGGATAAACAAGAAAGTGCGATGATTTATTTTCATTTAGTTTACTGGTATTTTTTTTTCGGTTCAAATTTTATTTGAAGCGAATAAATTTATAATGCATATTATAATTCTTTTAAATGATTTAAAATATATGATTTTGTATGAAATGAAGGTGAATTCAAAATTATTCAAACTTTTTAGATCATAATAACTTTTTAATAATGACCTGATATTATACTCTTAATGATTATAACTTATGTGAATAATCAATCATGACATGTCTATTTCATGATGCAATCACTTAGTTATCTATGATTGAAAAGAAAAATTACATAAACAAAAAAAAAAGCTTGTCTAACGAAATATAGCGTAACTGGTAAAAATATAACCATAACTTGTCATAACGTTAGGGTAATAGATTGATTAGTTGTATTATGCCACAAGCTCTAAGTAACAGGAAGTGAAGTTTCAACTTGCAACTTAAAAGCCTCATAGTGATAAGGAGGGGACACTATTGACTTGGTTGTTTACCTAATTTTATCTTCTGGGGAATCATGGCCATCTGTTAATTACATTATTATTATTATTATTATTATTATTATTATTATTATTATTATTACAAGTTTGCAACCATAAAACCAAACTAATAAACCTATAAAGAAAATGAGATAAAATAAAGTCAGGCTAATAATTGTTTGGGTAATTAACTCCAAAAAAGTAATGCAAAGGCAATTATTGAAGATAAGAGTTTTGCCAAATGCCAATCAATTGTCTTTGTCCAACCAAATTCGATCCATTTTCTCTTGTGTTAGCCCATTTTTTGCCGTGGTTGATAAGTGTGTTTGGTTCTGCTGCATGGGATCTCTAGCTAACCTTGCTTGTAACATCCTACTCACCAATATATATATATATATATATATATATATATATATATATATATATATATATATAGTTGTCGTAATCTCCATTTTTTTTAGTTAGCCTCGTGTCAATGTGTGAAAATCAGGTTAATTCCTCACAGTTTGATTCAAATTTGAGAACGAGGATTATCTAAAAAAATATTGTGTACTTTTATTCCCCCTAAAGTTAGATTCAAGCATTAAAATTATTTTGCTACATTAAGCACTTATTAAAGTGAAGATTTAGGTTTCCGCCAAAAAAATAGGTGAAGATTTAGGCGCATATTGTTAAAGTGTTGATTAATAATAATGCTAATTACTGTAAAGTTCAGGGTTTTGATTATTTTTTAGTTTGTTGGTGATCCAACATGCACCGGATCCATGTCAAGTCATTCAGTAAAACCTAACATAGTAACATTCTAGAAGAGAAAGAGGTTTGGTTGCTGTCCTGTTTTAAGAGACGACATTAAGTCTAACACATAGAAGGTAATCAAAAGTATTTGCAGGTACTGCAATTCCAAATAAAATATCAAGCAAAAAACTCTAGGTGGCCACAGTTACCTAAATTTCTAGATTGGTGATAAATCGCAAAATCAATTTGGTATTGGTGACTGAACGAGCGGAATATGTACAAACACGTGATTATGTTGTATGCAGACGCACCATAGTTACTCATTCTCCTCTCATCCTACGTATATTGATACCAAACCATATATTTCGTGGACTCTTTATGGGGGAGCGTCAATCATGTATAGTAACGAACAACTGAAAAAAGGTGTTAGCATGTCCCATATCAACATGACAACCAAATGCATTCGGATCATTACGTATTGTATGATTCATGTATATTGATCAGTGATAGAGATAACAAAGCACCACCAAAATGTCGAAACTTGAGGCTAGCTATTATAGCAACTGATCAATCTAATCTTTGATCCAAATGGGAAATCGAAATGACTGAAACCAAACACATAATTTTCACTGACTAGCTTAGGGAAAGAAATTTGATTCATTAGTGGTGGTACTGGCTGCTTTTTTATGCCAATGAAAATGAATGCTACCAAACTGATTAAGCTTTTTAGTTTCGTTTGGGTAGGTGTTTATTGAGACCCTACTTTTCTAGCTTAAGTAGCTAGGGTTTGGAACCTGTTTGATTATATTAGGGCTGCTCGTTGATTGGAATTTGGTTTTTGTGATGGATCAACTAGCTGCCAATCAGTCACATACATGCATGTATGAGCTAGCTAGGCACTCTCTTCTTGGTTGTGTATAATTGAGATGGCTAAAGAGTAGTTGCGGAGCTAGGTTGAAAAGTCGGGACGTTATAATCTTTTTCAATTTGGAAATATAGGTAAAATTTGAAAATTACAGTAGTCGATAGTGGCTTAAAACGCTCACCAGATTACCACGATTCAAATCTACCATCCTCGTTCAAATTTATGGTTAGAACCCACCCAATACATGTCAAAATTTTCAATTCACTAATCTCATACCAATGGACTTCAAGAGGCGGAACTAATTATAAATTTTGGGAACAAAATTTTATAATTAGGTTTATTTACAATGTTCTTTCCAAAAGGAAATTATCTGAACAACATTTGAGCATTTGTAGCAGAATTTCCACATGAGGCCCAGCTCTCCAGTTTGGAACATAGGCCGAAGTTAAAGCTGGGAATGGGCTTATCATGGGCCTTTTGAATCAGCGTCTCAATGTGGAAAGAGAAGGCCACTGTTAGTGGGCTTATTAAAAACGACGCAAATAAAGTTGGCCCAGAGACTGAAACGGATTGGAAAAAAAAAGTGGAGATGCGGGGTATCGATCCCCGTACCTCTCGCATGCTAAGCGAGCGCTCTACCATCTGAGCTACATCCCCATTTGTTAATAAGTTTGGTTAAAAATGTTAAAATATTTGTATTCTTGATGGAACCAAATAAAACCACAACTGCATCGCAGATTTGAGATTCTGAAGTCTACACTCTACTCCACGTTTCCTCTTCAACATCTGCAAATCCAAGGTACGCGGCTCGATCTGTACTCACTATTCGCTATCCATTTGCGTTTCTTTCCGCCGAAGCTCGATCTGATTTCAACGAACTCTTTCCTGTAATCCATGGCTAATCGCCTTACTCTCTGGTTCAACTGCCCGCAATGTGTTTGACGAAATGCCCCACTGAGTTTCTTTCCATCGGGTCTTTCTTTCAGGTGAAAGTCTTACAGAAACAGAACCCGCAGCAGGCAGCAATGGTGACGTGCTTCCCTTCCTCGCCCAAGAAACTGGCGATGAACGTGGCCTTGTTCGCCGCCGCAGCCGCGATCATGGGCTACGCCGCGCATCTCTCCTACGTCAACGTCGCTCCTCAGCAAGCTCGTACCAGAGCTCGTGATGAGTTCGTCAAGGAACGAATGCGACAGAGGCATGGCTATGGCAAATGAAAAGATGGTTAGCACAACAACAAAGTCCCCTTTCTTCGTTCTTCCATTCTTTTTCAGCTGTCAATGCCAGAAAATGACAAGATGTGCAATTTGCTTGCATCACGTGAAATATTATTCGGATTTCTGATGCGACAGAATGGATTATAATACTGCATAATAGAGAAGGCTTTGTCCGATCTGTTAATTAAAAAAGAAAGCACCTTTGACGATATAGATCTATGATCTATCTGCCCATTTCTTCTTGCTCTTCATAACGATCCATAAGCAAGTAGATATCGGTACACAGCTCAACTCGATTCGTCTCAGTTATGGCGCCATCGTCTGTTTCGGCCGAGCTAGACTCCCTCTTAGCTGCAGCTCGCCCGCTCCTCCGGGAAGAGTACGACTCCGTCGACGAGAGACTCCCTTCCTTGCTCGCCGCACTTCGGGAGAGAGGAGCAGGGGAGAACTGGCACAAGGATGGGAATTTCGTCGAGCACCTTTACGGCACTTACAGGACACTCAAGCAGTGGGGGGCACCGCCGGAAATCTGCCGCTGCGGCCTCTTCCACTCCGCCTACGCCACCTCCTACCTCAACCACGCCCTCTTCGACCACGACGCCGCCGGCAGGGAACTCGTCCGCGGCCACATCGGCGAGGCCGCCGAGCGGCTCGTCCACCTGTTCCACGTCGCGCCGCGACAGAAGCTCGTGCACGACGTGCTCCTGGCGAACTACTCCGACGAGGAACTCGTCGACCACGTGGCAGCATCGTCGCGTGACGTCGTCGTCGACGACGTTGACCAACCGTGGAGGAAGAAGCTGAGTTCGATTCTCCCCGCCGGAGGAGTGGCGGTGAAGAAGAAGGCGAAAACAGGGGATGATGATGATCTGGATCTCCACTTATCAAGGAGGGTAGTGGCTCTGCTGCTCCTGTTCACGATGGCGGATTACGCCGAGGAAATGTTCGGCTTCCAGGACGAGATGTACGAGAATTCCAACGGGAAGATGGATTTCTCCGGCGGGAATTTCTTGGCTTTGTGGCCAGGGGAAGCGAAGCCAGGGCTGTGGGTCAACATGGTATCCAGAGCTGGTGCTTTGTACAATCTAATCGCTCGAGAAGAGCAGCTTTTCATCGCCGAAAGGAAAAGGGCAGGAGGGATATCAGTGGATCGAGATCGGGACGAGGAGATTGAGCTCGTGGTTCCCCCGATTTTCGATCATTGCACGAAGGTTTTGGGAGCTGAAGAGCAGATAGTGGCGCGGGACAAGTACTGGGAAGCTGTTTGTGGAAATGCCTCGGAGAAGAAGAATGATGTGGAGAAGTTGCTGGTGGAGAGTTTGGGGAAGAACCCGTATCTTGGTGACCCGTATTTAGTGTTGGGTCAGGTCTATTTGGGGAGAGGAAGGTTCGAGGCGGCGGAGAGAGCTGCGGCAGAAGGGCTGGAGCTGCTGTTGCAGTGGGGGACGCCATGGGACAAGAGGGTGTCTTGGGAAGGATGGGTTGCTTGGGGAAGGGTTCTGTTGATGAAGGCGCAACTGAAGTCATGGCCGCCGGCGCAGTGGGGTGTTCATCGGTTGGGAGCTAGGAAAGATTGAAAATCTGATGCCGCTGTTCGAATTACTTGCTGGTTAGAGATGACAATTTCAACTGAGGTTCATGCAATTTGATATGTTTCGTTCCTTTTATTTTATAACTTGTCCCGCAAGTAAACATAGGGCAAGGTATAACTTGCTCCTAGCTCATCTTGTCTCGTCCTGTTTCATTCTCGACCAGTTCTACATCGATTTTCGTCACCCTTATTTTGAAAATCATAAGATGCTTAAAGTGATAGGATTCAACAAACAGATTCTAGCAAGTGATGACCTTCATATCGACTTGAAAAAAGTCGTCGTCAAAGAGCAGAATACAAAGACAGTAGATTGCCTTTAAGGGCAACTGAAGTTCCTGGCTAAAATGGAGTTCCAATTACAATTCACAAACTAATTGCATAAACCTCACCACACAAATACAACGATGAATATTAACGACGCAAGATAAGATCAGTGCTTACGTAGCTGGGAGTCGAGGAAGGGGAGTTGGCCACAACGGAAGAGGAAACGTTAACACGTTGAACCAATATACGAGCTGGAGACTATCCTGACCATAGTTCTCGATTTCAGCTTCCACTTTGATCGTTCTGTTTCTGAAATCGCACTCTAGGATTTCGCCATCCACGCTCAAATACGCTACATTGGGATCGACAGGGTGCATAGACCGGAACTCAATACCTGCGTAAGACCTCTGCACGCTTTGCCTTGCTAAGCTTGAACTGCAGTACATGTCATGGAGGATATGAACATCATGCGTCAGAAACCATTCACCATTTCTGAGGTTAAATACTCTCAGTAGCCACTTCTCAGTTTGACCCACCCAGAATGATCCTTGGCATAGGCTAAACCCTTTGAATTCCACAAGCTGTCTATTCCAATAAAAGAAACTACGCATCGCGAATGAAGGAAGCTCGTGGCTCTCCAAGAGGAACTCGTTCTTGCTGAGATCGTAGATCAAGATGTCGCATGGTTCGACGAACCAATAAAGCCTCCCGTTGTGAGGGATAGCAATTTGAGGATTATACTCATCAAACCTAAGGCGCTTAGGTAACATCACAGTGGAGGTAGTCCAGCATCCTGTCTGGGATGAGAAGATCTCTACCTCCATCTCAATAGGGCTCCCTTCCTCATTACCAAGAAAGAAAGGCAGACGAACCACCTTTACACCGAACCGATCATTCAGAGTTACAGAACCATCTTCGCCATCATACTGCACATGGTAGAATGGATCACAGATAAACCCAACCTGCACATAATGATGGCGTCTACGAGGAGGTGGAAGGGCGAGCCACTGCTTCGTGAGCGGGTTGCAGATGTAATACTCCTCATGGTTCAATGTGCACAAGAGCAAGCCATTGGACGATCCCACAATCAGCCGACGAGAGCTCGGGTGGCTGGTTCCCTTCCATCCAGCAAGGCATGGGAGGAAATCCAAAGAGAACCGGGGAGCATGTGGAATGATGCCGCAGGGGCGAGTGACTACCAGGAGCATAACCCTGAGGTTGCATCGCACATGGCCCACCACCTGCTGCTGATCCTCCCGATTCGATGACCGGTTCTTGATTCTATGGTGAATGAACCGCTTGACGAACCAAGGATCATCATGCATACAAGAGAGCCAGAGCTTGCAAACAGACCTAGAGCGAAATGCAGTTCGATATGGAAGGCGAGCGAACACCTGAACTAGTAAATGGTGAGGCAGGACATCGTTTATACATGGTAACGGCGGCGGTGGTAAACTAGCCATGGCCGCCGAGTCGGAAATCCACTCCGACTCTGATGAAGAAACATCCATCATCCTCTCCTGCTAGAAACCAAACCCAAATGGAAAAATCACATTTCAAATTGATGCGATTAGATAATTAATCCATTCATCGACTAAAGAAACCAAATTTCAATCAGATAACAAGTGGGTAATGATCGGAAAGTAGAGAAACACAGATTAATCGGCTTAAATTATTTGAAGGGGAGAACAAAAGAAAGAACTTAATAATCACGGAAGCAACATTTCAATTGAGCGCTTACCTCCGACGACGGAAGAAACCTCGGGGGAAAGGGAATTTGGCGTTAGGAACTAGGGGGCGGCTTGATTGACTACGAACTTTGCCCGGCGGCGGAGGTGATATATACTATTTTGGGTTGGTGAGAAGAAGAAGGTAAAGGCGTTATATACAAGAGAACTAGAGGAGGCGCCGAGGCGGGGCGAGGATTTTTCTCAACAACCTGAGAACAGCGACCGCCGGCGGTTGGCGGGATTTGAATGCTTCGAGGTCTGGGCTGGGCTTCCTTGCAAGACCACCAAACAGGCCCACTTACAAGAAGCGTAAGAAGATGGCCTAATTGACTCCCGATGACTCTTGAACACAGTGTTTGCTAATCCAATCGTTGGCGATTCGATCGAAAACATTTCCTAGTGAAAACTAAATTACTATTCGAATTTTAGCGATATAAAATTATTAAACCAAGATTTAAACGCAAAATACTCTACCGCTAATTTTACGATACGATTTTGCAATCCTTACTTGAACATAAGTGAAAATCAAGGCAATGTGGATCACAAGCAATGTATCTCCTTTCACCCACAACACCATTCACAAAGTGAATCTAACTACATAACTCTGCACCCTACTCCTTTCACCCACCATGAACATAGTAGATAGGGCAAGACTCCAAGAGCCAAAAGGTCAGAGCCGACGACCCATCACCACACGATGTCGAACAATTGGGGTTCGAGAAGGCAGGTACCCAGACCGACTCTGAAGCAACAACCCAGCTGATTTAGCAAGCCAGCAACTTGTTTCATATTTCTCAAATCCAACATCCAAACAAACCCCTACATGAATCAATCTGCAGCACAGTGTCCCTGAGTCTAACATGAATATTAAAAACTTGTACCAGTTCCATCCCATGATGCGAAAAGGCAATCGATTCTAGTAGGTTCTCATCAGCAATCACTATCAAAAGCTACTTCGTCACGCCCAAAGTGCAGGAAGAGGAGTAGGCCACAACGGAAGCACAACAGGCGACACGTTCAAACAGTCACGGCGATTTCCCTCATGCTCACACTCGGATACCAAGTTCAGTCTTTTGGCCCTGAAGTCACATTCTAGGATAACATTCTCCACGCTGAAATATGCAAGCATGGAATCCAGAGGATGCATAGTCCGGAACAAAATAGGTTCTGAATAAGGAAATAGCATGTCCTTTACCCTTAAACAGGAATCCAGCTCAGAGACATCAACATCATGCCTCATGCGCCATCCACCGTCTACGAGCTCAAATATTCTGAGGTGCCAAGGAAAACACTGACCAATCCACAACGAGCCTCGGCACAGGCTAAACCCTGTTAATGTCTGCAACGTCCTCTCCAGGTCATTGTGTATGTATGTTATGTTTAAAGGAGGAGGAATACAGTCTTGAAGAAACTCATTCTTGTCGGGATCATAGACAAAAACGTCACATGGTTCAATCAGACAATAAAGTTTCCCATTACAGGGGACAACAGATCGAAGATAATGCTCTGGCAAGACAGATTCCGGTAAGAGCAGCTTCGAAGTAGTCCAGCATCCTTCCTGTGATGAGAACATCTCCACGAGGATTTCCCCTTCCTTGATACCCCAACCGTTAAGCAAGCGAACCACCTTAAACCGGAATCGATGATTCAGAGTGATCAAACCATTATCACCTTGACTATAGAATGGATCACAGAAGAAAGCCACAAGAAAATAAGGATGGTCGAAACGAGGAGAACGTGGTAGCGCAAGCCACTGCTTGGTGAGAGGGTTGCAGATGTAATACAGGCGTCGAGAGTAGTCATTAGGGGAGCACAAGAGCAAGCCATTCGAAGATCCCTCGACCACTTGCTTCAAGGTTTTGTGGTCTCGATCAAGACCAGCATAGAACGGGAGGAAATCCAAGGAGAAACTGAACCCCGGAGGAAGGTTCCAGGTGGGAGTTAGCACAAGCATTTCACTCACATTGCACTGCACATGAGTCCGCCCCTGATCCTCTTCATTCAGTGGCTGTTCCCTAATCCTCCTGAGGATATACTGAGCGATGAAATAAGGATCGTCGCGTAAACAAGAGAGCCAGAGCTTGCAAACTGACCTACACCGGAATGCATCTGTCAAAGGAAGGCAACCAAACACCTCTAGCAGCAAATGGTGAGGGAGAACACCATTGATACACAATGAAGGTCGGGGCCTGGCCATGGAGAGTGATCTTTCCTCTACAGGGAAATTCATTCCAATCCCAGTTCAGATTTAGACCAAATCCGAAGTGCTAAAACCTCCGTCTTCCTCCTCCTCCTGTCCCACCCTGCACTCGATATAAATCACATTTGCAGTGAAATGCAATTAGCTAATCCGCTACTAGGGCACCGAACCAACAACGGCAGTAAGTAGTAACTCGGGTAAGTCCAATCAAAACTAGGTTTCAGCTTTCGATCAACTAGCTGCCTACTGGGTATTGAACGGAAAGTAGTGAGTGCAAGATTAATCGCCTTGATTTGACTGAAACATCATACATCACGCTGGGACAAAACAATCAAACGAACCACCCAGTTAAACTTATTCGCGTACCTCCGACGGAAGAGGGCCTCGCCAGAAAGAGGTAAGATGGTGGGAACTAAGCGGCGGTTCGTTTGATTCCGTGCTTTCCCCGCGACGGAGCTCCACGAATGGTGTTTCGGCGGGTTGGTGGCGGAGTAAAAGGCATTGGTTATGCGAAGAGCCCTACTTCAATACCAGCCTAAGTAAGGCCATTAGCTGTGCCCTACTTCAATACCAAAATGACTACATCAATGCCTTTGAAGAGGTGTTTTATTCACCAAACACTAAAGATGAAATCTTAGGAACAATATTGAAGCACAGCTTTTCTTTATAACCTGATTTTACAACAAATAAACATCTAAATCACTACATGAGGTGGAAGCAAGGTTGTCAAACCGGTTTTGTTGGGCATATGATTCAGGTCTAATCGCGCGAAGAAGGAGCCGAGACCCGCGCGAGACTGACGACCCCAAGCGCGCCCAAGCTCCTGCGCGCCGTCAAAGACGTCAAGCGCCAAACGACGACGTCCAAAAGTAGAGAGTCAACTTCCAGGAAACCAGTGATCCTGCTGTTCCCGAGGAGCAGTCACATCACAGTCCTAGACAAGTCCCCCATGCCCTAGGTAGCAGCCTACATCCTCTGACATGTCAGGGGTCATGTCACCTTACCACCATGTAACCCACCCACCACCATGTAGTCTATAAATAGGGCATTTACTACGGTGGGGAGGGGATCGCATTTTCCAAACTCTATCTCTACAATCTTCAACTTCTCTCTCTAAGACTCTGTTCTCCCAACCTTATTCTTCCCTACCTTCGTTCTTCATTCTATAATCGATTCCCACCGCTTACTCTCCATGACCCACATTCTCCCCCGAATCTCACTCCTACACTCAGTTAGGTTCAAACAGGTTTATATCGTTGCGTCGGTTTAGCAAGTAAAATGGTTCTATCGGTAGTACAACCGGTTTGTGCTAGTTCATATCGGGTTAACAAAATATGTAAAAATGTGAAAACCCATTAACAAAAAAAAAAACACATTTAAATTCAATATTTAACATAGATAGGAAAACATTTATACTTGAATTCGACAAATAACAGCAACATTTAACTTTTAAATTCATAAAATAAATTATAAATTATTTTTCTGGTGAATTAAATTGACTAAATCGATGTTATTTTACTTAAAAGTCTTAAATCGATCATGTCGGCCATACGAGTGGTGTTCATGGCGGTTTCGTGCCCGGTTAAACCAGGTTCATCCGGCCGGCATGCCACCGACATGAAAACCATGCGTGGGAAGAAAAAAAGTGACCTAACGTTGACTACTCAAGTAGTGATGGCAATCTGAACCCGACCCGCGGGTATTACCCGAGCTGATCCGCGATGTGGCGGGTATTATTGATTCTAACTGTGAGGACGCCCGTAATCAATTCATCAGTTAACCAATCAGATATATTTGGCTACCTACAATCGATCGATTACTATTTAATCGATTATCTGTGCAACCATTAACTATCAATTGCGGATTCCATTATCGATTACACGGCTAACAGATTAATCGTTTAACCGCCCATATGCGCGCGATGCATGCACTTTGCACAAGCACAAGCTCCACTTGAGCTGAATAGCTAAGTGACCCGTCCCCAGATCCCTAATTATTATTTATTTATAATTATTATAATATAATATAAATAACCAGTTGGCAATCGGCGGGCGCCAGGTCGGCCGTCCCTCCCGATGATGGTCATAACAGACTGACAGCTATTACGCAACATTTCATTTCCCCTTTTTTTTTCCCGTTGCGTGGCCAAACTGTAATTTATGTACCCTAAATAAAAATAAAAATATATATATAAATCTTTGAAAAGCGGTAAAGCGAATTCTCATGTAGAACCCGACAAAATACGATACCGTTTACCCAGCAGAAATTCCCTTTATTAACCTTAATCAAATCCATTAATTTAAAAAACTCAAGAAAAAATTCAGGGCCCGGAATTTAAGGCTTAGCTTCAACCAGCTGGTTTGGCTCTCTGGTATTCCAGATTCAACTTTGGGGTTTGTTTTTTTTTTTTTTAATTTATTTTTGCTTTAATATTTCCTTGCACCTCGACCTCGAGTGATGAGAAAATAAAATAAGAAAAAGAAAAAAAATAGTAAAATGAGTATAAAATAAAATGATCAGAACGTGAGAGACGCAATTTACTGCCCCTCTCTTCCTCTTCCTCCTCCGCTTTTCCTGCTTCCCTCAAATCTCAATGGATCCACCACCGCTGCCACCGTCGTCGCCTCTCCCCGCCGCCGCCGCCGCAAACAACATTCCGCTGATCAATTACCCGCCGCCGGACTCCGTCCACTCCTCCCCCAGACGCCACCAACAGTCCACCCAGCCGCCGCCCGACGCCGTCAATGACGGCGCCGTGCTTCCTCGGGTCCCGGGAGCGAAGCTCCGCCTGATGTGCAGCTACGGCGGACACATAATCCCCCGCCCGCACGACAAATCCCTCTGCTACGTCGGCGGCGAGACCCGCATCGTCGCCGTCGAACGGAACTCCACGGTCGCCTCCCTCTCCGCCCGCCTCTCCCGCACCCTGCCCCTCAACGGCCGCCCGTTCACCCTCAAGTACCAGCTCCCCAACGAGGACCTCGATTCCTTGGTCTCCGTCGCCACCGACGAGGATCTCGAAAACTTGATCGAGGAGTACGACCGGATCACCGGCGCTAGTTCCGCCGCCGCTGCAGCAGCCGTCCTCGCCTCTTCCTCTTCCTCATCCTCCTCGTCGTCTCCTCGAATTCGATTGTTCCTCTTCTTCAGCAAGCCCGTCACCGCCGCCTCCATGGGTGACCTAAAATCCGAATCGTGGTTCTTCGACGCGCTCAACTCGGGCTCGGGCGCCGGGTCGGACTCCGTGTTGATGCTCCTGCCCCGAAACCTCTCGGATACCGCCACAATGGACGGCCGCGTCGTCCCCGGGCTCGTCGACAACATCGGCGGCGGCGGCGGCGATCATTACAATCTCAATCAACATCATCATCACCATCAGGACTCGCCGATTGTTTTCGAGAATTTCAATGCTGCTGCTAGTAACGCTACTACCACCACAACCGGCCCGCCGTCGAGCGGTTCGTCGTGTTCGACCTCGCCATCGGGAATGACGAACTTGCTGCCTCCGATCCGGGTTCGGACGCCGGTCGATTCGGATCTCCAGGGTTTCGAACAAGGAGCTAGAGGCCCGGCGGCGGCGGCGGTGGTGATGGATCAGGATCAATTCGGGTACCATCAGCAATTGGGTTCTGTCCAGATCCAACTGGACAGCATCAGTATCAGTTCTGCTGCTGCTGCTGCTCCGTCCCCTCCAGCCGCAGCGTCGATTGCTCCCGCCGGTGGTTCGAGCGAGCATTTGAATCGGGTTTCGTCGGAGGACGATGACGATACCCGATCGGATCCGGGGCGTGCGGCCGGGGGAGGAGTCGGGTTCCGTAAACCGCCTCTGCCTATTCCCCTGCCTCATCAGTATACACATCAACATCAGCAGCAGCACAAACTGGCAGCTTTCAACAACCTTCCGCCTTCTCCAGATTCAGTTGCCAGGTATCTAGTCGGATATACTAATCTGTGCTATTATCGAATGTTAATCCGTATGTGGGATATTAATCAGCGGATTGCTAAACGTCGTCCTTAAAATTGATGTACATCGTCGTCCTAACACGCATTAATGTTACAGCGACACCAGCATTGCATCTGCTGTCTCGGCTGCAAAGTCGTACCACCAGGAGCAACAATCAGCTCATTCGGATGAATCACTAATCAACCAGCAGCAGCAGCAAAGCGAAAACAACAATCAGAACAGTATCATGAATCACCAATTGTTGAATCCGACGGCGTCCCACCAAATGCCAATCCAGCGGCAGATTCAAGACCCAGCTGCTGCAGCTGCTGCTGCTTACACATACTTGGATCATCATCAACAGCAGCAGCAGCAGCAGCTCCATTTCGTAAAAGCGGGTCCAGGCGGACAGCTGATCCACTCCTACTACCCGCCTCAAGTTTACTCTCCTCATCAGCCACAACAGCATCATCAGCAGTATCAAGCAGTTTATGTAATGCCCATGCCGATGCAGCAGCAACAACAACAACAACCGGGAGCCACTGCCGCGGCAGTTCCTGCTTCCCCTGCTTCCTCCCAATCACATCATTACCCCCCGAAATTCGCTGTTGCTGCTGCTGCTGGTGCCGGTGTCAAGCCGCCAGAAATGGGTGGAGTGATGTACACAAGTGGGTACCCTTCCATGGTCCCGGGGAGTCATCACCAGCTGCATCATTTTCAGCAGCAATTTCAACCTCAGCAACAGCAACAGCAGCAATATGTGGCATACTCCCAGATGCAGCAGCAGCAGCAGCAGCCGCGACACGAGTCGATGGCTGTTGCAGCAGCTGCAACGAGTGGTGGTAACAACAATTATGGCTACGAGTACGGTGCTGCACCGGTCACGCCTCCACCGAATGAGCAGCAGCAGATGTTCTATGCGCAGCAGGGGCAAGGGATGGGGAGTACGATGATGGCCGCCTCTCAGCATCCGTACCAAACCACCGCCATCGGCCAAGCAATGCTGCCACCAGAGGGTTCCAATCAGAACCCTGCGGTTCAGCAGCAGCAGCAGATTGACGATTCATCCAAGAGATTGCAATAGTTTGCTACTTTATTATTAATATTGTTATCATTCTGGGTGTTGTATTGTATCATTGATTTGGAATAACTAAAGAGTTATGTAACCATGTTAAAGTTGATTAAGGTTCTTCCTGTTTTACTTCACACATAAATAGAATTTTGACTGTGTTTATTAACCAAGTGTACGCTGTTCAAACTAATATCGATGCTCTATAGAACATATTAGTGGTTGATTGAGGGCTTAAATTGCTATGATTTTCCTAATTTGAATAGAACATATTGCAAATTTTAGTCAATCGTCTAATAGTTGATAAAATTGTATTTGTGTGTTAACTCAGACTCTATCGCATCCAGTTGCTACTCCTGTTCTAGAGCGCCAAAAATGTGAATTGGAGACATTCTTATAAAATTAGCTAATTATTAATTGTGGGGGCACTTGGATTATCAAAATAAGTATCTGAACTGTGACCAGATGATGGACACATTACGAGAATTTGCGGATACTCCCTCCTTGTCTGCGGTGACGACATATAGCTTTTCAGAAAAACTTACATGTCTTGTATTTGCCAACAAAATAATCTAACGATGCAATGTCTTCTTTGACTAATTTGTGGAATTATTTCAAAGTGATCTTAAACTTATGAAATATGCAATCTTATAACTCTAAACTAAAACAAATTCATACAATCAACTCACGACAAGAACAAATACTTCATTGGAGAAGGCGTACATATGGTTGGTGAGAGTAAAGATGGGAAGACATTGACGACAACACAAAATCTCAGCGGAGTTTAGATTAATAGGCGGAAGATCTATAGGGGTTGTGAAGTCAATCGGATTGAGTACTCACAACTGGGTGTGTAATCATTGGGTTTTTTAATTTTTGTTTATAAGTATGAAACATTTTGTTCAAAATTTGGTACAATATTGCCGGCTTTGGGTCAAACACGTGCGGATTTACTCTTGGGCCTCGTACTAATGAGCTTGGTGGACACTAATATACAAGGGTACCTTCCCTTGTATTTCTGATGTGGTACCTAGATTGTCCCATAACAATCCTCCCCTCAAGACAAGGACCATGAACTTCGTGTCCTCCCTTAGCGATTATCTTGATTCGCCAAACACCTTGTATCGATGTGCTTCTCAGTACAAGAATTTTCTCAGATGCAGAACTCCCTTTAATCCGATTCTCAGATGCGGACCTTCCTTGATCTGCCAAACAGACATGAATCTCTCCTGGATCCACCAAACCGACCCAGATCTCAAATCATGAGGTCACAGAATGAGGATGTAGCCCAAAGAAGGATGTCATGTTGGTGGATAATAACACATTGATAAACCCTCAAGCTCATCATCAAAATCGGGTCCACAAGTTGGATTATGGATTGGTAAGGATGCTGAGGCCCAGGGTCCTGTTATAACAAATAAAAGGGATATCTCCCATCATCTTCACCAAGTAAATCCACATTCTTATGACCTGCCTCATGGAGTTCTTTCAAGAGTTTTTTTAGACCTCTTGTCTTGTCTTGCCACCTCAGCAGTTAGATCAATCTTACTTCCCAAACAAGTCATTCTAACACTCCATGGCTCATTACTAGCTTTCAAACAAGCAAATACCTCAACCAACTCAGCAACTGACCCATCTTCATCTTTACCTTCCTCTTCCCCCTCTTCACTCTCCACATACCCATCTCGATCTTCTTCAGTGTACTGGAATACCATAGGTAGTATATAGTTTGTAATCGCCACTAGCGTCAAACTCCCAAACTAATAAGGTAAACCAATAAGAAAGAAAATGATGTAATGATGCATTTTTATTTATTGATAACAAGTTATGTGGGTACATTATAAAAAACTAATGCACCATTTTATTTATTCAAAAGGGGATTGAAATCGATATTAGAAATTTTTGGATGCTTTGATGATTGTATTGTTGTTTGTTGTTCACCACCTTTGCACTTCTTAGAGCATGGTATGGTACAGAGGTCGAAAGTTGGCAATAAGCATTCTAGTATACATATAGCAAAACACGATAATCTACTAGCTGAAACCACTTGCTGTTGATTCATCGAACTGAAAATCATAAACAACAACATTATCGTCATGTTCATCTTCACGGCCTCCATTTTCATGTATGTAATATTAATATATAATATATCAAGTGTTGTATTTTGGTGCTTCTCCAAGTCCTTTTTATAGTGTAATTTATAATATATATGTTTTTCTAAGGGAACAATAAGGAAATAATGTAAATAAGAATTGAAAATTTATATGCAATAATAGAGCTTCCATATTTATCTTTTTCTGTTTTTGGATTTCATTCATTTGTGTGTATAGTGTACTGACCAATATCTATAATTGGTAATAATCTTTCTTCTTTTCTCTTCTCACAGGAAATAATGTAAATAAGAATTGAGAATTTTATGCTATAAATATAGGATAGACTTCCCATGTATTTATTTTTTGGGATTTCATTCATTGTGTGTATAGTGTTTTGACTAATATCTAATCAACTTTCCTATTTTCTCTTATTTATTTTTTCATTTTTCGTTTTTTTATATTTGGGAACAATATAAATAAGAAGAATTGAGAATATGCAATAAATATATGATAGAGTTTCCTTTTTTCTCTGCTTATTTGTTTAAATTTAATTTCTGTATATTGCATATGTACAATATCTATATTTGATAGTCAACCTTCCTTCTTTCATTTTCTTTCATTGTGTGTATAGTATCTTGACCAATATCTATAATTGGTAATCAATTTTCTCCTTTTCTCCTATTTATTGTTTATTTTTTACATTTTGGTATATTTGAGAACCATGTAAATAAGAAGAATTCCAGGTTTTGATAAAAAAAAATTGAGAATATGCAATAATACATTATTCATGATAGAGTTTCCTTTTTTCTCTACTTTTTTTGTAGATTTCATTCATTGTCTTTATATTGCATATGTACAATATCCATAATTCATAATCAACCTTCCTTCTTTCATTTTTCCCCCTTTTTAATATATTTAGGAACAATGTAATAACTAAAATAAGAAGAATTGAGACCAATATGCAATAAAATTTAAAAATATATATGATTATCTTTTGTAAAAAAAATATTATTCCTATCAACATATGTCATAGTGTCGTTAAAGTTATTGACGAATAACTATATGTATATAACAGTGTAAAATTATGACTACCTAATTCTCTTTTGTCAAAACATTATTTAAAACATTGAAAAAGCCCAACAATAAAAAACAAAAACACATAAAGCCCAATCCAACGATGTAAAATGTCGTAAGCCCAATAGTCATCGACCCAATCCTCCCCTAACTCTATCCAAATCAGAAGCTCACCGGCGCCTTTTACTCTCGCCGTGACGACCATTACCGTGTTCTTTGTTTTATCTTTCTTCACTCGAAAACCACCGCCCCCGCCCTCCGCCGGCGGGAAAAAAGCAAAATCCGATAGCTCTTCTAACACTTCCAAAATTTCCGACCATTTTTCCATACAGATAACAATAACATGTCTCTCTCATTCTCCTCTTTCCTTCCTCCAGTTCCTCCCCCTTACATCAGCAGCCGCACTTCTCCACATCTCCATCCCATTTCCCCTTCCGCCGCCGCCGCCGCCCCGCCGTCTCCCCGGCGACACTGGAAGCAAGGAGAATTTCCAGGAACCACATCCATCCCCGACACCGCCCGCCGCCGCGTGCCTCTCAAAACCATCAAGAAGAAACTGGACCGCAGGGAAAACGCCAAGGCCTGGGCCAACACTGTCACCGAATCCCTCTCCGACTCCATAGCCAACAAACAATGGCAGCGCGCCATCGACGTCTTCCAAATGCTCAAGCAGCAGCCTTTCTACCAACCCAAAGAAGGCACGTACATGAAACTCCTCGTCCTCTTGGGCAAATCGCTCCAGCCAGCTCTCGCCCACCAACTGTTCGACGAAATGCTCGAACAGGGCATCCCGCCCACCCCTGAACTCTACACCGCCCTCCTCGCTGCCTACTGCCGCAGCAACCTCATCGAACGAGCATTCTCCATCCTCGAAGACATGAAATCGTTGCCGCATTGCCAGCCCGATGTCTTCACCTACAGCACCTTGCTCAAGTCCTGCGTCGATTCGTCCCGATTTGACCTCGTTGATCAAATCTACCTCGACATGGACCAACGCCTCATTTCCCCCAACACCGTCACCCAGAACATCGTCCTGGGGGCGTATGGGAAAGCCGGTTTGTACGACCAAATGGAGAAAGCCCTCTCTTCAATGCTCGTCAACCCGAATTCGAAACCCGACGTATGGACAATGAACATAATCCTTGCTGTGTTCGGAAACAAGGGTCACATCCAGCTGATGGAGAAGTGGTACGAGAAGTTCCGTGACTATGGCATCGAACCCGAGACTCGCACCTTCAACATCCTCATCGGAGCTTACGGTAAAGCCAGGAGGTAATATTATCGGTAGTTATCTGATCATTATTGTTTAACTTGCTCTTTTACTGGTACCATGTAGAAGTTTAAGGAGTCGAATCATATCATTACCACACGAATGGTTTGTGCCTAATAGGTACGACAAGATGTCGTCGGTGATGGAGTACATGCGGAAGATGGAGATCCCCTGGACTAGCTCGACATACAACAACGTGATCGAGGCGTTTGCAGACGTGGGTGACGCGAAGAACATGGAGTACACGTTCGATCAGATGCGTGCCGAGCGGATGAAGGCGGATTCGAAGACATTCTCGTGTCTAGTCGAGGGTTATGCAAAGGCAGGCGTGTTTCACAAGGTGATTTCCACGGTTCAGCTGGCAGCTAGGCTGGACATAGCGAAGAACACTGCGTTCTACAACGCGGTGCTGTCTGCGTGCGGGAAAGCAGGGGATTTGCTGGAGATGGAGAGGGTTTACGAGAGGATGAAGGAGGAGAAGTGCGAAGCGAATGGCAGGACTTACGAGGTGATGATCGAAGCGTATCGGAAAGAAGGGATGAATGACAAGGTGTACTATCTGGAGCAGGAGATGCAAGCCAACGGGAAAGCGTCTTCTGGGTAGTTCTGAATATGCATTTTTTCCAAAAAGGATTCAGTTTCTGAACAATGCAACCAAGAAATGTGGCATGCTTGCTGCTGCAGAATGATGACCGAGTTACTTCAGGTAGTAATTCACAAGCTACATTTCAAACCCTGAGTATGCAGTGGTGGGGAAAAGGGAACTACAGAGTAAGAAGCAAGATGATGCAGAATCTCGAATCTACGGGTTCCAGAGACCAGATTAGAGGCAATGGATGGATGACAAGCTTTGCTGAAACCGCTGCTTTTGAGCATATTGATGGAGGTATTGTAAATTTATGTGCTAATTTTATCGTGATTAGGTGTTATAATTAGTCTTTCTGATTCCAAAACTGAAGAGGGGAAAAGTTTGTTAGTCACGCTTATGTGCAATCATCAAAGCGAGCGTCTTCCACGGATGATATGGAATGATTCCATAATGTAATTTACCATTTTCCTCTCATAGTTGACCGTCTCATCCACCTTTCCTTCCAAATTTGGAAATTTGGAGGGATAATTTTTCATGGGTTGGAGTTAGAGGTGTGCAACGGGTCGGTTCGTATCAGATTGTTGCGTACCAAATTGATGCTTGGACCTGACCAAACGGAGTTGAGTATAACATGTTTCGGTTCTTGATCGTATGAATTTTACACATAAGGAAGAAAAATGAATCGAATTGATATTTGGGTCGGATCAAAATGAAGTGAATGTATTGTTGGTCCAGTTCTTTGATCATAAATGCCTCTTACTATTCAGGGACGGAGCTAGCGTGTAAGCAGGGGGGGCCATGGCCCCCCCTAAAATATAAAAATATGACTTTGCACCAACAATGTATAACACAATTTGTGGTCTAGCGGTGTGAAACATATCATTTTGAAGGAGAGGTCATAGGTTCGATGGTTCCTACCTGCACCTTTTAATTTTGTAAAATTTTGATTTCTAACATCAAATTTTGCATGTTTTACGATTTGGTACCTAATTATTCATTTTGGTACATTTTTCGCCCATTGTCTTACAATTTGATACCTAAAATTTGCATGAATCGTTTAAATTCATCAAATTTGCTTCTAAATCCCAAGTTATCCATGTGTGATTTGGTACCAAATGTTTTCATTTTAGTACACCTTTTGTCCCAAATTTCGCATACCTTACGATTTGGTACCTAAGTTTTCCTTTTTAGTAGTGTTTTTGACTTTTTGCCCATTGTCTTACTTTGTATTGGACTTTCTCATCCCCAACTTTTCTATACAAAGCTCTTCTACTAGTTCAAAATAGACTTCTATGTGTCAATATTTTGGTAATTTGTGTTGAACGATAAATAACATAATAAACTTTACTTCAAAAATTTTATCGGCCCCCCCTTACCTAAATTCCTGGCTCCGTCCCTGTTACTATTGGACCGCCATTTTCTTGAATTTGGTCCAATCCAATCCGGACTGTACCGTTGCACACCCTAGTTGGAGCTCCCCCTACCACCTAAATTTCCAAATATCCATATTAGGGTGGTGGGTTGTGGGTTGGCCTCAAGAGCACAAAGTTGAGGATTGACACTGAAAATGTTGGGAGATAGCTGGGATGTGGGCATTGTGCATTGATTTCAAGTTCCAACTTCCGACGTAGGAAATGAAAGATTAATAACGGAGTTGGCGGCTTCGTTGACCGGATCGGGACGGGGAAGATGTGGATTGAGAAACCGGCGGCGCCCGCCCAACGGCGTAGCCCACTTTCATTCTCTTACACAGGAGTCAGGACTCAGGACAGCGAAGACGATGCATAAGAGGATTATTCTAAGGGTCAACTAGTCAACTACTACCCATGCTCGCCAAATCATGGGGATTTGGGTGCATACATAAAAACTATGAAGCCTCGAAAGTTGTATTTTTTTTTTTTTTTTTTGAAATGAATGGTTTCAACGTCCAAGAATGTGCAAGATTTAACATTTGGGTGGCAAATTTAGGTCGAAATCGTTAAAATTTCTCATCCAAACGATTCATTTGTGTTTTATCGAATGTCCCTTACATAAAGGGTTGGTCGGATGAGAAATTTTAATCAGTAATTTTAGTCGAATTCTCTTTTTGGAACGTGGAAGGATTTATATGTAAGATTTTGGCCAAATAACTAATTTGGAAATACATATGGGTTCATGAGTAGAAATGTAACGAACGAAAGTAATTCTAGATGGTATCATCAAACTAAAAAAAAAATGTTGATGATTAAATAAATTTGAAATTTGCCGATTAGAGGCTACCTTTATGCTAGGAGATATCTTATACATACCCAATATCGCATCTTATGAATTAATTAAATAAAAACATTCATAAAGAAAGAAAATTTTAAGTCAAGGCAATATTATTACTGTAAAGTTTAAGATAGATTGACAATGATAGTGATTAAATATATCTCCTTAGCCATGGAACCGATTCCTAATTAACTAGTTATACATCATGGAAGGCCAAAGGTCACATAGCTTAGCGGTAAAAGTAAAACCCTTAGTGGGCGCATGTTTTGAGAAGTGTCAGATCACGTGTTCGACCTCATCAAGGCCTGCTTTGGTGTTTCCGGAGGCATTTAATGGAGATTCTCGTCGAGGGTCCGAAGGATTCAAGCAGGTGAACCCTCAATTTTGGTTTCGCTCCGTCATCGCTCAAGCAGTGGGAAAAATTCTTAGCTCCAGCCTTGGTTGAATGCAGAACTCCAACCAGCCACATGTCAGTTTCCTATTGGTGAGTTCATCTTTCTTTTTTATATGTTAATTCTTGATTTATTTACTATAATTAAGAACATTAAATATTAAGTAAAAAGGAAGGTGAGTCCACCAATAATAAACTGACACGTTGATGGTTAGAATTTCTACTTCTAATCAAGATTGGAGCTAAGGAAGGTGTGTACGTGGAGATGTTATTGGGTTATTAAACAACCAAAATGGAAAATCTCATCTTTAACATTTTTTCCACTTATATTTATGGAAAAGTTGGGTTGCTAAGTTGCTAACAATTACATCCTACTCGGGAAATTTGTTGTTCTATTTACCAAAACGTGTCCATTTCAGTTCTTTTGGTTCGTTGATCAGGTGCGCCAGCTTAATTGGATTCACGAGTTTTGTGTGATGGAATGTATTAGCTAGCTTGATATCATTGGACACGATTGTTACTGTCGTGGTTCTATCTCACTTCAATAATTTAATTAGGATTCTATTCGTAATATCTACAATTATCATATTTGAAAGAGCTCCAAAATTACATCTATGAATATTCGAGCCGAAATTTCATTAATTTGATTACATCATAATCGTATTCCTTATTGAGTGTGATTGAAAACAGTGGTCGAGTATGAGTATTAATTACATATATAATTTGTCGGAGTCGTACTATATTACTTATCTAAGTCTTAGAAGTGATTGTGATATGTATAAACTCTTTGAGTATGACTAGTACGTACTACGTACGAATAGTATTATGTTATAATACGAGTGTTATTATGTCATTCATTGAACTCATATTCCCTATCAAAGCCGTAGGAATTAAGTATCTACCTTATTAAGTGTTAGAATTATTATGACAGTCAGGCATTGTAATCTATGTAAACCCTTTGTAGTTTCAGTAATAAGATACAATAGTGATTTCGATCGAATCCTAGTTTCTTAAAATCTACTCCGCCACACTTGTATTCTCGTTTATCATCAACCATTCCTTGTAATATTCAAATACAGGCATCTAATGGCAAAACAAGTCCTTTTTTTCTAGATTTTACGTTCTTATCTCCTGTCTCCTGACAATTGTCTAATTTTTTTTTTAATTATGTTCGGTCGTTTCCCTTTGAGAATATCTATGAAAAAGAAAAAAAACTACACATTTTTTTCTTGCTCATTGTTATAGCATTGAAGATTAAATCAACAACTAATATTAATTTAGGATTATTTTTAAGAAAAATAATCCCAAATTAGAAAACAAAACAACATAGTAAATTAGAACTTGATGGATTAGTTTGCTGTAGGGGACAAACAGAGCAAATGAAGTCCCTCATTGTACCTTGTCAAAAGACAGAAAAATCCAAAATGGATCATGCTAAATATTACAGGCTACCAACCACAAACCACATAAAGACGGTATCAAGAAATATTATGCAATAAAGCCCTATAAAAGGGAGGAACACAGTTCATAAAGTAATTAAAGCCAATTGTAACAAGTTTGTGCAACTAATTACCAAATGACTATAAATTTCAATTTGTTGAAAACTATCAATTTTAATGTGCTCAGAAAAGACTATATTGGAGAATAAAATATGGTCAATGGATGAAGCAAAAATCTGGCTTATAATGGTGTTGAATGAGTTTAAAAGTCTAGTTCTGGTGTTAATGTATGACTTGGTTTATTTTTTTCATATTTGTTAGACGTTTCACGAACTAAATACATATAAAATGTTTAAAACGCTTATTTTTAAGAAAAATATTGATAAATTGATATTCATTCTCGAAGCCACTAATGAGAACAATATGAGACAATATGTGCTATCAATTTTGGTACAAAATTTTGAGGAAGTAGATTAAGGTCCATCCCATTCTGCAGGAAGGACTTGATTTGGTAAGTGAAACTCAATAATTTATGCTTCGCGTGATCACTCACGACAATAGAAGTAGATATTTTTTATAAGTGATAGTCTCCTTAGTAATATATAAGGAAAATTAAACGACGTCACAAATATTTTTTTTCCTGTGAAAATTACTCTGTCCAAATATTAACACGAAAATGACTCACAATCCACTTCGATCTCTGTTCAACTCGCATTCTTATCAGACACAATACCAGAATTCTTTCGGCCTATACTCTGGCTCTCATTTCAGAATTCTCCATCGCCCTTATAGTCAAACTACATGAACTTCAACCCATAAGGATTGTGGTCATCATATACCAAAATAAATAAGCACGCTCATTACATCACACCAAGTTCCCATCATTACAACAATTATTTTATATATATATAAACCCCTTCAAACTGAGAAATTTGATTTTGCTTGTATAATCATGTAACTTAAGTACTTAACCATCTTATAATGATGAAATGAGGTCACGGATGGAGGAATTTTGGTTGTGAAGTTGTGACCCTTTTGGGCAAACGCATGAAAGCGGAAAAGGGCCAAAGTGAATTAGAGCAAAACTGTGACCACCAGAAGTCAAATCGGTATGTTTGCAACTTGCAAGTTTGTTCCTTTTTCCCTCTTTTTCCTTTGAGATGGGTTTCTTCTGCCAAGTTGCGTTATGGGTTTCGGGTGAGTTTGGGCAAACATTATTTCGTACCAAAACAAATCGTCATAATCTCCTTTGTCTTTTGCCTTTTTTTCTTTATATGTATCATATGTGAGTCATCACCCACGGTCAATCTCAGTAGTTACTCGTTTAGACACAATTCGTAATGTTATAAACGCGCTGCTACGGATTGGGAAATCGTCGGAATCGATAAAGTAAGAATACGAAAACGAGAATCGAAAAACACAGACACACAATTTACGTGGTTCACTAACACGAGGTGTGTTAGCTAGTCCACGGGCGAGAGAGAGCCAGTTTCACGATATCGAGGAGATTACAGAGGAGTATGAGAAGTATTTATAGTACTTCTCCATGTGAGGTCTAAACTTAATCCAATCTGGCAAAGGAAACGGTTACAGATCAGGCCAAGAACCCGAACCCAAATAACATTGAGCTCATACACCGCGGGCGGGGGGCGTTGCCCCCTGGACCCCACTCGCTGACCGGGCAGCGAGACCCCCGACTACCAGTCGTAGCGGCTGATAGTCCAATTCAAGTCACATCAACCCGTAACAAAGTGACTAAAACATAGAAAAAGGAGTGCAACATAAGGACATCATGTTTGTTAAAAAATGTTTCTTTTTTAAGGTTGAAACAAATACAATTATAGCCAACTTAAAAAAAAAAAAGATTTTGTAACGCTTCTCTTCCTTTATAAATGAACCAATACCCGTGCCTCATTTCTCATTCACTCACTCAACACCCAAACCAAAAAAAAAAAAAAAAAAAAACACCAACAAATAATAATGACACCACCTCCACCGCCGCCGCAGCTCCTCTCCGCCGCAGCCATCTTCTTCATTCTCGCGGCCTCCACCTGCTTCCCGCCCTCGGCCGCCGCGAAGCCGAACAACGGCGCGGGGATAAAAGGGGCGTTCGTGTTCGGTTCGTCGCTGGTGGACAATGGCAACAACAATTTCCTCGCCAAGGCGCTGGCCAAGTCCAATTACCCGCCGTACGGCATCGACTTCCCCGGCGGCGTGCCCACCGGCCGGTACACCAACGGCAAGAACGTCGTCGATTTCATCACCGACCAGCTCGGCATCCCCCCGCTCCCGCCGTCACGCGACCCTTCCACCGCCGGCGCCGGCGTCGCCCGCGGCGTCGACTTCGCCTCCGGCGGGTCGGGGATCCTCGACGAAACCGGCGCCATCACGGTAAGTAGATTTTCTTCTTCTTCTTCTTCTTTTGTGGTTATAGTCTTATAGATTAAAATTTAATAGCATAATTTAATCGGAGGATTTTCTAATGCAAATGTTACGGTTAGTCTTAGTGGAAAATATGTTCATTTGCGAGATTATTAATGCTATAATATTAATCTTTTTTTTTTATATAGGAATGCTATCATATTAATTGAAAACACCTATATGGATTTATGGTGGTGGTCCGCCAAAAAAAAGTTCATCATAAAAAAAAAGTATAGAATAGAATATTTTAATATTTTCTGTGACAAAAACGTCTCTTATGTCGTTGGTTCGTGCATTGTCGACCAACGGTTTTTTTTCTTCGGGATTCCATTTTGTGAACCGACCTGCAAAGATCTTTTTATAGTCTTGTATCTATTTTTGTTTCCCCCCGCGCTGATGTAGATACTTATGTTATGATGACAAAAAACAAAAACAGAGAGTAAACCTTAATACCTTATTTATATTCTAGAAAAATTAGATCGATGTACATTCCTAATTGTTATGTACTCGTATCCTTACATGAACTACAGTTGCCAGTGTCATATTGCTCATGTACAATGTTATAAAAACGTACATTGTGTCATACGTGTCTGCTGCAAGCCTGCCGCCACTAGAATTCGTGTATCAAACCATTCCAGAATCATGGTTAAAGTAATGATAATCATGATTCTGGAATAGGAGTCGGGTTTTTTTATAACGAAATCGGACTGATGTACTCCCCCTGCTTTCTAGGATGTACCCTTTTACATTAATGAAGTATAGCCTATAATATACAACCATATCAGTTTTCATATCACTCTGCAAGCATTGTACATAGGTACATTGTTGTCACACAAATATGTGCATAGTAAATGTTACATATTTATCATTTTGGTGGGTTTTTGTGTGGTTTGAGTGCAGGGCCAAGTGATCAGTTTGAATGAACAGATCAAAGACTTTGAAACTTCAACGCTGCCAGAACTGGAGAAGCTGTTGAATTGCCAGAGGGAAGAGTTACTGCCTGATTACCTGTTTGTGGTTGGCACAGGTGGCAACGATTACACTCTTAATTACTTCCTTAATCTCACTAATCCCCGTCCAGATCTGGAAGCCTTCACTTCCAATCTCATCTCCTCACTATCAGCCAAGCTCCTGGTAATTTCATTAACCTTAAATATCTCGGGTTTCTTATTTTGATATCGGTGCGGGACGATTCACTGATGTCCTTCGAAAACCTAGAATGCGACGAACGTTTTTTTGGTTGAGAACATGTTGATTTTGCATAGCACGTGCAACGTTAGTTATTGATTCGATTTGATTACGTTCCTACGGTTATTGTCGTTAGGTCAAACATCTCTATCTTTCAAATGAAGTGAAATGGATGGATAAGGTGAAAGAAGAAAAACAGTTGGAGAATAGGTGAACAAATAATGTTTGTCACTCTTTCACATTGTTTGGGGGAGGGTTGACTCTATTTATCCAAATAAGTTTTTTCAAATTTTGTAGAACGAAATATGCGGAAATAAACACGTGTTTTATTTCTACTCATCAGCTATCTAACTTCTTGTTGGACGATTATAGTTTACCCATACGCAAAAACATCACAATTACTTCGTTTTCTTTTTACATCTTACGTGCACCACAATTGTTAATTCGCGAATTCTAATGCCTCTATCATCAGAGTTTCCAGTTCTTTGGCAGAATGAACTTTGATTTTTTTTTTTCAACCACCATATATATTAGGGATGGCAATGGGTCGGGTTGGGTCGGGTTTTGCCAAACCCAAACTCAAATCCATGGGTTTATCTTTGAAAAAAATCCGGGGTAAAACCCACTGGGTTTGAAAAACTCAAACCCAACCCAACCCGTTGGGTATCCGCGGGTTCATGGGTACCCGCGGGTTTTTTCATAAAAATTTACAATTACAAGTTCTTATCAAAATTAAGGTCAAATATCAATCTCTCAATACAAATTATCCATATATAAAACACCAAATTAGAAAATTCAAGCAAATCACAAATTAACTATACAAATTGTTCAACACCAATCTAGAAAACTTAAGAAAATTGAAGCAAATCACAAATTAATGAATTATCCATAAATAACATGTTTAATTGAAAACTTCTTCCTTTCAATTAAGTTTCTTTACTCTCCACTCCATAACATCAACTTAATTCTACACAATTAAAAAGAAAAAATTAGACATGTCTCCACAAATATAAATAAGATTAGTTGTTTAGAATATTAAATATACCGAAAAAATTAATTATATGAGTGGGCGGGTACCCACGGGCCGGGTTTACCTAAACCCAAACTCAACCCAACCCGGTGAATAGTGAACGGGTTTAAACCCAAACCCGACCCAAAACCCGTCAACACGGATTTTACCCGCGTTGACCGGGTTGGGTCGGGTGGGTACCCATGGATTCGGGTTTTGTTGCCATCCCTAATATATATTCACCCACTGTTGTAATTCATATTGAAGGCGCTCAACTGTAATTCACAGATGGTGTCTCTGCTTCCCTACTTGTCGGGCGTTGGCCACAAATTCAATGATTTTCTCTTATCCCTTTCCTTCTCTTTTTCAACTTCTCCCCTGGGAAACGTCACTTTCCCTACTGATATCAACCATTAATATCAAGGCATACACAACAACAGAGGCTTTTCCCTACTTTCCTCCTTTCTTCCTTTCTTTGGCATTGGTCAAACCAACCCTAAAATCCCACCAACACTCCACTTTTGGTAACATCTCTAACGACCCTTTTCTGTGCACTTTGTTTCTTCTGCAGCATCTGCGGGGATTAGGAGCTCGAAAGTTCGCTCTAATGGCGATCTACCCGCTCGGCTGCACCCCTTCCGCGAGGCAGAGGAGCCCCGGCACCACCGGATGCATCGCTCCGCTGAACTTCGCGGCTCAGCTCTTCAATACCAAGCTCAAGTCTATGGTTGACACCCTGAATCAACAGCAACCTGATTCTAAGTTCGTCATGATCAACGCCTATGGGATTATCGACCAGATTCTCAACAAACCGGTCTTAGCAGGTAAGCAAATGCATGAACCATAATCTGTTTCATCGATGGTACAAGATATGCACAAATTATAAGACTGTTCAACCATTTTGCTTTCTCCTAAATTACAGGATTTAGTGACACAGTCAATCCATGTTGCGAAGCAACGACAATCTTATGCAATAGAGGTGGAGCTGCTTGCGATAACAGGAGAGCGTACGTGTTCTTCGACGGTCTCCATACGACAGACGCAGTGAACCTCCAGATAGCGACTAGGGCATATGGTTCCACTTGCAAGGATGATGTCTACCCGATCAATATCGGGCAACTGGCGATGCTCTAGGACGACTACTCTGGCAGACTAAGAAGTTTAGCTTCCTCTAATTCCACTGTTACAAACTAAAATGATAATGTTCCCTTCTGATGCTCACTACCTGATAGCTGATGAATAAAAATAACTTGAAGAACGAACTGAATTAAGTTAAGGAGGAGCTGAATAGAATCAAACAAGAAAACTGAAAGCTTGAGATTAAGGTTTGTAACTAGAAAAAGCACCCGGGAAGTTCATTATATACACCAAAAGAATAAAGCCAGCCAGCCAAATACAGGACAGGACTCTCCAAAACCCAAGGTCAGTTTTTCTCCCTAAGAATCATAACAAGAGCAAGCAAACCAAAAGTAAAGGGGGAAACAAAGGGCGAAATTCGGCAATCAAATTCAACCTATCTTCTTCTCAGAGACTATTACAGAAGCACATTTCCCCTATTTCCCACTGCTTCCCAACAGAGCACAGAAAAGAGAAGCAGTTAATCCACCACAAAAAAAGATATGACACAAGCCCTAAAACCCAGGGGGAGACCCCTAAACTTCTTTCTCCACTCCCTCCGCCACATAATTGTACCAATTTTAATTGGGATATAAAAAGAAAAATAGCCTGGAGAGATCAGACATCCATACCATTTAAACAAATAGCCCACTCATTGTCATTGTCGCGTTTCCTTCAATGAGCTCAAGCTTCTGCTCTCTGTCACTGTTGAGCTGGCCAGAACCTCTGGTGCAATTTCCCAGCTGTCACTTCTCCTCCCCCAGCTGGAATGTCTTCTCTCGTCTCTAACTGTGGCCGCTCGATGATGATCAGGGCTTAATACGGACTCCACATCTGACGTGTTGTGTGGAGCCCCACCATTGCTCCCTCTGCTGCGTATTTCATCATCCATCTCTTCTACGTTACGACGCTGAGAGATTTTCAGCAAATCCTCACCAATCTCAAGATCGTTCTGGACCTTGGGACGTGGGTTCCCCCCACCTGAGTCTTCTTCTCCTCCGGTTTCTTCACGGACAGTGGGCCGCCCCACAGGCCTCGGTGGTGGTTCTTCCTCTTGTGCCAGAGCACGGAAGTTGTTCTTTGATGGCTTGACCTTGGTACAAAATACTTCCATGAAATTGTTGACACAACCCAGGTTGTAGACGTTGATCCTGTTGTCTGCCCGGTAACGGAAGTTTTCATAGGTTGTCTGGAAAAAAGAAAAATAAAATAAAAACAGGATGGAGAGAGATTACACAGTTCAACAGCTAGAAACTGATTCCTTGCCTACCACTCAAGAAAAATGAGAGTGGCGAAGAATGTAAGCTGACCTGATTCGTCCCTATGAGATATAAGTGGAAACCTGTTAGACCTCCGACAAACCATAGAGCGATGAAACAGTAGATCATTAGTATGACTGATGCTGGAGAGTCCTTTATTGCCCTCCAAACTGGAGCACGGTTATCATCCATCAAGACCTTAATGTAAAAGGCCGATATGGAGAACACATAGATGCACAGAAGTGTTGCAGAAGAAACAAACATGAAGAAGTAACGGTAGTTGCGCTGCACCAAACAGAGTAGAATCGGTCAAGCAGCAGAATAGCTAAGATTTGTGATGGGTGTGTTTGTTCTGGTATAATAATAACCTATTTTTAAAAACGAGCCAAACAAAACTTTGTTGCACTTCTATTAAAAACTTTAACAAAAGAGCAAAAGCTAAAGTAGATGAACTGTTAACTGAAAATAACATACCAGTCCTATGCATTGGCCCACCCAAGGGCAATGATGGTCAAATCGTTCCACACAATTGTTACAGATGGAACAGTGAGAACAGCGGGGAGGGCGATAAAGCATACATGTATCACAGTATTTGACTCGAACAGGAATCCCGTTGACCATCACTTCTTTCGTCCTAGGAAACTGAAGGCCCGGTGTTTGTCTGCCACCAACCTCAACTGATGCAGAAGAATCATAACGGAACTCCTCTTCTGGTGGATGCAAATTACGGGGGAGAATACCAGGGTCCCGTGCAGATGTCAGAAGCAGAAGAATCAAAACCTTCCAAAATTCAACAGCATATTAGTTCTACTGAAGAAAAATGACCAAGCGGGTTCAAAGAATTAGGGTACATAATTATGTTGAGATTCAGATTTAGTTTACTTAATAGGGAACATAAAAGGTAAACAGTCATAGTTGACATCAACGGCAGCTTAGAAGAGCCTGATGCATAATCTAGAGACAAAAAAACAGAGATGTCGTAGCTGCTACCTAAGATGCCATCCACAATCAGGGAAAGGTAATACCTAAGATGGTCAACAAATTGGGAATTGCTACTCTTAATTAGTTAGGGGGGGGGGGGGGGGGGGGGGGGGGGGGGATAATCCTAAGCATCCTGAAATGTCATGATATCTCTAAGTTGACACTTGAACTCCAGCTTAACAAAACAGACTCATGTGGTTGAAGGGCCTAACCCATTTTTCTGTGCCAAAACACACTTAGACATTAAGAGGCTGCGTGGGACTTTGGGCTCTACCAATGCAAATAAATTTGGCTAGGAAATCACAGGATTAGTGAACTTACATAGATGGTAAAGACAATTATTAAGAGGCTGCCTGGGACTTTGGGCTCTACCAATGCAAATAAATTTGGCTACGAAATCACAGGATTAGTGAACTTACATAGATGGTAAAGACAATTGCAATCACTAGAATGGCATAGCCAGCATTGTAGGGTGAAAATTCATGACGCAGATGCCTTGCGACAAATACACAAAATATCACAATTGGAACAATGATGAGTGATAAGGTGAAGATCAGTGATCTAGCATCTGGTCCAAATATAAATCTTCCTCCAAGGATGAACTTCTGCATAATAGAAAAAAGCACAATTATTTAGAAGGAACCTACCAGAAATGAAAAGGAAACATTAATTTCTTAACACTTAGCCCGGCAGAATTCATGTCCAAAAACATAGTTTTGAGATGTTACCGTGCCATCAACAAAGTACGAGATAAAAAAAACGAGCACAAAACCCATTGAAGCACAACATTAGAAGGTTCCTAAACACCTATTGATGCACTGTAGCAGGAACTCATAAAGATGTTAGGAAATTAAGTGTAAGAGAGAGGCCAAGCAATGTCCTGTATTGAAACCACATCAAGCTGACAAACTATAACACAAGCATGATGGTCACTGGATGGTGTCGAAGTGACCACCACCTCATAGTGCAATAATAGAAAGGCTAATGTTAGAAGGTTTCGAAACAGCCAAGTATGTCTCTATTTTGAAAGAACTAGTCAGCTTCAAAGGATCGGGTTAGCTTCAAAGCAGCAGGGACATTTATCCTAACCGCCCATCAGAGGCACCTGATATCTACTGTGGAAGGCATACAAGTAAATAACTCTAACACTGTCACAGAATAGCAATATTACGATGCTAGATCAGACAATATAAACAAAGCCGTAAAGACACTAGGCACAGAATCCAAACTAGAGGAAAAGTGATATAGAAAATATATATTTCTGCAACAGATTTCAACCAATCAGCTTAGAAAATAATAAATAATATTCATTCAGGTCAACAGCTCATCTTTTCCTTGCTTTCTGATGTAACTATAAAATGTTAACCCAAAAGCCACATGAATAGTACACGCCTCTGTGCAGGAAAAGGGAGTTGCAGCACATAACTAAATGTGAGCACAGTGTGAGGCCATGACAGGAGAAAGGATCAGAAAATTAGCTCAAGAGAGGGAAAATCTTTGAGAAAATTTATAGGCCAGATGGTACCAACACATGGTCAATTGAAGAACTACACATACAATCTTAGAGAACATCTCTCTGTATCAATCTTGCAAGAAGCCTGACATCTTAGTTATATGACTTATATCCTTTTAAGATTTGCTAAAATACTAGTGTGCTCCCGCAAGACAAACTAGCAGCCATTATTTAACTGGCGTATCATTGCAAAGTAGGGTAGCATCTGTTCAAATCAATAGAAGACTAGCTGTGTCTCATATGTTTAATCACCATTACCTTGATACTTGATCAGTTTTATGTTAGCAGAATTGGCATGAAGCCCAAAACTAGAAATGAATCTGATCAAACATGAAGTTCACACAGTAGCAGATGGATATTATACCAATGAGGCAACATAGATAACATAAATTCACGGGCAAGTCACTGCCGTTACTTTGTAGCTCTGGTACCTCAGTAGCTCAAGCAGAGATATGAATCTTAGCTGGTGGTAGTCTATTTTGATATTTCTCTCCCTAGTTCCAAGTTCATACCAAGTATCACCAACATCTCAATTCTCAGTCAATGCTTGCAGAAAACAACCAGCAAATCTCGAAACCTAGATTATACCGGGCACCCATTAGAGAACTATTACAGCTTTAATTCAGCTGCATAATAACTCCAGTCCCAAACCTACACCATAGATAGGAGGAAATACAAGAAACCACATTTTGCCATCAAATTCTACAGGCTGGCACACCCAGAAGTGCTCAGGCAAAACCCAGTATTCAAACTAACTCGAGCAAATCAGAAACTGCTAAAGGCCAACAATTTTGGCGAAATCGAAGGCACAACCACAAAATTACTCAACCCCGAAAACCCAATAGAGGGGAAAACGAGAGCCTTACGTTACTTCCTTTCCAGACTTCGAACACTCGCTTCGCCATGTCAGTAGCCTCCACGCGCCTCCTGCTCTCTCGTCTCCTTCTTCCTTCAATCGAACGGTGAGACTACGCAGGCAAGGAATCGCAGATTTCAAACTTGCTCTTCTTCTTCTTCTTCCCGTCGTTCATTTCAATTCCAGAGCTCCATTACCCGCTGCCTCCTCCCCACGACCGAATCAATGGAAAGTGGATGATTGAAACAGCCCACGAACGATAAAAATAATAATAATCAAGCCCTCCCTCCGCTTTTTAATTCCCTCCCTCCTGAACAGCGCTTCTTGTCTTTTCCCTTTCCGGGAAAATTTTCCAGCAGAATAGAAAATTCGCCACTCAGTGATAATGAATTGACCGAAGACGGGAACAGTAAACCCTCAGGCGACGGAGCGAGCGAGAGAAGGCTCAGTGGGTGGTGATCTTTTCGCCGAGTTGGAGTGTGAATGAAGATGGCCCGTTTTTTTTTGTTTTTTGAATTCAGTCGAGTTATGAAGAAGATTCCTTCTAAATAAATCATTTAAAAAAAAAAGAAGGATTCGGAATTAACAACTGGAAAAATTAGGGTTATGGTACTTCTAATGTGTAGTTTTAACAAAAACATCACCAGACTTTTTTCTTTTTTCACAAATTGGTTGCACTTGGCCTTGTGTACAATACCGTTCGTGACCCTATCTATAATCATGCTTGCATAAAATGTTACAAAATTTCTTGGTTGTCCTTCTATTTCAGGCTTAATTTTTGAACTACTCTCTAGTTTGCATTGCACGACGCATCTATTTTCCATGATTAGGAATTTAACGGATTCGCGATATGAAAAGTTTATAGACCCGATTGAAAGGTGAAAGACGACTTATTTCCTATTATCATATACACATTGTGAGCATGCTTAATGGTAGACCAAAAAAGGGGACTGAAATTAAAAGGTTTACGTAATTACGTTTGTGAAAGAAAGTGGACCAAATTTGGAATTAAATGGTAGTTAATGTGCGATCCGTCTAAGTGAGAAAATTTAAATAAATCAATTAATGGCACAATTTACTATTTGTTCAAAACATAATTATGGGCACTAAATCAGGCGCGTTATACCGCGAACCAGCACAAACACACGCATTAAAATAATACAAATCTGACTTTTGTTCAACCCTGAAACATAGTAGTTGACTTCAAAAAACTTAGGAAAACGAAAGGTACTCTGGGTTAATGGTAAAAATAATCGTTACTAAATCACTCTTTTATTGTAGTGTAACGGGTTAACGATAAGGATGATTGAATCCGTCATGCCGGGTATTGCTCGACCTGATCTGCAATATGATGGAATATGAGTATTTATTTCTCCACATTTTCTGTCCCGCCCTACTCCGTTATTGGCTCTAACTATTCTATCTCAATTTCTTAAAATATTATTCATATTTTTTCTATATTTGACTTTCTTCAAATAATTAGACTTGATCTTTCAACTAGTTAGGCTCAACTATCCATTTTATTATCACTATTTTTCATTCATAAAAATGTTTTTTCGTTTGTTTTATTGTAAAAGTAAAATTATGCGTGTATTATTTTAAATAATATTTAATAATAGATCAACCCGTCCCGACACGTACCCGTGCGGGTATTACCCGCAATGACGTGGGGTGGGACGTGGATATTAAGATACCCACCCCGCCCCATTGTCATCACTAATTAACAGAAATACCTAATTTCATGTTGATTTCTTCCCAGGAACTTGATTTGGAACTCTAAAGACAAATTTGTGACCGGATAGTACCCTAGAACACACTCTGAGAGGTGTTGTAACCTTCTTCCGATCAACCAAGTCGTCTCAATTCTTATATAAAATATATTTCTAATCTTTATGATGGTGAGAAGAGAAGATGGGTTTCGATCTTCGTATACAAGACCACAACCTCAAAATTCTTTATTTTCTAGTTTAGCTAGAACTCCCATGCATAAAACACTAACTAGATTAGTATCATGTATCTATCTTCATACAAATATAAGACGTGTTTGGCCTTTTTATTTGGATCACTTGTAATGAACTCGTTTAATTAAATAGAAAATAAAATTGTATAAATACGTGACACTAGACTGATTTATTGAGACCAGTTGGTTTATGACGATAGAAAAGTTGCATGATACTAATCTAGTTTTTTTTTTTTTTTTTTGAATAAGAAGATACTAATCTAGTTAGTGTTTTATTTAAGTGCACGATCATAGAACTGAAGTTGGCAAGAGAGGATTATGTATGGTACTTAACCACTTGTCCACTTCATGGTGGGCTAAAGTTACGGTGATTTTCCACTATCATTATATGATATGAATATATGATTATGTTGTCAACCTTATGATCATAGTGGTAAGATCGTGATAAGATTACAAAAAAAAATATATTTTTTAAAGAGTTAGTTATTTTTTTTTCGTTCGCTCAATATATAGCAAAAAGGATTAATTGTGTCACAATTAATGATTTCTTTCTGCACAAAATCCCTTAAATTTTCAGTTAAAACGAGGAGATATGATCCGATTAAAATGAATGTGAACTAGAAAAAGTTTGTTTTGACTAGTCAAAATTATTCTCTCTCTTTTGAACTCCGCATCAGTCAAAGTAAAATAAAAGAAAAGACAAATTAGTACGAAAATTATCCGTCAACCCCTCCATTTTATAAAGTTACGAATCATTCATATCAAAACTAATAAACGACTCAAAATGTGAGTTTTATAAAATTTTGTACTAAAGAGTTTTGTATCATATTAGCTGCTCTAATAATCATAAGAACCAAGGGGGTACCATTAAAACAAGCAAGCACGAGGTAATATGACCGACTGTCGGAGTTACTGGAGAAATGACAAAAAGGAAAGAAGAGAGATCCCCCCTAATTCAACACATGTTAAGTAAAAATGTAAAATACATTTGGGTTAGGGTTATAAAAAAGAAATTGAGACAAACAATTAGCAAACCAAATAGTATTTGTCATCTCAAGCAAATAAATCTGAGCATTATGCTATCTCAAATTTTCTTGTGTTTACATTTTGATTTCTCGAGAACTCGCATTTTAGTCAAATATAATTAATGATTGACATTTCATTTGATATCATTAAATATTTTGTATTGCCAAGTAAAAGAATTAGAACGATCCTGCAATTGAACGCAATTCAAAAGAAAACAATCAAAATCTCACCAACGAGAGTACTAAACAAAAGAGTGTGCCTTATGGTAAGATGAACACGAGCCTTGTTACTCGCACGATATGCTGCATCAAGGCGCCAGCCAACTAATGAAACTCTAACCAAAATATTTGAAATAATTTTGACGTCTATAATATACTCATGATAGAGCAAAGTTAAAACTAAAGTATTATGTTGTGTGATTCGGCAGTCTTTTTTTTTTTTTGGCCAACTAGTTTTCTTTAGGGTTAATATTTTCGTATGGCCTGAACTTTGACCAAAATAAACATCTTGGCCAATCTTTTCGATCTATAACATCCTGGCCCGAACTATACACCAAAATACACAATTTGGCCAAACCCGATGTTTGACCGTTAACTTTGACGGTCAAACGCGTTGACTAACGGTCAACGCGCCACGTCACTGCCAAGTCAGAAGATCTGATAAATATTTACTTTTTTCGTTTTTTTATTTTTGGTTTAACTAAGGTATTAGATGATTTTTTTTAATTTATAATAATTTAAAATTAGGGAATGTGTGGAAAATGTGAATTATTTTAAATATTTAATGCTGACTTGGCAGTGACATGGCTTGTTGACTAACGGTCAACGCGTTTGACCGTCCAAGTTAACGGTCAAAAGTCGGATCTGGCCAAATTGTTTATTTTGGTGTATAGTTCGGGCCAGGATGTTATAGATCGAAAAGATTGGCCAGGATGTTTATTTTGGTCAAAGTTCAGGTCATACGAAAATATTAACCCTTTTCTTTAAACAACATTTCCTGCAATTGTTATTTTGTTAAATACCACGACATATGTGTCCTCCATAGTTTAGAGTATGAACTTATTTTACTGTTTTTTTCCAAACAAAAGTACACGAGTCAACAATACTCAATATAAACACAAACAGAACACTTCATGATTACGAAATTCGAACCGATCCAAATTAAACGAAATTTTGACGGTGCCACTCGAACCACATTTCATGGTAATTGCATGCACGCAGTTACAAATCAAATCAAACCCAACCCAACACACAGTCATAAATCATTCAATTGACAAAATCACACCGTTTCCGAATCTCGCCTCGACTCCCGGTCAGAACCTCAATCGCCCCCATCTTCACCATCGCCTTAGCAAACTTCCCCGCCCACGCGCCACCACCTTTCCCGCCACTCGCGAACCCTACCACGCGCTTCCTCGTCAACGCGCTCTCCATCAGCGTCTGGTCCGAACTCAACAACCCCCTCCCCTTCCTCAGCTCCCCGTAATAATTACCATCCAACCGATCCGGCGTCGCATCGAGCCCCACCGCCACGTCACCCCCTCCATCCGGACACCTCCGCTTCAGCTCGGTCGCGTACGCGCCGTCCAGCCCCGGGTCCTGCGCGTGGGTCGCGTTGAAGGAGTAGAGCCGCGCGGAAAACGAGGAGCAGTGGGCCACGCCGATCGAGTGGGCCCCCGAGAGGGCCACCATGTCGTCGGCGGTCAGACCCTTCCGCGCGAAGCTGGCCGCCAGCTGGGCGGCGGTGAAGCTCGGCGGCGGGAGGTTCGCGGGGATGTCGTCGAAGAGGGAGATCCGGCCGTCGCGGCGGCCGGCGGGGACGGCGTAAGTGATGCGGCCGAGGTGGAAGGAGCTGTCGCGGGCGGCGAAGGCGAGGATGTCGGCGCAGGAGACGGTGTTCGGGCAGATCGATTCGAGGTTCGATTTGGCCTCGTCGATCGGTTCGAACCCTCGCAGGGTCGGGTTGTTGGCCGGGTGGTCCCGCTCGGTTTTGTTCCCACCAGGTTCGGATTTCAGTAGGACCGACCCGTCACAGCCCTGGGGTCAAGGAGATAATTAAAAAATCATTCGCACCAATTAATCGTAAGTAAATATGTTTAAATTAACCATAAAAATATGTTAAATAATAAAAAAAAATGCGCTTGTAAAAAATTACATAGTAAGTGCATATATATAATAACATGAATTTCGTCAATAATGTATTACAGAATCGAATTTTTAGTCATGACATCTCCTTCACGAAATTTTTATCATATTAAAAAGTACCAGAACAATTTATATTCCTACAAAAAAAAAAACACCAATAATAACTAGGGTAATTATTTAAAATCGGTAAATACATATAACAAACTAGGATGTGCAGTGTAAAAGCGTAAGTGTCATATAAATTAGTTCAATCAAAAATTTCATCTGAAGAATTCTATATTGTGAAATGATATGTTACAAAACTCAAAACTACAAAATCTAGTGTCTTATCATTTCTGATAAGAATCGTATTATCGTGACACAAATTAAATATATTAGAGGGTGGTATGATTTGAGTAGGGATGACAATTACCCTGACGAAGCAGTCGTGGAAGTGCATCCTGATAATGCCGGCGCCGAGTCCCGGATCTCGAGAAACGGCTCTGGTCACAGCTCTTCGGACGACCGCTTCGGCGGAAGGACAGGAGGACTTGTAGAACCCCACTTTCAGAGAAGCCGCCGCCGCCGGCTGCTGCGTCGACGCCAGAATATTGAACATTATGAAGACTACTAATGAGAACGACGACGTCGAGAAGGAGGAGGAGGAGGAGGATGAGTACTGTCGTGCCATTTTGGTGGTCGGCGTTCACCCACGGCCGGTCACGGAACGGGACCTATTTATTTTGGCGAAGCTGTGAACTGATTATGGTTTAATGGGTTTGGTTAATTAGTATATTATTGCTACGTACGAAGAGTTAATTTGTTTATTTATTTATTTATTTATATAAACATTGAGCAGGTAGAGGTGGAGTACAGATCGAGGGAGCACTACAGTGTTCGAGTTTTTGGTAGCTAGCTTAAGCCAGTTAATTGGAGTTGGTATCAACCTTTTTGTTTTTATGAGTTGGTTTATTTATATTAGGGAAAGGGGAAGTAAAGGGTACAAAATTCAAAACCGCAGAAGCACGTATAAAATTTGGCGTTTTTATCATCTCCGGTATGAATCATTCCACCTTGAAATTAGGGCTGGGAATCGGTGCGGTCTGGTTCAGATCAGACCATATATACGGTCGATGGTCCAGATCGAGAGGCTGAAGTATAGACCACAGTCACTATACGGTCCAGTCCAGACCACGCCTGTGCGGTTTGGTTCTGTCTGGTCTGGTCTAGATAGACCACACTCAACGGAAAATGAACAATTTGTTTAGTCAACCACACAAAAAATTGAACTAATAACCAAGAAAAATAATTGTTATTTGCCTTAAAACATTAATCCTAACATGCATGAATAATTTTGGTACTCTGATTCTTAGTACATAACAAAAAGTTAAAGTAAAAGCATCCCAACTTGCACCATAACGTCATAAAAACATTAACATAATGTCATGTTGAGACATGATTATCTCTACTCTCTGGTTAAATGTGTTTGTGAATGAAAGAGAGACGAGATTCACAAAATTAAGGTTGAGACTTGGGTGTCATTGTGGGAGTTGGGAGAGTGGTCAAATAGGCTGTTAACACGTATTGACAAGTCGATTGGGTCCACGGTTTGGTCCGGTAAACCGCGGTCTAGACCAGACCATACCATACCATACCTAACGGTCTACAATCCGGACCAAACTGTACGTTACGGTTTGGACCACGATTTTTCTGACGGACTGGTCTGTTTTCCCAGCCCTACTTGAAATGAACATGTCAAGAGGTTTTATAATTTCGTATTATAGGTGATAGAATACGAATTTTATAGGTTTTGTAGTATGTAAAGGATGAAGAAATCACAAACAAAAAGATAAGCGTGGCTTTCAACGTGCATGTGATGCGATACCCAAATTGTTTATTGTAGAATGTGTGTAAGCAAGAGCCGGTGCGCTAATTAGATAGAGACAAGAATAAACGATTATGCAAATATTCTCTGTGTATGGTATGGCAAAAAAATTAAACCTAAAAAAAATAGGGAAAGAACAAGAAGAAAGTAATGAAAAAAGTGGTGCGCAGGAGCATAAATAATAAAAAAAAATCAGCAAAAAAAAAAAAACAATTAGAGAAGGACAACAAAATATGTATATGAACTTAGGTATAGCATGGCTCGATTGGGTGGGTTGTGGCAGGCGGCCACCTTCTAACATATATAGCCTTTTGCTTCAACTTCAATCGAAGAGGAACTAAGAATATGAGTAAGTCCGTCCATGGTCGTTACTGATGACGATACCATAAGCTGCCTCCTGGAAATCATGTAGAAATTGTCTGAGTCAGGAATGTTCCGGTGGCCTTAGGGCACTGATTAAGGCAAGGAAGTCAAAGGAAGACGCCTTGGAGAGACGTTTGGTATATGAAGTTATGAACTATGACGATTGGCATCCGCTACTTCATGCAAAGAAGGTCCTCAGGCGGTCGCCCGATTCCTCAAGGCATTCGACATTAAATGCGATGTCGGACGTTCTACGAATGTCTTGTCAGCTACGTGGACGCCTTTCGGTGGCATCAAATGTCGTCTCTTACACACAACAACGTCTCTAGTCCCAAGGAAGATTTTGTCACGTTGATCGATGCTACTCCAGGCGGGTACAAGGTCGTTAGGCGTTCTTCTAACTTATGCCCTTTTCTACGCATTGGGCCTTAAACTGACGTGGTGGGCTTTTATTCTCACTGTGCCTTGGCCCAAGGTTGCTAAACACTGGGTCCAACAGGAATGAGCCGTCACAGTGTATAGCAATATATCGCTCATAGCCATATCGCGATATCTGGGCAATTATCGTTTTCGTCAACTTACCGCATTACGTTTTCAGTTATCGTGAACGAAAAAACGTTTCCGTTTCTACTTTCTACGGTTCTTACCCGGGTTAGTTTTGCTTCTTTGCCAGCCGTTTCACGCTTGTGTCTCCAGCGTTTCCTCATCCACTTCCCGTTTCTTTAGCACAGAACCGCTTCTACTCCCTCTCGCCGCCGCCGCCGGCAGCAACGGAGACTCCTTTTTAGTTCTTCATCGCCACACATCATAAAATTACGTCGATATCACTTTTGGTAGTTGGTACACTTTCCAGGTTGGTCGCCGATCGGTTTAAAGCCTCTAATCACGGCGGAGTCCCGCACCACCGCTTCAATCCCTCCGCCGGCTGCCGCGGATCTATTTTCTCCGTCGAAGACCCGGTTTTAGTTGGGGGTTTTCAGGGAAATTGCTCGCCGGATTAAAATGAACGACGAGGCCGCATCAAACATGTAGTTCGCTCGCTGGAGCCAGCTGGTTCAGGTACTTCTCGTTTACAACAGTAATTATACGCACAGAGAGCTGAATCGAACTTAAATTGGATCCTTTGAACTAATCTTCAGCAGCAGGGATTGAATTCTCGATTCTGCTCTCTCGAAGAGCGAAGCAACCTGCGATTTCCCTGCTTCAATGGTACTTCTATTATCTCGATTCTCTTTTGATTGGACGCTCCAGTCTCAACTTGAATTGCGTCTCTGAGAGTTGGATTTTGGATTTCTCTTTGCGGGTTGAAGGATCAAGAGAGCGAGTTTCTGCCGCAGTATGAGCACATACAACAGAATGAATTTTCGTACAGAAAGTAAGTTGGTCTCTTCCCAAATCCTTAAGATGGTTCCAGCCCATTGTGTTAATGGTGAAAAAGTCTTTGGCTTTAGGAAACAATGTGAACATGGCCTTCTTTCAATTCTGCAATTGCTGCTCGTGGTTCTTGTTTAGGGTTAGTATCATGGTTATCTGAGGTGTGCGCTCTTTTTCACTGTAGACACAAGAAGCAGAAGGAAGAGGATATTGCAATCTGCGAATGCAAATTCGACCAAAATGACCCTGAAAGTGCGTGTTCTGAAAGGTGCTTGAATTGGCTAACAAGTACAGAGTGCACTCCTGGTTATTGCCCCTGTGACATCCATTGCAAGAATCAGGTTCGAAATACTGATATGGCTAATCTATGTTCCTTTGTTAATTTAGTTATATACTGATTTGGTGTTCTAGACCAGTTTTCTTGTGACTCAGAACCAATAGTCGAAATTGAATGGAGTGGACTATTGCTGAACCAACATGTTTTTTCTTCTTTGCTCCGCTGATTCAGAAATTTCAGAAATGTGAGTATGCTAAAACACTGTTGGTCAAGACGGAGGGTCGTGGATGGGGTCTTATTGCTGATGAGGATATAGAGGTGTGGCATCCAAAATTCCAAACTAGTTCCGATTTGTTATGCAAGACGAGTCGAGCATGTTGTTGAGTGGTTTCACTGGATACAGAATGTTCAAATTCCTATGCTTAAATTGAAGTCTGTGTTTTACATGTTTGGAAGAATTGTTTCAGTAAATGATATATAATGCAGGCTGGGCAGTTCATCATTGAGTATTGTGGTGAAGTAATATCCTGGAAAGAGGCAAGGCGAAGGTCCCATTTTTATGAATCCCTAGGTAGGAGTTGATTTACAGCACGTATGCCTGTATAATGATATAAACATTGGATCTCATCTATCTCTCTATTGTATGGTCCAGGTCTGAAAGATGCATATATAATTTCGCTGAATGCTGTTGAGTCCATTGATGCCACTAGAAAAGGAAGTCATGCTAGGTTCATAAACCATTCATGGTGAGATTTTTCAGTCAGAAAGTCATTTTGTATTCTTACTTGACTTATTCTAAGGATTAATTTTCTGCTGTAGCCAACCAAATTGTGAGACGAGGAAGTGGCATGTTATGGGGGAAATACGGGTTGGAATATTTGCAAAGCAAGATATTCCAATTGGAACCGAACTGTCATATGATTATAATTTTGAATGGTATGGCGGTGCAAAGGTTCGTTGTTTGTGCGGTGCAGTCAGCTGTTCTGGTTTTCTTGGTGCAAAATCTCGTGGTTTCCAGGTAAAGTTTCTGAATGTTCTTGCATGGAAGCCGTACGTTTGTGGCTGTTAGGAGATATGTAAATTTTATTCTGACGGGGAAAAACAGCTGTAGGTGAAATGCTTAAGAAGAAAAATGCAGAACAGAGAACACATTTGGTGGGTGAAAAGTGAGAAAATTAGGATTTGGGAGCCATTACAGCTGACTTATTCACTCCTTTGATAACCATTAAACCAATGCATAAAACAGAATTAGCTTGGTGTACTTGGCAACAAGTAAACCACTAAATACACATATTTAACTCAAATCACAATTTAAATGTTCTCAGAAACTAATTCCATAATCTCATGCTGTTTCTACACGCCAATGACACTTTAACGTACAGTTCCTGTGTGGACATCTCTGCCATTTTCCTTTGATTTTAGTGATGTGGAAATCTCATGCATAGTTTCTTTTGCTTTATCTTACAGGAGGATACATATCTATGGGAGGACGACGATGATAGGTGCACTCTGAATTGTCTAGTTACTTGACCCCTATTTGATTCTGCTTTTGCTTGCTTGCAAGGATAGAAGTCTCACTGTTGGACTCTTTTGATGGCAGGTATTCAGTTGAAAAAATTCCATTGTATGATTCTGCAGAGGATGAGCCCTTGTCCAAGCTTCCCAGGACTAGCAGTCCTACATCCGAGTTGCGAGAGATTAATGAATACCCCATGTCAATGAACACTGACAATGGACCTGAAAATTACTTCAGGCCCGCTGGTGTTGGTGACATGCCACTTGATCTAGAACCAGTTGACCAAACAGTAGCATATCCGGTAAAATCTGAAGCAACTGGAGAGTCGAAGAATGTGTATTCTCAAGACACCCCACAGCCATTTGCACCAAAGAGTGCAGTGATTTCCCGCATCCGAAAGCATCAGATTAGTGGACCCCGTTCCATCCCTAGGAAACGAATGAAGAATATTTCTGTAGGGAAGTCTAAACAGGTTGCAGAGAAGCAAATGGATGCGAAACGTGTTGCAGAACTGTTGTCCTTGAAAGAAGCAAAGCAGGAAGTTCTTATATACGAGGTATTTGCTATTTTGTTAAGTGTATTGATATTACATCTCAATTTGACCCGATTTCAAGGTCCAGCCATGTAGTATCATAATTAAGATTGGCCCTGTAGGTATACTCATACACTTGCTATTTTAATTACATTGCTCAAATCTGTATTCATGAACTCAGAGAAAAGCAACCATCTTGGAGGTTTATGTTACGCTTTCAATTCTTACCGTGGCAGGATTTGAAGAACGACGCAGCCTCTGAGCTTGCGAACCTGTACAGCGAGATAAGGCCGGCCATTGAGGAGCACGAGAGGGATAGCCAAGACAGCGTGGCGACCAGTGTAGCTGAGAAGTGGATCGAGGCTAGCTGCATGAAGTTGAAGGCCGATTTCGACCTTTACTCGTGCATTATCAAGAATGTGGCCTACAACATTCCCAAGGCGCAGAACCAGACAGGAATGGACGTGGATGGTGACGTGAAGTACCTAGGAATCTAATGGATGATACCGTGGCTTACAATCGGCTGCTGGTGTAGTGCATACATTTCTCTGTAGGAAGTAGGAACATTATAATTGTTTGATCCAATTCCAACCAAAAGGGTGATTCTGTTTACATAACTCAAGACTCATTACTTTGGTAGAGTTCCTATGTAAACACCTGGTCACGAACGCAGGAGTATACGGTATGACAACGGGAAGAATGAATCATTTGTACAACAGATCCAGATTTTATATAAATGTTTCAGGGAAGATTGTATAATAACAGCACCAGTGGTCTAGTGGTAGAATAGTACCCTGCCACGGTACAGACCCGGGTTCGATTCCCGGCTGGTGCATACTTTTTAAGTTTTCCACTCCATTTCCACTTTTACAAAATCTTCAATTATTTGGCCTCATTTTGGGCTTGTTATTGTCAATAAGATGATTCATGAATTGAATCCCATTGAATTTGAATCCAATTCAATGTTCCAAAAAGAATCCAATTCAATGTTCCAAAAAATAATTTCGACTCAAGTGTGATGCACCGCTAACTATAGCTGTTTGGTGCAATTTGTGTACACACTTTGAGTTCCGAATTAGGCTGACTATTTTGTGGCAGGAAAAATGTTATTATCTTGGTTTTATTAATGTTTTTAATGACTTCACCTATTTAGTATATGTCTGAATCTACAAAAGCGAGTGCCTTAATTATACGGGCTTCTCATACTCTTATTTGATTTATTCGTAAGAATATCTATAACAAAAATTACGGTTCGATACAAAAGGTATGTTTCATAGCTTGAATCAGCCGGTTATAACTTCATGATGGCGCATAGCCCATAGGTGCATGATCGTTCTTTTAAGTTTAGAATTGAAGTTCTTGAAATCTCATCAACCATAAAGAGGTGGTGATACATAAGAATTGGCATAAATTGTTATTTATTTGATTAGCACAACATATCATTTAAAAGAGATTTTATTTTTGTAACTATCAACATAATATGCTTGTTTTCTGGGGTTGATAGTAACATTAAGTAAATAAATTTGGTATTTTGCATTCGTTAATTATTGATAATATAATCTTATACGATTTCACAACTCATTCATTTTTTTTTTTTGTAGAAGCTCATTCATTTTTCAATGTTAAAGCTTAAATGACATTGTAATACGAAAAATCAATACATTTGTAATATACATACGCACGCGAATAAGTTGAATTATTGCAAGAAATGTTTGAAAGATTGATCAGTTTGTTGGATCGTACTTTGTAGAACAAACTACAAAGTAACAATAAAACAAGAGAGTAAGTACAAAGAAAAAGAACACCAAACACATGCATGTACTGGAATTAAGCATGGATCTCGATGCAAACCAGAATAATATACATCAATTATAATTAGCACATAATTAACTAGTAATACATAGTTAGTGGTTAATCATAATGTTCTCTCTTCATTAATTAAGCCAAAAGCATCGCCGTCGGATAGTGGTAATCCTTTTATGTCCAGTTTTTTTGTTCCTTCGGTCGGAATTGGCCGATTCCATTAAAGCATCTACAGCAGGGCCAAACTAAGCTATTAATTCCTTAATTAGCTTTTTAATTAATGGGGGTAATGATTCTCGGCAAGCACATGCATACATCTTTTTAACAAAAAGCATAGCCGCCATCATATTCAAATTCATTTTGATTATTCAAAATTCTATAATGATGCTCGTGGTTCAACCGGCCGGTTCCGACCGTCAAAATTGCCTACCATTTTAGGTTTGATATTTCCGGTCTGACCGGCCGGTATAATAGGGTTTCTTAGACCTTGACATTAAGTTAATTTTATTAGGAGTACTATAAAGAGGATAACTGCTAGCTAGAATGGACCTCTTTCCCATTGCAACAACACAAACTATTATTTCAACCACAAAGATTTGACGTTTTGTTTGATTGAGACCCACTTGATTGTATATATATATATATATTAATTAATTAATTCAATTTGATTTTTAAGACAATAAATTCTATTAGTACATGAGATATTGTAACGTCCTCGAAATCATTCAAAATGTGACCTTGGACGGATCCCGCAACACAATACTAACGTATATATATCATGCATCTACAATTATAGTTCATGAAATTTGACCCGACTTTGTAGCCAAATATTCGTCATTTTATATGATTATTTATCATGAGACATAAAATAAACACGAGTTGGAAGTATTATCAGTGGATTATGGATATGATGTACCTATTCTCACTTGTTTTTAGGTGACATGCGTACACTATGCATGATTGTATTTGCTAATATGCATATAAATCATTTCATTAATAAGATATAAATCAAGTAAAATGGTGTCTTTGCGGCGAAGCTACGCCATATCTATTTAGTATTAACACACTCATTATATTATCGATCTGTGTTTATGTGGCGTATGGCTGGTTGGGGCACCGATAATCCAAAACTGAGACCCTTTAATTGTTTCATATTAATTTTTTTTATAGATATAAAGAAAATTATGGGATGCATGCACACATCATTATTTAATTAATGTCGTAAATTTCACTTTAATTATTGTCTTTTGTTTTGCGGGTTTTGTAGACGATAAATTGACTACCAGCTGCCTCTCTCTGCTTTATTTGCCTACTATTCCTGTCGTCCCCCGTCATATATAATTATATATGGCAATTTCTTTAGGTTGTTCAACAGTCTTTTTTGGTCTGCACACACACATATAATTTTTATTTTTATTTGGTGTACTCACATTTTTCATGTATGTTATGCACTCATGTCGTTCAGAGTAGGTGATATCATATTAAAACGATATTAATCATCACATGTGCTATGATAGACAAGAAAATGCATGAATTTTTACAGAATCCATTCAGAATTTACTTTGATTTAAAGGATTCATGGTTTGAGGTTTAGCATTAGGGTTTATAATTTAGGGTAATGCATGGATTCGTTATATGATCATTTGCTATATTATCATATTAATTAGACCAATGCTATCAGTTGAAATTCAAAAATCGATATCTTAAGACTTTTATCAGAGTTATATGCATAGTATATGCACTCAGTTTCAAGAGTACATCATAAAAGTCACCTATATAATATCAATACTCAATTACCCATCAATAGTAATTTATGTTTTGAGCTTTCATTCAAACTCGAAATTTAGGAGTTTATTTGAAGAAATTATACTTCCAATAACACATTGATTCTAGGACATAAAATGTTAAGGATTATATTGTAAAAAAAAAATAAAAAATGCTCCAAGGTATGTTTATGGTGTCTTGGTCAAGCTCCAAGTATAAGTTACTTTGAGTTTAGCGGATAACTTCAATTAGTTGGTTTGTCGATTTGGTCGACCAATTCAGTAATAATGTATATATGTGATATACTTTGTATGACTTACAACGATCGATCCGTAGTAATCCTCGTGGGTCAATCGATTTCAAAGAAAGATGTTCACACCAGCATGATATATAAATTGCGAAAATGGAAACAGGAATGAGGAACCTTGTGTCCGGCACACGGTTTTTGCCCTCCCTCGATCTAGAAACCACCCAGGTCGTGGATAAAAAAAAACCCCAACGACGACCAACTGTATGTTTTCGATGCAATGAACTTATATATATATGTGGGAAGAAACCTCGAATCAAGTCTCCAATCCCTTCCATTACGCAAATTACATTTTCATTTGTGTTATGATTGAAGGGCAAGTGGAAAAAAAACAAAGGATTTTTAGTGGAATGATGGCACAGGATGCAAATTCTGAGATTATTTTTCAATTGAGTTCATAACGTGTTAAAAGACTTTGGATTATGGATTTTATTGTCATAAATATGTACTTATTAATGGAGATCGCTAGAGATACCGGTTTTTTTTATTATAGGAATGATATAAGTTTGTTTGTAGTTAGGTGTTATTTAATTCGAATTTGAGATCTATAGGTTCAAATTCAATGGTATTGTCGTTGGACCAATTCCTTATTCAGAATAGAGATTTTCATATTTACTTTACAACTACAACCATAGGTGACTATATGTTATCGGTCCGTTTGATATTTAGTTAAGATTAGATATTAATCTATTGTAATTTATTCACAAAACCTTGCAGATATTACTTCGAATGGTTCAATGAAAAAGTTAATGATCAAATTTCTCAAATCTAGATTTCTTCTTGATATCTAATGAAGTACAATATTATCTAAAATCTCAGGATAACCCAACAATTTAAAATCTACAATTAGAATCTACAATTATGAAGAAAAAAAATTCTCAATCCTAATATTTTTCAGAGACTATATGCTTTCCTCATCAAAGTAGTTGGATTACTAAAGACTAAAGAGACAACCATGGAAAAAGAAGTGGGGTGGACACATGCATTCTAATGCTGTCTATTCAAAGTCTTCCATAAATCCTAAAAAAAAAGTCTTCCATAAAAGAGGGTATAGGTGTCCTTATCGCTTTTTCCCTTTCACAAGGATTCTCCCTACTAACTTTGTACACACAAGTTGCAATCTAGAGGCTATATTTTTAATAAGCCACGTGGATAAAGACTTCTCCAAATCTCGTCTCATATAAAATTATTGGTTAGGTTCCAATTATTCGAGTTGTCAAATCAACTCTAATACTATTTCAAGAACCAGTTGATCCCAATAACTTGAACCAACGAGAGTGATTCAATAATAGTCATTATACCACGTATACCAACACCACCGATCACATTTTAAATTCGAACAAGAGGGTCAACAATTAGCTAGCTAGCTAAGTAGGATATGGATAAACAAAGACTTACACTTGCCCCCTAAAACTAAAACTACAGGATTATAATAATCCGCAATATCCTGTGATTCAAACATATAATTACTTAATCAAATAAGCTCTAATACTATGCCAACAACCAGTTGATCCCAATAATTTGATCCCAAAGACTACACTTGCCCCTAAAAACTACACGAATATATCCAAAAGAAGAGAGGAATATAATAGACATAAGTAATTAGACTTATTGATAGACCATAAGAGACCCTTTGATATTTGTTACCAAAAGAGACAGAGAAAGTGGGGGGTAGGTGGGTTCTTGAATGGCTATAAATATCACCACATCCATGGTGGTATTTTACACAAAATCAAACACACTCGACCCGACCCGACTCACAGATCGGAAAAACAATGACAACATCTTCTTCTTCTCTGGTTGCAGCTGCTCTGCTCATTTCGGTGGCCTGCTTCATTGCAGCGACGAGCAATTACTACGTTGAGGCGGCGGACCCGCCGCTGGTGCAAGGGATGTCGTGGAGCTTCTACACCTCCACCTGCCCGAAGCTGGAATCCATCGTCAAGGCACGGCTCCAGGAGGTGTTCAAGAAGGACATCGGCCAGGCTGCCGGCTTGCTCCGACTCCACTTCCACGACTGCTTCGTTCAAGTAATTATAGCTCTTTACTCATGCTCGATACAGTCAAAATCGCGATTCTACCCTTCTATATTGCTAACGTGTTATTAGTTTATATTATTACGTAAGTGTCAAACATGGGACAAAAAACTGTTTTCTGGAAACTCGGGCTTGAGGCGTCCAATGAACATGTAGAGTTATAATGGTGGCTCGGTTCATTTGTTTGGATAGTTTAGGATGGATAGAACTTTTTTAACGATTGGACATGAAACTAGATGGACTACCATGATTTGACTGGTTCATTGGTTCACAATTTTATTTTAACTTAGAGTAAGACCGCCAAATATGAATTACTAATTTTATTTTGTGTTTCCTCTCTTCATTTTCTAGCCTTTTTTATTGAATTTTGGGGTTCATTGTGAACCGCTACCTTGGTTACTAACTTAGATTTTAGTAAATACTCTTTTATGATATCTTTTGTGAAGCCGTTTGAATGATTTGCCAGAAATTCTGGAGATTGATGATACAAATTCGAAATTGCTTATTGTTAGATATTCGGTGTTAAACTAGTGTGTTGTATGTCTTTTATGTTCAATCCATTATCGATTGAACCATGAACTACTATAACTTTTTCGGTTATAAAAACGTGGGTTTTCATCTTCCCTTCTTTCTTGGGCATAGGGATGTGATGGGTCGGTGTTGCTGACTGGATCCGCCGGCGGGCCCAGCGAGGAGCAAGGTGCCCCGCCCAACCTCAGCCTCCGACAGGAAGCCTTCCGCATCATTGAGGACCTCCGAGCCCGCGTCCACAAGGAATGCGGCCGCGTCGTCTCCTGCTCTGACATCCTCGCCGTGGCCGCCCGCGACTCCGTCGCCCTGGTATACATACATCATTAACTCATTTTCTCTTTGACCAATGCTGTTAAAATCGTGATTCTACGTACAAACGTATTGATGACCTGAAAATACAACAACATAAACTTTAAAACGTAGATTCAACAAGGGAAAAAATGTGATTCTATGTATTAATGTTCCATAATGTTTTTTTCCCTCTCAACAGTCTGGTGGGCCCAGCTACAAAGTCCCCCTGGGCCGACGCGACGGCCTAACCCTCGCCACACGCGCCGCCACCCTCGCCAACCTCCCACCTCCGACGTCCACCACCGGCCAGCTCCTCACCGCCCTGGCACCAAAAAACCTCGACCCCACCGACGTCGTCGCCCTCTCCGGCGGCCACACCATCGGGATCAGCCACTGCTCGTCCTTCACGCGCCGCCTCTACCCGGCCCAGGACGCCACCATGGACCAGACCTTCGCCGGCAACCTCAAGGCCGCCTGCCCGCAGGCCGCCACCGTCGACGGCACCGTCAACATGGACATCCGCTCCCCCAACGTGTTCGACAACAAGTTCTACGTCGACCTGATGAACCGGCAGGGGCTTTTCACCTCCGACCAGGATCTTTACACGGACTCGAGGACCAGAGGGATCGTGACCGGTTTCGCCGTTAACCAGTCGCTGTTCTACGAGAAGTTCGCGGTGGCGATGGTCAAAATGGGACAGCTCAGCGTGTTGACCGGGTCGCAGGGCGAGATTCGCGGGAATTGTTCGAGGAGGAGCACTGGGGTGGAATCGGTGCTGGAGTCTGCTGTGGAGGAAGCTGTCGAGATCCTCGCAGGGTTTTGAGGAGGAAGCTGTCTGATTAGTACGAGTTGATATCGTTGGATTGGATTCGATCTACGGTAGTGAGAGGCTTTCATATCGTAGTAATCGAAGTTGGTTTGAAGAAAGAAAGAAAGAAATAATTAGTTTTAATTAGTAGGCACGTACGCTAGATTGTGGTTTTGTAACCTTGTGTGTGTTTTCTGAGTTGATGTGTTTGGAGCAAGGAATGTGAAACTGTATCCGAGACTATATATAAAAAAAGAATCGGCGATAAGATATGTACTTTGTATTAAAATTATGGTTAATGGTGGTTTCAACCATTTTCTTGCCGCTAGAATTGGCGATTGAATTGAAATTCGCTATCCAATGTAGTTCTCAATTCGACCGGACAATAACTTATGGTTTCTAAAACAATGGTTTGAGAGTTCGGTTTCCCCTCGCCGGGGAGTGTTGAGCTTCTGCTTTGATATGTTATGTGTGCATAGTGTGACAGTAAGGGAAGTCGTTTGATCATGCAATTCTATCGTCCTATCATTTTATAATATTTTTTTAACATGTAATTTTGTCATTGATTATGTACTCTACAAACTATTGAGTAATATTATTTTAGTATATAATCTAAAATTAGATATTGATTTATTGCAAACTACTTTGAATAACATGTAATTCTGTCATTGTATATGTTTATGTTGCACATGCAAATCTACCAATAGTTTACTATCAATAGGGGTAGGGGTGGGCATCGGTGCGGTTCAAACCGCTCCGTCCGCTCCAAATCGCTTGTGCGGTCAGTCCAAACCGCACCATTAAGATTGCGGTTTCATTTGCGGTCTAATTCTTAAGCGGTTCGCGGTTTTGTGGTGCGGATAGACCGAACCGCGCGGTTGCGATTCAAAACCGCAAACCGCTAAATCTCTACTTGGAAGCTCGCCCACCAACACTCAGCGTGGCCCTTAGTTCTCACCACACAGCGTCGTCGTTCTTTTCCACTCATATCTCTACTATCGGCGAGTCGTCGCCACCGTAAATGTTTCCGCTGGTAAAATCAGACGGCGACCGGGGAAGGCGGCCCTATGCGTGGTGGAGTGACGAAGGATTTTTCGATTGGAAGAACGTGATCGGTGGCGTAAAGTGCTGGAAGGCCCGGGTTTACCCTGTTTCAGCAGTGCTGGCGGAGGGGTTCGAATCTCTCATGATCACCGGCTGCGCAAAGACAGGGGCAGAAGGATTTGTCGCCGCACGGCCAGGCTGATGAGGAGCGATGGCGCCGCCAATTCCTTGATGTGCTATTAGCTGCTGCATCCAGCCGCCGGTGGATTCAAGAGCGACAACCCGTTGTCGCGATGTGCAATTGGCTGCTCTCCTTCTACTAATTGGAAGTTTAATTCCCCGTGGCATGTTTTAATCTCATTTTTGCTAATACAAAGCTTTCATTACTGGTTCTCTGTGTCATGCCTCTTCTTTATTCTTTTTCCAACTCCATTGCTCTTTTTTATTCATTTCCAACTTCGCAATCGGTGGGAGGCTGGGAGCACTTTGCGGCCCAACTTGCGGTTGCGGTTCAAACCGCATCAAACCGCTAATTTATACGGTTTGGTTGACCGCTCCGATTATATTGCGGTCCAACATGCGGTGCGATCCAATTAATATGCGGTGCGGTTTATATCTATATGGTGCGGTGCGGTTTGAACCGCACCGATGCCCACCCCTAAATAGGGGTGGTGTTTACAATTCATGCATTTGGGCCAAGAACTGTACATAGGCCCAAAGTTCGAAGGATTAAACTACTGGACCTTATGCTTAATGATTTTGGCCCTATGTGAGTGTTGGGGCAATCAAATAAATTCACGTGTATCACTAGAAACAAATGGCATCCCATTTTCGTGTGTGTTGTAATTTCAAATAAATATTTTGTGTGTTGTACTGGCAGTGCTTAAAACAATAATGCAACTTCAAGGCTATGGGTTTTAGCAATCCTACTATCGAGGCTGGCTTGACTGTAAAAATCGGATACTGGATTTAATTTGTAACTTTGTTCTCGGATCGATGTATTGTATATAAATATCACTAATATAGAGAAAGGGCACACAATATAATTAACTATAGGAAGAAAAAAAAAATATGGCTGTAGTTCTTCAAGCAGCTGGGAGGGTTCTCATCTTCTCTTCTCATCATCATCAACATCATCAACCAAGTTGTCGATTATCTCCGGCGGCACGCCACTCCTTGCTGAAACCAACCGGCGGCGAGCTTCGTCTTTATTCTGCGGCGAGATCACCGAGGTCGACCCCTCCCACAGCTACACACCGGCGATCAGGAAATTACGGTCCCAACATCTGGGAGTCCGATGAATATGAGCCTTTTTACTATGCTATATAGTATTGGTGCTTTAATGTACAACTTAAAGTTGTACCATAACATTAAATGTATAAGTTTAGGTTGTACCATAAAGCAATTTGTATACTTATGTTATGGTACAACTTTACAAGTTGAAGTTGTACCATCACATAAAGGTACAATTTCAAGTTGTACCATAAAATAATTTGTACAAAAAGTATAGGTACAATCTGAAATTGTACCATAACGTAAATGTACAATTTTAAGTTGTACCATAAAGGCAAAAACCTATAACACCAATACTATATAGCATTGTAAAATTTCTCGATGAATATTCCAAGCCCGATGACAGCACTTCTTTACGTGTACGTAATATTTTTTTTTTACTTTTTTTTTTGCCATTAAAGTACAACTTAAGCGCAATTTTGAACCTATGACTTACAGACTATCACTAGGGGTCGTTTGGATTTGGAAATGTAATGCAGTAATTGGACCTAATTACCGCATAATGCAGTAATTGGGTTAAAACCCCATGTTTGGGAGAGCAAAAATAGTATGGAAATTGGACCATGGAAATTGGCTTCAATTACCACATTCATGGTAATTGAGAATACTACACCTCCCCTAATTTGACATTACCACGTTTCCTTATTTCTTTTTCCAAATTCAACACCATCAATTCCCACAAAACTAAACCCTATCCAAACGTGATTTTTTTTTTCCAATCTCCACAAGTCAATTCCTTGGTTTTGTAAAACATGAAAATTCAGACAAATTTCAACGTTTTAAAATTTCTACATCCAAACGACCCCTAAGTCATTGTTTCGTTAATTAATTAAGTTCGTCGGAACCTTTTAACGAATGTTTGATAATATTGTACGGATACAGAATCGGTGGAGAGATCGAGTGGAGGAGCTGGTGGAGCACGTGAGACGGAATTATTTGAGTGATGTCGGAGAAGGTGGCGGCGGCAGCGGCGGCGGCGAGGAGGAGGAAGAAACGGTGGTCCGAACGGTTGAAATGATTGACACGTTGCGGCGGTTGGGAGTTGATTACCATTTCGAGCCGGAGATTCAGAATGCTCTGAGGTTTGTGGCGGCGGCGGCGGCGCCGCCAAACGGTCTCCACGCTTGCGCCCTCCGTTTTAGACTGCTCCGGCAGTCTGGAATCTGGATATCTCCAGCCTCCAGGCATGTTTATGTATTATATGCTCAAACGTTTTGCTTTTTTTTTCTTTTCTTTCTTCTTCCATATCTTTGCTTATGGATATATAGTATATAGAAGCCCAGAAATATTGTTACTATTTTTGTTTCTTTTTTATTTTTTTGGTTGTTGCCGGTAGAAGTCTGGCTATAGATACCCAACCTGATTAGGCGAAAACGTGAGGATCGAGTTAGGTCAGTTTATGTAGAGGATCTGTTTAGGATCGAGTCATTTTTTTTTAACCGACAAGAAATGAATTGGGTCGGATCAACTTAGGGTCAGAACTCGGATAACTTTTTGGCCCTATACGTATCCATAGCAGCTAGTGATATAAAAGTTCTCATACCGGCACATTGGAACTGATTGTAAAGTCTTAAAAATAAAGGTATTATAATGCAAGATAAAAAAATATATAAAAGTACCGAAACATAATTCTGCCACCAAATATTTAGGACCTTTTTGTAACAAAGAAAGTTTAGGTACTAAATTGTAGAAAAGTAAATTTGAGTACTAAAATATAATTTTTATAAAAACCAGTGCATTTGTTGATCTAAGTATATGACTCTCGGAGGTCCGACAGGGTTAAGAAGGAAAATTGGCTGGACGGACCGGTTTTATGAATTGATCTTATAAGAGTGGGTTAGAAAGGGTTCGGGTTCTTACAGGACCCGGGACGGGTCTGACCCACCAGTTCTAGCCATATCAGGCAAACTAATTAGTATATATAGAAACTGCCCATGTATTTACAATAATATTGATGTTGTTACGACTTGAAGTATGACTAAAAGCTTACGAAGATTTGCTAACACATATAGTGTTAGTGAACCACTTAAACTTGTGTGTTTAGTTTTTACTTTCTTCCATCGTCGATATTCCGCTCCGTTGTAATCCGTTGGAAGAATGATATGGAAGCTGCAGATGTGTTCGACGGGTTCATAGACGAGGATGGCAAGTTCAAGGAAGAAATGATCATCAGTGGCGACGTGAGAGGGTTGCTGAACTTGTACGAGGCTTCCTATCTTGGTTTCCCAGGCGAGAGCGTTATGGATGAAGCCAGAAGCTTCGCTAGGAGCCATCTGCTGAAGATTTACAATACTACTGATCAAGCCATGGCAGGAAGTCTCTGTAGCTTGCAGGCCAAGCAACTGGCTCGAGCTCTGGAGCTTCCGTCTCATTGGAGGATTCGACGGTCCGAGGCGAGATGGCACATTGAACAGTACAAAGACATTGAAGGGATCGTGGACCCATCGTTGCTTGAATTGGCCGTGTTGGACTTCAACATGGTCCAACTTGTGTACCAAACCGATTTGAAGGAGCTCAACAGGTACACGCATTAGTTTATTATTCGATAAACGGAACTAATATAATGTCGAACTTACATAGATGTAGGCTAGAAAAAAACCTAATACGTAATCGGCTGCCTAATCTACCCGAACCCTGCTAATAACTATCCTAGTCGCGACTAGGAATGCTATAGGAACTCGACAAAGACTTGGATCGAACTCTACCTAGCTTGTTGAAGATTTAAGTTACTGTTGGGATATGGATTAATATGCCTAACACGACTACAAACGGGCCCAAGCCCATCGCAAGGCGTCCTGGGCCCAAGCCCACTCAAGGAAGCCCACACCCTATATAAGGAGGCCTAACCCTCCAAACTAGGGGATCTTCTTCTTCCCTTCCTCACTTTCCCCTAAGGTCTCTCTCTCTCTACTTTATTTCTCTACATACCATACACTCTCCTATATCGTACTAACTTGGGCGTCGGAGCGTAGATCCCGGGGGCCGCCCCCCGCCTCACAGGTTCTTCCCCTCTCGAGGAGATCAGACGAAAGAGTCCAGATCGGAGCCCCATAACCGCCTAGTACATTCTAGGCTCAAACAATTTGGCGCCCACCGTGGGGCTCTGACTTAGATTCGATCGTTTGGTTTCCAAGGGAGGGAAGAGCAGAAAGCCTCACCGTTGGTGTCACACCCGTCCGGCAAGCTCACCCTCGACAACACCCGCCGAGCAAAGAAGAAAAACAAAATCAACCTATCCCCACCAACTCAATCAGAACGCAACACCATAGAAGAAAAGAAGAGAAGCCGAAAAATCCAAACCAGCTATCTATGACAATGAAACCAATCTTTGGCATTGTTCAAGTAAAGAAAACGAGTCCAAATAGTCTAGATTTGGAACTTTCTGCCAGCAAAAGAAAGCCAGATCCGAGATTACAATCCCGGCAGCCCACGGAAGTGATCGTCCCCGCCAGCATAGCTCATCATCGATCGCTGCCACACCTTCCATCTTCACCAGCACGGCGCCGCCATCTCCCACCAGCAAGAAAATCCCAGATTCCGGTGACCTTGCCGGTCGGAGCCCCAACGAAAAAGGAAAGTAGGACTGCAACCCTCGTCTCTTTCTTAAAAGTTGGAATTTCCCTGCTCTGCTACAGTGCCTATAGTCAACACCAGTCCCCTCTCCTAGTGACGTCGCCCCCTAGCTGTCGCAGCTACTTCCTCCCTCTGTTGGAAAAGGCTGGCAGATGGAGTTCCCAAGGTGACGGGAATACCGAGGCAAAAGGAGGCGCCCTGGAAAAGAAGCAACCAACTACACCATCTGTAGCCCTCTTTGAACCGCGACGGAGAAGAACGCTTCAGAAGAAGTCACCCTTAACTTCCATACCTACTAGGTTTGGTTTGTATGCGTCCAAGCTTCAGAAGAAGTCAACCCGCCCAAGCAGATCAAGTCTCGGCCCGCCTTCTACCTCCAACTCGCAAGAAGCCCACGAAACCGCCGTTAAATCTCCGGCCAGCCATCAACATGCGGACCGCGTCCAAAGCCCAGTCAGCGGACCGCCCGTGAAAGCCCAACGCACGTCTTCTTCACGCGGGCCGCTTTAGTCCAGCCCATCGCCCGCCTGCCACTAGACCAGTCCACGAACCGGCCCGCTCAAGCCCGATGCGACCCACCTCCAATCTCCTGCGTTCCACATCGCAAGGCCACTAGCATCATTAAAAAAGAATGAAGAAACCGCCCACATCAAGCATCGAACCAAGGATCTCGCTTTCACACGCCAAGCGCTTCAACCAGTATACTACAAGATAACTTTGTTAATTACAAAGGCAACAATTAATATTTAACCGCTCACGGAGAAGAGATCAGACACAGGTGTGAAAGGCTACCCTCTCATTCCTGACAACCGCACAATGCAGCCCACCTCGCCTAGAATGGGTCGGCCCAATTCACCAAGAACCGAGAAGCCTCCCCTCGCCAGCCCGTCTCACGTCAGAAGATCTAGCACGCGGCCCATTAGTCCAAGACCGCCTTCAGTCCATCTCCACAAAGCAGACCGCCAAGGACCCGATGAGCCACACTTCAAATCTGCAAGCAGGCCTCGAATTCAAGACCTGGACCGCCTTCAACTTCACCACATAGTCCGCTGAAGCCCGGCTCGCCTAGGCGGCCCACGCGTTCGGCCCACGTTGCTCGGATCAGACGCACACCTTATTTAAAGAAAAAAAGAAGAAGAGTGTTGGCCATGAACAAGCTTCGAACCGCCGACCTCTCCTCAATTGACAGACACGCCCACCATTACGCTACAAGAGCCGCTTCTGCATCAAGACCGCGTTAACTTCTATTAGGACCGCCCAGGAAGGAGGCCCGCCTCCCGTTTTGCACTCCAGGAACTAGGACAGCATCCTAGGCCCACCATGCCAACCGTCAAGTCCCGTCTTCACTACCGGATCGCCAGCGTCTCATCTCCAACCGCAAAGCCCACAACCTCCGCCCCAAAGCACAGGATCCAACCGTTCGCCTCGCATTTGAGACACGGACCGCATTCCACGTTCACCACAGGCCGACTGAAGCCCAGCTCCACTAGGCGGCTCATGCACGCGTCTACGGCCCATTGCTCGTATCGGACGCACAACTTATTAAAAATAAAATAGAACAACCGCCTCCACCTGCCTTTGAACCGCCAACCTCTCAGAGAATGATAGACCGGCCAACCAGTATGCCACAGGAGCGATTTGTTGATCAAGGACGCAACAGCCGATATTCAACCGCTTGGCAACTTCTCTCAAGCTAAGTCAACTTACAAAGATATATCATATAGACATATACCAAGCCATGCAAATCAGTTCATTATTATTATTATTCTAGGCGCTTTCCGCAACATGCTAGGGTATATTTATGCTTTAAATATATTGGGCACTAGCCACTTGCATCTTTCCGGAATACTCGAAGACTCACGCCTCCGGCCTCCGGGCTAGGCTCGAAGATTCCCGCCTCCGAGCGATGCTCTCTCCGGAGAATGCTTCCCGCCTCCGAGCGATGCGCCCTCCGGGAAGACTCACGCCTCCGGCCTCCGGGCTAGGCTCGAAGATTCCCGCCTCCGAGCGATGCTCTCTCCGGAGAAAGCTTCCCGCCTCCGAGCGATGCGCCCTCCGGGAAAGACACACGCCTACAACCTCCGGGTTAGGCTCGAAGACTCTCGCCTCCGAGATGCTCTCTCCGAAGAATGCTTCCCGCCTCCGAGCGATGCGCTTCTCGGAAAGCCGAAGTAACAATGCGCTTCCAAGGAAGCCGAGGAGCGATGCGCTTCCCAGGACATCGAGTATCGAAGCGCTTCCCAGGAAGCCGAGGAGTGAAGCGCTTCCAAGGAAGCCGAGGAGCGATGCGCTTCCCAGGACATCGAGTATCGAAGCGCTTCCCAGGAAGCCGAGGAGTGAAGCGCTTCCCAGGAAGCCGAGGAGCGATGTGCTTCCCAGGAAGCCGAGGAGCAATGCGCTTCCCTGGAAGCGAAGGAGCAATGCACTTCCAAGGAAGCCGAGGAGCGATGTGCTTCCCAGGAAGCCGAGGAGCAATGCGCTTCCCTGGAAGCGAAGGAGCAATGCACTTCCAAGGAAGCCGAGGAGCGAGGAGCGATGCGCTTCGCAGGAAGCCGAGGAGTGACGCGCTTCTCAGGAAGCGAAGGAGCGATGTGCTTCCCAGGAAGCCGAGGAGCAATGCGCTTCCCTGGAAGCGAAGGAGCAATGCACTTCCAAGGAAGCCGAGGAGCGAGGAGCGATGCGCTTCGCAGGAAGCCGAGGAGTGACGCGCTTCTCAGGAAGCGAAGGAGCGATGCGCTTCCCATGAAGCCGAGGAGCGATGCGCTTCCTTCTCAGGAAGCCGAGGAGCGATGCGCTTCCAAGGAAGCCGAGGAGCGATGCGCTTCCCAGGACATCGAGTATCGAAGCGCTTCCCAGGAAGCCGAGGAGTGAAGCGCTTCCAAGGAAGCCGAGGAGCGATGCGCTTCCCTGGAAGCGAAGGAGCAATGCACTTCCAAGGAAGCCGAGGAGCGATGTGCTTCCCAGGAAGCCGAGGAGCAATGCGCTTCCCTGGAAGCGAAGGAGCAATGCACTTCCAAGGAAGCCGAGGAGCGAGGAGCGATGCGCTTCGCAGGAAGCCGAGGAGTGACGCGCTTCTCAGGAAGCGAAGGAGCGATGTGCTTCCCAGGAAGCCGAGGAGCAATGCGCTTCCCTGGAAGCGGAGGAGCAATGCACTTCCAAGGAAGCCGAGGAGCGAGGAGCGATGCGCTTCGCAGGAAGCCGAGGAGTGACGCGCTTCTCAGGAAGCGAAGGAGCGATGCGCTTCCTTCTCAGGAAGCCGAGGAGCGATGCGCTTCCTTCTCAGGAAGCCGAGGAGCGATGCGCTTCTCAAGAAGCGGAGGAAGCAATGCGCTTCGCAGGAAGCGAAGAAACAGCGCGCTTCCCAGGAAGCCGAGGAGCGATGCGCTTCTCGGGAAGCCGAGGAGCGATGCGCTTCCTTTTCAGGAAGTCGAGGGGGCAATGCGCTTCCTTCTCAGGAAGTCGAATGAGCAATGCGCTTCCTTCTCAGGAAGCCGAGGAGCGATGCGCTTCTCAGGAAGCGGAGGAAGCAATGCGCTTCACAGGAAGCGAAGGAGCAACGCGCTTCCCAGGAGGTGAGGGAGCAATGCACTTCCCAGAAAAGCGAAGGAACGACGCGCTTCTCAGGAAGCGAAGGAGCGATGCGCTTCCCAGGAAGCCGAGGAGCGACGCACTTCTCAGGAAGCGAAAGGCGCAATGCGCTTCCCAGGAAGCCTAAGGAGTAAAGCGCTTCCTCGAAAGCGAAGGAGCAATGCACTTCTCAGGAAACGAATGAGCAATGCGCTTTCCAAGAAGTCGAAAGACTAATGCGCTTCTCCGGAAGCGAAGCATAAGCACACCCCAGTAAGCCGAGGAAGCACTAACAAGAGCGTCTTGAGTTAAAACTCTCAAGCCGTGGGGGCCACCCTACCTAGGTCGCAATTATGGTCTACTAGCGCTAACAACAATGGACTGGCGAAGGAACTCTTAACGACTTGAGAGCTTTAGTTCAAGACATCGAAAGATAGGCAAGGGGCAGAAGAGATAATCACGCAACTCACACAAGGGGCAAACCGCATCATCCGGATTCGCAAGTAAGGCAAATTAATACACGATTAACGCATTATATTACTCCTTCCATTCTTACAGAATACAAGAAGTAAAGGGGCAATTGTTGGGATATGGATTAATATGCCTAACACGACTACAAACGGGCCCAAGCCCATCGCAAGGCGTCCTGGGCCCAAGCCCACTCAAGGAAGCCCACACCCTATATAAGGAGGCCTAACCCTCCAAACTAGGGGATCTTCTTCTTCCCTTCCTCACTTTCCCCTAAGGTCTCTCTCTCTCTACTTTATTTCTCTACATACCATACACTCTCCTATATCGTACTAACTTGGGCGTCGGAGCGTAGATCCCGGGGGCCGCCCCCCGCCTCACAGGTTCTTCCCCTCTCGAGGAGATCAGACGAAAGAGTCCAGATCGGAGCCCCATAACCGCCTAGTACATTCTAGGCTCAAACAGTTACAAAATGAGACGCGAGACGAGAGTATAAGTAGTTTCCTTGTTGAAGATGAACAAGCTATTCCACGGTGAAGTTACTTTTACCTTTCTTATTCGCTTGATAAATTTTAGTTACAAAATGGAAATGAAGGGATTAAAAAGTGGAAGACAAATAAGAAAAAATTGACGAGTCAGGAATCAAAGTGACAATTGAGAACGTTTGAGGGGGAAAAAAACGACAGAAAGATAAAAGTTGAAAGAACGATGAAAAAACCCAACTCAGAACCCGATCCAATATCGTGCTAAAACCAATATACAAAAGCCCTAATTTTTTTTTATTCTGAAAACCCATTTATATAAATATAATGTTGATTCTGAAAGACCTAAATTTTTTTTACGTGGACCGATCTCGGTCATTTCAAACGAATGAATCACGTAGATCATGTGTTTCTTTACTTTACTACCGCGAATACTCGTTTTAAACAAACCTAGCTAGGTTTCCTCAATCGGCTTTTATAGTGAACAAACAATGCGATCGATGCAGGTGGTGGAAAGAATTGGGTCTTCCAGAGAAGTTGGAATTTGCAAGAGATCGTTTGAACGAGAGCTTCCAGTGGGCAGTAAGTTTGATCCAAGAGCCTCAGTTCAGCTACTGCAGGAAGATTATGTCCAAGCTCGTCTGTCTCGTTAATGTCGTCGATGATGTGTATGACGTCTATGGTTCCATGGATGAACTCCAGCGCTTCACCGCCGCCATCCTAAGGTTAATTTATACATGATATCATAAAACTCTACCTAATATTTTGCTAGATCTCAATCTTATTTTCTTTGATAATTAGCTTCGGGAAATAACGTATGATCAGGTGGAATGCAGAGGAACTTGATGAACTTCCCGAGTACATGCAAATTTGCTTCATGGCAGTCTACAACACTGCCAATGAACTCGCCTACTACACCATCAAACAAAAAGGGTTCAATTGCTTGCCTTACATTAAACAAGCGGTACGTATATGTACGATAGGGTTCATTAATGTCGGGATTTAGCGTAAAATCGAAAATAGAGATGAAATGTGAAGCGTAAAGTCGAATCATGAAATCGTAAGATTTTGATGAGGTCCATTTAAAAACAAACGCTAAATAGTACTAATAAGACAAATTGTGAATCACACAAAGACACGTAACACATGAAATGATAATTTCTAGAGGTTTATGTTCCAAATCTCAATGTTAAATGTGGGGAGAGGTGGTGAAATCGGTGATGATTAATGAGTTGATGTGTATTTGATGATGGTCGTCTATGGTTACCAGTTAGAGAGAACTAGATGATGTTGATGGAGTAGAAGGGGGAAACGGACGTTATGTTTTTCTAATCCGGGGAAAATAAGTAGATTGATCCAAAGATTTGATCTTCTTCCTCTGACTCGGATTGATTGGTCCAACTTCAACCAAATCAGCATGCATGTGCCTTAAAATCGTTAAAATCCTTGAATATATTAAAATTTTAAGGATTTAAATCACAAATTGTGTATGATTTTAAATTCCAATAATTTTATAGTGAAATAAGTATCGGAACAAATAAGTAACATCATAAAATCGTAAGATTAGGTAGGTTAACTATCTACCTCTCAATCTGGATATCGATCTAATTTGACCTTCATTATTCGTCAATGATTTCATCACCTTCCATCAATGCATGCTCTGGCTTGCAGTGGCAAGAACAATGCAGATTATACCTCGAAGAAGCCACTACTTTCCACAATGGATTGGATCAAACATTCGAGAAATATTTGGACCACGGCTGGAAGTCAGTAGCACCGAGCATCGTGTTGATCCACACCTATGCTGCATCTGCCGAGACTCTCAGTAACGAAGCTTTCATCTACGTACTTGGCTAGCTACCCGAACCTCACTCGCTGGGTAGCCACCGTCGCTCGTCTTACGAACGATCTAGCAACCTCTAAGGTAACGTTACGTAACGTAACAAGGCTAGATGATGAATACACATACATACACGAATAATAAATAAATGTCATCCTGTATGCTCATGCAGACGGAACTAGAAAGAGGGGATATTCTCAAGTCGGTAGAACGTTACATGAAAGAGAAAGGTGTTTCAGAAGAAGAAGCACGCGAGTACATTCGATGGCGAATCGACCAAACGTGGAAGAGAATCAACGAAGAGATAGTTATGACGACGACGGGAAGAATATTGTACTCGAGACTTGCGGTGAATCTTGCTCGAGGGCATCATTTCATGTATCACTACGGGGATGCAAATGGATTTCCTACCATTGAGGACAAAGATCGAGCTATGAAATTGCTTTATCAACCATTCTCAATCGGTCCAATGGTGGATTTGTAGAGAAGTACTACTACTAATACCTAATTAAGAAAAAAAGGACCACTTCAGTTATTGTTTTATGGATGATCATAAAGTCTGGAAATAATTGTACTTTGTTAATTAGAAGGGATCATTTGTAACTCCATTTTGCAATTGCCTTCCCATTACAATACTTAACCTGATCACTTGGAATTAATAAACTTCTGGTTTGAAAATATCAGTTTGTTCCAATAATTTCATTTGTTGGAGAGTTCTCAAAATTTATTCACAAATCATGTGCACAGTACTTATGCATCTTTGTGGATCTCGACATCACTTGATGAGGGAGGAAAAAAAAAAGAGGAAAAGATTCTTAGCTTTTTTCGTGTATCAATGGATGTGATGATTACTCCTGTTATAAACGAGTTGCTACAGGTCGGGAAATCGCCGGAATCGAGAAAGCAAAAATACGAAAGCGCGAGGATCGAAAATACGACACATGGTTTACGTGGTTCACTAACACGCTGTGTGTTAGCTAGTCCACGGGTGAGAGAGAGAGCCAGTTTCACTTTATCGAGAAGATTACAGATTACAGAGGAGATGAGAGAAGTATTTATACTTCTCCATGTGGCTCTAAACTTAATCCAATATGGCAAAGGAAACAGCTACAGATCAGGGCCAGAACCCGAACCCAAATAACATTGAGACCATACACCACGGACCGGGAGGCGTTGTCCCTGGACCCCCTCTTACTGACCGGTCAGCGAGACTCCCGACTATTCCAATCGTAGCGGCTGATAGTCCGATTTAAGTCGGAAAGGTGGTTGGGACACTGATTAGATACCTCGTTGGCTAGCTACTGGCTTTTTTCCCCCCTCCAGCTGCCTACACCAATGTGATCTCGATGAGACATGCATGCAGATCATGAATAAAGAATATGGCAAATGGAAAAGTCGACAGCCCACTTCCATTCATAATTGTACGAAGAGATTGATCAGATAATATATATCTATGTGCTTGTTTTTTGCTAGCTAAGAGACGACACCAAAACCCCACAACGCACTGATCGGTGAATACGACTTTTCTCCGCCAGTCCAATTTGAAAAAAAATCACCAACCAAAAGTTTTGTAATAACATTACAAAGTTTTAGCGATATGAAACGGTTGGAAACCATAATCGAATCACGAAGTTCACGATACAATCTCGATAGGGTTTCACAATCCTTACTTTTTTTTTACTCACGTCAACCACGGCTTTAACCCTTTGGTCTAACTTTTCCTTTTCCCCGCCGGCCCAAAAGCCAAAAGCTGCGGCCCACCTCGGCGGCTCGGCTGTTTCCTTGCTTGCTCATACTCCCTCTTTGAATTTCCCAAAAGTTGTTGCTGTGGTTTCTTCTGGAAAAAGTAGACATTAAACACCAATTATTTTACGATATCATACCGAGAAGGAAGAAAGGAGAGAAAATAGAAAATACATTAGCGGTCTAACAGCCTAGAAACGGGGCCCATGGGCATGGCCCAAACCCAGCCCGACTTTGGGAGGGGTGGGCCCAAACAGGCCCACCACGTGAACTTGTTTAGTGCCATTTCCCTTCAACTCATGATGGACATTAGATAAGCATTCTTGGTTGTTTTTAGGGTAAATACAATATATTATCCATAACTATTAAGTAGCGGGGAATTATAGTCCCAACTATCGAAATACAAATTATTAGCCATAACTATTGTTGTGGGTCAAGATTTGGCTAACAGCCCGTTACTGTTTTCAAATTTTTAACGTAGAAGGCCATGTCAGCATCGTAAAAAATATGATATGATGACTGCCACGTGGGAGCCAGCTCACCATCGTAAAAGCTTAGTCATCATTACTAACAGAAGTGTTAACGAAAACTTAACGATTGGCTAATAATTTGTATTTCGATAGTTGTGGCTATAATTCCCCGATGCTTAATAGTTATGGATAATATATTGTATTTGCCCTTGTTTTTAATATGAGGTGTTATATGGTGGTTGATCGTATGTTATTTGTGTCTCAGCAGATTAGTTTGTTTATTAATTTTATCAATACTTATAATGATGGTTTCAATAGCAAGTCACGAGAACTTAAACACAATATTTATCATTTGTAATGTTAGAAGAAAAAAAACAATTCGTTAATATATTACAACAACGAGCTTAATCAGAGTCTACATAGTATATAGTAATAACACGAAACAGAATAGTAACGTAAGTTACAAACTCACTAATTATCCCCCTCTCCTTTAGTGTAGTTGTAGACTTATATTATTATCTATGAGGATTTTTTGTATAGGGAAAAAAAAAAACCCTAATAATTCAAACTACTTACACCCACAAAATTGAATGAAACCTCAACATCACAGCCACATGGTCTGCCACCACCACCCCACGCCCGCTCCATCATTATTCAAGATCAACCACAATCTCCAACATATATAGTTGCTAGCTAAATGTAATATACATAGGGTCAACTGAGATAAGTTTTTAACAAAAAAAATATATATATATATCGTCTGTCCGATCTAAGATAAGTTTTACCGATTCCAACTGCTACCGTATTTGATTATCGTGACAACTGACTCAAGAGTCAAGACACTCACGACCTGACGAGTGTCCTCTGTGAATAATAATCCTCCATCATATCCTCCATAATGAAACTCGAGTCAGAAAATAATAATTCGAGTAAGGAAATAATAGTCTGTCGTAACGGTGCATGATACCGACTCCCAGTTTCTTTAATATCGGATACAGCTTTTCCCCCGTCAAATCCTTAGAGTATATAATGGGTGCGTAATTGAGTGGTATAAGACCGAATGAAGGAAGTTAGGTTTTATCCGTAAAGCTACACATATCGCAATCACACCTTCTATTCATCCTCCTGATTTAACTTTCTCTGGTTTCCTAATCTAAAATTTGCATGCCCGACAACATAAAGTTATCATCATTATTCACACACACAAAAAAAAATCACACCAAAAAGTTATCAACTTATCATCATTATAACGCCATTATAAATACCCATTTCCTTTTGCCCTCCCGGCCCCAAACCCCATCCCATTCAAACACTCGAGAGAGTACGAACTGATAGCCACAGGAAAGCTAATAATTCAAAGCTTTGGAAGAGAGAGATATGGAGAAGAGCAGGTCGTTCCCGCAGTACTCGTCGTCTTTCTCCGGCGAGTTCGGGCCGTTCGACGACCGGCGGCGGCGGGCTGGGGACCACAACAAGGCCTACAGCTTCAACGGGCCGAGCCAGAAGTGGGCCGACGACCCAGAAGCGAAGAGGAAGAAGCGGATCGCGGCCTACAACGTGTTCACCGTGGAAGGCAAGCTCAAGTCCAGCGTCCGCAACAGCTTCAAGTGGATCAAGACCAAGTTCACCACCAACACGGACGACTCCCGCTATGGTATTTAATCATATATAGTTAATTACTCTTTGTGTTAATCGTGTGATTAGTCCTTATGGAAGTTTGCCTAATTAGCAGCAGACGTGTTTCTGGGTCTCTTTTCTTTTTTTCTCTAGTTTTGGAAGGCTGTGTAATAATATATGTGTTTATCGATATAATAATATCCGGTAGCCAATAATATTGGGGGTCGCGGAGATTCGAACACACGGCCACTTGGTCAAACCAGCTATGATACTGTGTCATAAACCAGTTGGTCTAAAAAAAACTCGAGTTGTTGAGAGAAGGTTATGCAGCAATGTAGTCGTGAAAAGCGAGTTTCGTTTGTAGAAACGCTTTGGTGATCTATGCTTACTTTACTAAGTTGGTAATTGAACGGTTGTAGGTATTATTTTGTAATTGGATCGTAGGTCCAAATGACAGCTACACTCCGAGGACTAGTTTTAGGTACTAAAATGTCGTTCTAAAAAAATTGAAGTACCAAAAATATAATTTTCAGTGATTTTTTTTCTCCATCTATGATTAAAATTCAGATATTAAATTGTAAACATATAAATATAGATACTCAACTGTAATTTCCGACAATCCATCAATCGAATTAAATTTAGATTAAATGAGTCAAATATTTTATTGAATAAATTGGATTCAAATCTTAAATCTAAATAAGAACAACTAGCCGGAGTGGGGAATAAACAGTGTCCGCCGCCGGAGGAGGCCGGCCAAATCTAAAACAATGATCCTACTAAATTATTCCTAACACCAAATCCTCCTTGTAAAATAGATTTGATCAAATGAGTCCAATTTTTATTAGGTTGGGAAATCTCAATCGGCTCCTCGGTATATATTCCACCATGACATTTGCCAACGGGGAAAAGTCCAAAGAATTTCACAACAAAATAGTTATAATAATTAATAACAAACACTGCATTATCAATATGAATGGACACTTTAAAGTGTGTTGTTGGTTATCTTCAATATGATAAATATAACGAGGACAATATTAAGGATTGAAAAATCGTATCGACGGTTCGATCAGGAAAACTTTATATGGAAGAGTAAATTAATTAATCGATATGAACGATATGAAAAAAAAGTCAAATTACGATTTCAATATAAAATATCTTATCACTGATTATTCTGTTACAATCTTTTGTATAATTTTACGGTCCTTTCAAAATTTGTTAATAATATTTTAAGTGTTATAAAATAAAATAAAAACGAGGACAAAATAATAGTTGTCGGGCAGGAGACAATGATAGTGAAAGTGACCTATAATTTCAACGTAATGCATTATTGGAAAATGGGACTTAAAAGGACAAGTTCACATTTGCCACCACAACCTTTGCTAATGGGGCAAGCCAATTATTTTAATGGAGAAAAAAGTGTGGGGAGAAAAACAATGTTTGCAAGTATTAAATTAATTACTTGATCATATATATATGTTAATTTAGTTTGAATTATTTTTGTATTGGTTTTCATGAAGTAGTCCAATGTTTATATTTCTTTGCTCTTGTTATTGCCACTTGGTTTGGCAAATGATTAATGATGTACTTAATTAATTAAAACCAATGAAATGAAAGTATGAAACAAAATCACGGGAAACTTTGTAGTTTAGGAATATTAAACCAAATCAACATTAAGTGATTAACTTTGTTTATCCCAAAACTTTGTCATAATGGACGTGGTTCAGGCCAGGCAAAGTTGCCGACGGCTTAGGCAAAGGCATGTACAGCAGATTAGGCATAATGGTAGCTTCTGTTTCTTGTTTTCATTTCAGAAACTTGGCCAAATAAACAAAGAAAATCTTTTTACTTTTCATTCTATTTTTTGTATTTCGTTTTCAATCTTGAAAACAGAAAATGATAGCGTCCACCATTTTTCAACATCTGTTTTCTCATATTTTCAACGAAAAATACACATTTTCCTTATGAACTAGGTGAAATATTTGAATGATATTCTCACAATTACTTTTATAATACTTTCATTTTAGTAATTTAATTTGTATAATTTTACCTAACCTTCATCTTTTTTATTAGATCAAAAAAATTTCATGATAGACTGTGAAATCAAATAAATTATGAATTCATTTCAATTCAATATTAATTATTGTGTCAAGATTTATTTTAAAGCAAGATATATTTAGCTTTGGCGCCAAATAATATATATAGGTAGTTATATCAATTTATTATAATTCTAACTTTCTCATTGTTATTAGTTAGATCATTCAACTTTTGTTTACTTGGAGTTTACAACTTACCATCGTTCATATTTCAGTTTCAGAATTCGTCAAAAATTTCAGCTGAACATATTTTCATTTTCATGATCTCACGTTTTATTTCTCATAATTCAGAAATGACAACTTCATTTTCAGCTATATTCTTTTTTTTTGCAAAATAAAAGTAAACATATCCTAAACTTTGACCGTCGAACTTTGACTGACCCCAATAATCCATTCTGCAGAATTCATGAGTTTGAGTGTGCAAGGTCCTCTACTCGGTGGAGAAAGGGCAGCAGACAAAAGATGAAAACCTTATTAATTACTTACAAAACCCAAAATTATTAATTATCTTATCTAATCAGTACCAAAGTAGATTATTATGACACAAAAACACATAAGAAATGAAAGGCTTGTTGGAGTCTCTTTATTGTTACCAAATTTGTGTCACGTGTAATCTTTCATTTTTATTTATTTATTCATTATGCTTTATCGAAATATTGATCGCGAAACAATTTTTTTTTAATTGCGTGAGAGTTAGAGATCGACCTTAGGCAAATCCCATATCGACAAAGCACAGGAGAGATCCATGGTTAATAAGTAAGAAACCGGCCTTAACTGACAAGACGCTTTTTAGAGTAAAATGGAGGAGTTCTTGTGAGAGTGAACAAAGGAATCATGAATCCCTTATTATTATTATTATTATTTTTTTACAAGGAATAGTTTCATTAAACTGCACAAGTGAACAAAGTTTTGGGAACATCCAACTCATGGAAAGACACACAAACCAAATAAGCTAAGGGAAAAGTCCAACAGGAGAGCTCAAAATGTTACAACAAATACAACCAAGAAGCCCAACATAAAGAACCCAACTGAGAGGTTCAACCCTAAACCCTATCTGAAATTTGAAAGACACTAAAAGGGAGACTCATTCACCGCTTCTTGCTACCACCACCGGCCAACCAAAAGAGAAGAAGCTCTGACCAAAGAAATCCAGATCTTAATGATGAGTCAAGATTTAATAAATGAGCAGCCTCGAGTTCGACTGGACTTAGCTCGTTTATAAACGAGCCGATCTCGAGTTTGGCTCGTTTATAAACGAATCAAACATGAACAAGACAAAACTCAATTCGGCTCTGCTCATTAACAGCTGTACGTGCCATAAACGGCGCTTGTGACGTGATAGCGTTCCCCAACATCTAAATTATGTTGTTGATTGCTACTTGCCGTTCATAACGGCTTGTGCCACTGTTCGACCCACCTTAGTAAAATTATTGCATACTTCACTGGTCGTGGTAGTAGGCTAGTTTCTCGGTAGATCTCGAAATATATGAAAGTTGAATATCATTATTCATTATAATAAATAAAACACTTGTAGTAAGCTTTAATAAAATTGTGATTTGCTTAAAAACACTTGTAGTAAGCTTTAATAAAATTGTTATTTGCTTTATGAGATTTTTGGGCTGCTTTGTTGGATTTGTCGTCTATTTTGTGAAATTTGTGGTCCATTATATAAAGCATATAAAAAAATATAAACACAACCACAAACCTCATATCCCAGACCACAAAATGTAAAAAGCAACCCAAAAAAATGGCTAAATTGTAAGTTTGGTCGCTTAACAAGTTCACTTTTGCCACTAAAATTAATTTATTTAATCTGTAATCACTTAAATTAGGTTAACAGTTCAAGTTTGGTCACTGGCCGTTAGTCTCCGTTAACTTTTACTGATGTGGCGGTTAACTCTTATAGTTGACCGTTAAATGAGTAACGCGGCAATTAAAAAATAATAAAATATAATTTTTTATTTTTATTTTTCAGCTAATTATTATAAATTAAAAACAGAAAATCCTAATTCTCGACGAGAATGAATCCGAATACATCAGCCAGTACTGGCCTTTTGTGCGATCTGTGCACTGGTTTGGAACTCATCGCAGATCTTTGGTTTTGTATGGGTGATTCGTTCTGTGCACTAGGTTTGGAAGGGACGAAGGAATTGATTTTATTCCTCCAATGGGGAATGAATGAGTAGTTGTTCTGCTATCGGAAGAATATAGAAGAAGAAAGGGTGGAGGGGTAATGGTTGGAAGAGAAAAGAAACTAGTGAGCGATTTCAAATTATATATATAAGCTATTTTGAAATCATATACTATTAGGTTTTCGAAATTATATACGGTTAGGTTTTAGAAATCCCTAATTTTTAAGACCTGACCCAAATGTAGAATTGTTATAAAATCCGGAAAGGCAAGGAATTGTGGCAAAATCCTGCACCACATTCCATCATCCAAACTACCTTATTTCCCCATCTTCTTTTATTTTGTCATAGATTTTCCCTTTTTGTCAAGTAATAAAAAGGGAGAAATGTTAGACAGAAACTCTACTCAGAACTGCCCATGCAACACCGTAGTGAACTCATTCAACAAAATTCAAAGAAACTAATTCTAAAAGAGATAGTAACAAGACTCTACGTGCCACTCTATGAGTAGCTCCATTGATAGTCCAGGGAACCACACTAAAAACTATACATAAAGGATACGACTCAAGTAGCTCATTCTCGAAGCAAGTTTGATTCACCAAAACTAAAACTCCAAATTATTGGCCGAGTGTAACTAATGACAAGAATGCAGTATAGTGGAGGTAAAAAAAAATCAATTATCATCTCAGGGTCTCTAGATGTATTGCTACTAAGGTGTTGATCTGTTATCTAGCAAGCAGGTTCGAGTGATAGCAATTTAAACTAAGAAAATAAGAAAAATTTATTCGAATTTTGGATATTAGGAAAGGTCACTCAGATATTGATTCCCCTAATTTCTAGCTAGATTAATGGTCGTTGATTCTTAGTTCGTTTCAATCGATACTACGCAGAATCCTTAGTATAAATGTTCTATCTCATCTCTCAAGACACGTTAGAGTAATCGTTCACTGATTTGAATTTTCTTGCTCCGCTGGACCGCTGTCATTCTTCTCTAGTACGCCTTTCATTCATACAGATGCTCCCATTTAGCAACGACAACATCTTCGTAGTCAACGCTCAAATCACAGTGGACTCCTAGCTCGTCTAGTGGTTTTTAGGAGACAGAGTTGACTCACCTCCACATGAGTAACCTCAGTGAGAGATGCCAAGAGCTGCTCTGGGTCGGCAGAAACCGGAGGAACAGCCGGAGAGCGCCATATGCGGCGATCGGAAACTTTGGCGTCGAAAATCATGGCCGGCGATTGAAGGATAGGTTTTCTTGCTCTTGCTCTTGCTCTTGCTCTTGCTCTTGGAGTTTAGTCCGGCGGGACTTGGAGGAGAAGGGAACGGAAAGAAACCAGCAAATATTCTTTTTGTTTTTGTTTTTAGGAAATTCTTCGGTCCGTCTAAAGTCTAAACTAAGTCCCGCAAGTCCGTGGGCCGGGCCGGGCCTTACCGCAAGTCCAGGGGCCAGGCCGGGCCTTAATTTGTTTCGTTAGGGTTTTCATTTGTTTTTGACATGTTATATTTATTTGCAGAGTCATCTAAATTGTAATCAAGGTTGTCAACCCGCGGGTTGACCCGGATCCAGTCGAGCTAGTGGGTCAATCGTTTTAGCCTAATTTGGCCCGGAAATATAGAAAGAGTCATTATATTGCACTTATCCTCATAAATTATATCAAATCTTATCTAACATATGAGTTATAACATATAATATTGCACCAAAATAACATATCGTACTTAGATCCAACATATAGTGAAAATTCACACACACTTATATAACATAAATATTCAATTGTTCATCTTAGTATTCCAAAGATTGAGTTAGTCGAAAAGAAAAATTGGAAAATAGGCGCATTTCGCAAACTAAAGAAAAAAGTGACATAATTTGATCTCCAACCCGGTACCTAATAGCGGTCAGCCCGACGGATGCGTGCAGCCCGTTTTTCTCACCGGGTCAGGATCAAATTGGGTCGACCCGTGATGAACCCGCGGGTTGACAATCTTGATTGTAATGTTCTCCTCCTTTCTTGACAAAATCAAAAGCCGAAGAGATTTCTTCCCGAGGTAGTCTTTGTCTCTTTGATTACTTTTTGTTGGTTTCAATTCGTTTTTTGTTTTCCCGATCCACTGACGATAACCCTTGATCCGATTCTCCCCTTTGTGTCCTTGAGGTTGATTCATTCATGGCTACCGCTACGGCGACGGAGGAGTTGCCTCTGGAAACCCTCTCACTGGAAGAAAATCAGCAGCGCAGGCCAAGGAAGGATTCTGATTCTCGGAAGATGGAAGTGCAGGCCTGGATGCGTGATGAGAGAGAGTCTTTGCATCTAGATGAGTATATGTTCACCGACCGTAATGAGTTGGATGGTGAGGCCAAGAAGCTTCGCGAGCTTAGAAATGAGGTGTTGAAGATGCTGTCTGAAGAAACTGAAGATATGGACTCCGAGAGCTGGGCTGAATCATCTGGGCTCAACGAGAAGTCTACCGATGCCCCTTCCTCGCCGGGAAACTGAGGATTTCTCTGTATCTGATGATCACCGGTCCGTTACCACCTGGTTTGCTTCCTTTGGTAGCTTTCCTGGTTTATGTTGGTTTTGTGAATGAGTAGTTGCAGTAGCAGCTTGGCTATGGATACTTGTGGCTTTTGCCGTCCTACCTACTATGTAGAACACTCTTATGGCTTTTTATCTCTTGTGACTATAAATCCGTTTCCTATGGAATATAAGACTTGTTATTATTGACTACTATTTTCCTGCATCATTGGTTTCAGATGTGTTCTTTCAGTAGTGTTGTATTCCTCTTGCTGTGCTATCAAGTATCAAGGCTCCATTCTTAGCCATCTCCATTGCCCATCATCATCCTAATCATCTGACCTTAAACATTCCCCTGCATTCTGAAGTTGTAATCTTTCATGATCATGTCTCCTCTGTAGTTGTGATCTTTCATGATCTCCGGATTCTGTTACCTCTGTTGTTGCACTGCCTAGATGATGTCGTTGTTGGTGAAGATAGGGTTATGAACAGTTCCTTTATGGTTTTGTCTGCCTAATTATAATTTGAAATATGTTGCACTCTTGGCTGAAAAATGTCCATGCCCTGCTATTCTGTGAGGCTTTAGTGCTCTTTGGGCTCGGATGCCATTGTTTGTTCATCTTTTGCCTACTATCATTTGCACGCTGCTGTGCTGTCTCTTGGTTTTGTATGGTTGTTTGAATCTCCCTTTAGGTTCCTGAGTCAGCTGATCTAATGCATTTGTCAGGTAAGACTGGATTTCCTTGAAAGGAAGTTAGGAACTTCCAAGCAAAGGTCATTCAAATCTCCAATCTGTGGCTTGTAATGCTACCACTGTGTGCACATGCCTCGGTGATTCTAGATTAGACTAAAACTAGACAGGTGATTGTCTAATGGGATAGTGAACTTGATTGTTTCAGCCGCCATTCTTGTTTCTCTTGCACGATTTTTGCATTGAGATGATTAGTTAAGATATGAGATTTCCTTTTGTGCTTTACCAATTGAAATACGGTGTTATAATTCATTTGTTTTACATGTAAACTGTGGATAGATGGGGCTGTAACATGTTCTTGCTATGGTATGCATATGATTGAATCACAATGTGGATTTCTTGATTATGAAGCAATCCCTTCTCTACTTCCTGTTCCACTTTTCTTTTTTCTATATGATATAGAAGTGCCTTTTATATCCCGTTTGAAACCCTAACCTTCTCAAACGAGCCCCATATTTGCATGAAATCTTTAATTTGCGTGCTGCAATCCGTCGATCTGCTGCAAGTCCATAATGGGCTCTAAATTGTGGTCTTGTATTAGTTGGTGATTATGGGTATGTAGTCCTGGAAGACACTGTCCCTTGTGATTGATGATCTAACTGGAGGTTCAACTTCTTTTTAGTCTCAACCATCCATTTTTTAATCTGGTTGGAGCACACTGACAGTAGAGCTCACCCGACCACGGCTGAACAAGAGCTTCATGATCATGACTCGTTTATTGTTTTCTGATCTGTGTTCGTAATGCAAAGAAAGAACAGCGCTTTGCAGTAAATGTGTTTGATTCTTCATTTCTATTTGTGCCTATGTTCCACTTTTAGGCACTTTGATTGTGGTTATCTAGTAAGCAGAAGTAGATAACTATACTGCATCTCCTTTGCTCTTCCCTTCCTACTAGCTATACCAAGTCTGTAAATTCTGTGACCCCCTGATTAGGGTTTCCCCTTTGCGTCCAGCTTGAGGTTGATTCATATAATGGCTACCGCTAGGGCAACCGCTACGGCGGCGGAGGAGCTGTCTATGGAACCCCTGTCTCTGGAAGAGAAACAGCAGGGGATGCGAAGGAGGAAGGATCATGATTCGTGGAAGAAGATTGCGCCGGTGGTGTACACGAAGATGGAAGCGGAGGCCTTGATGCTGATATGAGAGAGAATCAGCATCTAGATGCGGATATGTTCGCCGACGAGAATGATTTCGATGGTGAGGCCGCCAAGAAGGAACGCGAGCATAAATTTAAGCTGGAAAAGCTGATCTCTGCACAGTCTGCAGTTATGGCCTCCCCGAGCTGGGCTGAATCATCTGGGCACAACAAGTTGCTTGATTACTACATGAACGAGTCTACCGGTGCCCCTTCCTCGCCACAAAACTGAGGAGGAGGAAGAGGAGGAGGAGGAGGAGGAGTTCTCTGCATCTGGTTTGCTTGCTTGCTTTGTTAGCTTTCGTGAGATTATGTTGGTTCTGTGAATGAGTTTGCTTGCTTTTGAAGCACCTGCATTTTGAAGTTGTGATCTTTCATGATCAGGCCTCCTCTGATCTTTCATGATCTCCGGATTCTGTTACCTCTGTTGCTAGCACTGCCTAGATGATGTCGTTGTTGATGAAGATTATGGGTAGGAAGAACAGTTCCTTTATGGTTCTATTCAGAAGTCTTGAGTCTATCTCTATCTCTTAGCTTCCTGAGTCTGATTGAATGCATTGTTCAGATAAGATTGGAATTCCCCTGAAAGGGGAAGTTTAGAAACTTCAAAGCAAAGGGCATTTTCAATCTCTCCAATCTGTGGCTTTGTGATGCTTGCTGCCACTGTGTACACATGTCTTGGTGGATTGTTGTAGGTTAGGAATTTAGAAGAAAAAACAGAGAAAGGTGAATTGTCTAATGGGATAAGTGAACTTGATGATTGTTCCAACTTCCAACCATCCATTCTTGTTTCTCCTGCACCAGTTTCCATTGGCGATGATTGGTTGAGATATGGGATCTTTTTTTTTGTTTTGTGCTTTCCCCAATTGAGATGTGATTCTAGTTCATTTGTTTACAAGATGGAGCTACCGAGAAACAATGAACATGGATCGTAGTGACACATCAGTACTCCAGTATAGTCAAACAAAGTGGGTTACGTTAGCAAAAGCAATAGCAAGAGCACTTGTGGAGAAAGGGGAGAGGGAACATGCAATGTAATCCTTATACTTCCACTAACTACCTTTTATATATAGTATGAATTTACAATGTTTTCCAAATAGACATAGAAACATTGGGCCCCCCAGCATTTAAATTTTGAAAAACTTCATTAAAATATTCTAATTTTGTAAGTCTCCTGAATCAAATTCAAGTCGAAACGAAACCCATGTACGTACATCGTGTTGCTGTAAGGGGTCGTTTGGAAGTTGCGATTGTTTTGTTGAGATTGTCATTATACATGTATTGTTTACAATGCATCGTTTTTTTCTTTTTTCTTAGCAGAAACAATACATGGATTGTGGATTGTTTCTGTGATGTGACAGAAACTATCACTCATTTTGAGTGATTGTTATATCTCAACTTTTAGTTGTGATTGTTGAGATAGTTGAGTTGAGATTGTTTTGTCTCAGCTTTTAGCTGATGCGACATACACATACCAAACGTTGTATTCTACAATGCATCAAATTCGACAATACATGTATAATATTATACATACATTCTCAACAATACATCTATTTAACAATCGCAACTTCCAAAACGACCCCCAAGACTAATTCTCTCTCGTCACCTTTGGCCATTATATTTTCACGCGGGGTGATGTACTGAATGTCTGAATGTGTTCCTATAGTGAATGAATCGTCCCCTTTGCACTTTCAAACACTTGGCTCCAAGCTTTAAGGCTCCTTTTTTTCCCTTCTTGTTGTGGGAAATGGATCAGAGAAGTCCACTTCTGTTCTGTTCCTCTTCCCTCCTCCATACCTGTAACTCACGTTTGTGTCTTGTTTCCCCTGTGTTCTACAGCTATATAGCCATGTTGTCATTTTTCCAATAGCGAAGTTAAACGTACATAGGTCAGAAGATCTCAAGTACGATCTCTATATGATCCGACTGTTTACAAAATCCCCAGAATATACAAAGTTGTTGTTCATGACGGAGGTCGCTTGCTCGATCGTCACTGAATTCTTTCCTCTCTCTCAAATCTTACCGAATCATGTGGAATTCTCAAATCCGTGGGTATACCCACTTTTGTATTCACCCGAACGTTGGATTTGTTCAACTCTCACTTAGTGTTGGATTTGAAGTCCAAATCCAAGTTCAAATCCACGATCCAAATCCTCGATTCAAGTGATGTCGTTATATGGTTTGAGATGGTTTCACCTATCATGTTATTAAAAATATTACATTGTTAATCAAATTATATCGGGAATATAAGCCGAATTTCATTAACAATTGAGATATATGTATGACAATAACATATAGATCTTGAATACGATAAAATATCACAATATTACTCTTTCTAGTCCATTGATCGATCTTATACAACTCCACCGCACCTCAAAAATATCACAACTCCTCACTCTTTCACATATATTCGTTAATAAATACTGCTCTAAAAAAACCGAACGCGTAGTTTAATTTTGCCCCCATAAAAAATTAACTTTTTTGCATTACTCATGGCATCTACTTCTTTCAAAACTAAAGCTTGCACTGAAGTTGTTGTTGTTGTTGTTGATCACGTATTCTATACAAGAGCTACCTACACGTTACGAATTTTCCCAAGTTTGTTAAAAGATATTGAAGCAAGATTTACCAAACATGGTTTTCTGTGACATACACCTAATAAAGAACATTCAATTTAGCAGCAGGAAGCATAAATATTCAGCCAAAAATAAAATCATATAATCAAAAATCAGGAAAGCAAAAGATAGCTAGGCTAGCCCCATAATCACTTGTCTTCCAGTGCATCAAAGCAAAGTCGCAAGTAGGGGTGTACATGGGTCGGGTGGTTCGAGTTTAGTCATTTTAATCACCCGACCCATGCACTACGGTTTGGGAAATATCAAACCCAAACCCACCCAAAAAAATTTAAACCCTACGGTTTGTTTCTAATTGGATTGGGTCGGGTTGACGATATTTTTAAGTAAAAACCCAACCCAACATAAAATATATAATTATTCTATATCATAAAAATATTTCAGAACTAAATTAAAATTTCAAACGAATGAACCGAGGTGAAATGTATCAAAATTCACAAATGTTGTTTGAATTTTAATAAAATGTGATCTACTTCAACACATGTCTTGTTTTTTTTCACAATATTTATTGAAATAGGCTAAAAATGTTATAAACAAACGCACCCATAATATGTTATTCTATTAAAATTGTACACAAGAAAAAGGATTACGTGAATCATAACTATATTCAATTTATGTCTAAACTTTAAGTCGAAGAATGCATTAGATTAGGGAGACCTTGAGAGAAAAACATGCCGAAATATCTTAATTTTCTCATAAGTATATGACTATATACGACATAAATATTTTTTAGATCCAAACTCATACTAATAGTTGGAACACGGGTTGGGTCGGGTTCTACGGGTTGTGTAATCCAAAATCTAAACCCAACCCAAAGGAGGCGGTGTGTACAAAAGAAAACCCTCACCCAACCCAAAACTTTCGTTTTAGCGATAAATACGGGTGGGTTGGGTCGGTTTGCGGGTGTGTTTGTTCACCCCTAGTCGCAAGCCCCACCCAAAATTAGCTAGCTGTGGCAGCCCGCCACGTAGCACTCCCTCTCAGTAATTTTCCCGCCATATGACGTGGCACCCATCCGCCCACCTTTTTCCACTTCCTTTATATACCCACTCTCCCCCTTCCCTTCTCCTTTCGTCCTTCCCCCATTCTTCCTCTCCCCTTTCAACTCATAATAACGCCCTGTTTGGCTCCCTCTATCAATCTCTTCATACAATCCCTCTAGTAACAGACCATTCCAATGGAAACTCCCCAACCTCCTCCCAAACAAGCCCTTAATACGACTAGCACCACTCCCTCCCCTACCGCCGCCGCCTTCCTCCTCTCCTCCGTCTCCTCTCCCATCACTCTCAAGGTACTCTCTCTTAATCCGCGTTCAACGCGTACTGACATCGTTGAATTCGTGAGCGTATAGTTTCATTTCGTCGGATTGTCGAGCACACTCGTTGGATCCAACGATATGAAGCTCAATTTTTTTTCCTACACATTAACTACACATCCATTGACTCAATTTTGACCTCTTTTTTTTTTTTTTTTTGTTCCTTTCCTCTATGCGGATGCATGGGCAGTTCGTGGACCTCTGCTACAGAGTAAAACTCCCCAACACTACTTCCAGCGCAAGCAACAGCGCCATCCGACGGCTGATATCTCCCCACGAGAAATCGACGGCGGCAATCGAGCAGCGGACCATACTAAGCGGAATCACCGGCACCGTTTCTCCAGGCGAGATCCTCGCCGTCCTCGGCCCCTCGGGAAGCGGGAAATCCACGCTCCTCCACGCGCTCTCCGGCCGCCAGCACCGCGGCGGTGTCGTCACCGGCACCATCCTCGCCGCCACCGTCTCCAAAAACCTGTCCGCCAGGCAGCTCGCCAGGCGGACTGGTTTCGTCGCGCAGGACGACGTGTTGTTCCCGCACCTGACGGTGCGGGAGACGCTGGTGTTCTGCGCGATGCTGCGGGCCGTCGTCGCCTTCTCGTCTCGCGACGAGAAGGCGGCTGCGGCGGAGTGGGCGATTGCCGAGCTGGGGCTCGGCAAGTGCGCGGATACTATAATTGGGAACGGATTCGTGCGCGGAATTTCCGGAGGGGAGAGGAAGCGCGTGAGCATCGCGCACGAGCTGCTGATCAACCCGAGCGTGTTGATTTTGGACGAGCCGACGTCGGGTTTGGACGCGACGGCGGCGTACAGGCTGGTGGCGACTTTGGGACAGCTGGCGAGGAAAGGCGGTCGGACCGTGGTCGCTTCGGTCCACCAGCCGTCGAGCCGGGTGTACCGGATGTTCGACTCGGTTCTGGTCCTGAGCGAGGGGCGGAGCTTGTATTTTGGGAAAGGTGGGGACGTGGCGATGGGTTATTTCGAGTCGGTTGGTTGCTCGCCGTGTTTTCCGATGAATCCGGCCGATTTCATGCTCGATCTCGCTAACGGTACGCCCGATTTCCCTTCTCTTTTTCTCGCTTCCCGTATGGGATTTTTATTTTATTTATTTAGTATATAAATATTCTTGATCCCATAACTCTGAAAGGTTTGAGCGTCCTTTGACGCTCTAGTTTCTAGAAAAAAAAAGTGGTTTAATGATAGTACTTAGGTTAATCTCTTGAAGTGTGCGAAAATCTGGAGGATATTGTATTATTGTGAGGAAATTGGTGTAATCATGAAAGTAATATAACATGGTCGAATTTCATAATAGCACATTATATATTACTTTTTGATTGATCCGATTCAAAATAATCGTCAACAAAATTAGTCTGATCCGAAATTTTTGACTCAATTCAATATGATTGTTCGGTCGTACTTCGATTAAACTGGGTATGGTCGAGAAGAAATTGAGGTGGGACTTTAGGATGATATAGGTGGTGGCATTTACGAGGATTAAGGTTGTGCAGAGAGAGGAAAGAAGAGAGTTCTCCATACTTCATTTTTTCTCCTCTTCTTTCTTCCCCATTATTATGAGCTTGAGCTTTTACTACACATGACAATTTGTGTCTGCCAAGATGTCGACTATAGATCCCATATTGAAGATGGAGATACAGTTAGGATTTGGTGATCATCTAGATATGATTTTGGATATTCCATAATTTTATTATAATTAGTATAAAAATCTAAGTCGAGATCGATAAAGAGATGGGCTAAGCCAATGTGGTATGGTGACCTACACTTCAAGGGACCCTACTTATTATCTAATCTCCGTTATTTATGTTTACTAAATATTTGAACGTGGAGTATAATGAATGTCGTCATCCGTTATACCGAATAATGGAATTTTTGAGACGTAACGAGTATAAATTTCTCTTTTGCAAAAGTTAGCAAGGTTATCTGGAGGAAGAAACTACCCTATAAGTAAATCTTCTAGTGTGGAGGAACATATTTTTGATAATAAGTTAACAACTTTTGTTGCCCCTAAAGCAAAAGGTTAGGACAATGGATATATAGGGCTTGAATGAAGACAATTTAAGGATTAAGGAATAGAACAAAACCAAAAGCTATGTTAGTGGAATTAAGGCATCTTAATTAATAATTAATATTAATCCTGGTATATGGAGGAAAGCATAGATTAAGCTGTTAATTGGTGTCCACGTGCTTTGTTTTGTTTGGTAGTTTTGTATGGTAGATGTGTCCTAATAAGTTGGGTAGTTTTGTTTGTTTGGATATATGCGGCAATTTTTAACTTGTAATATTAAAAAAAAACAGTTTTGTTGATAGCGAACATTGGTTGATTTCGGACGTATAATACATTAATGGTACGATGGATGTGTCCTAATACCTAATACTATAATGGTATAGTACTGGCTGCAATGGGTGCATATACATATGGGATCATGAGTGACCTCATTTGAAATGGACAAAAGAGAAGAAAAGGTGGTTAAGTTATTAAATCTCAATTTAACTAATTAATTATCAAAATTCATTGGCTGGAATTGGGTAATTCCATTATGATATAAAAGATGGGGATATATTTGGCCGTGATGACATTCATGGCGTGAGAAAGCATTGTCAAAATGGGAAAAAAGGGAAGCAAAAAGAAATTAAAAGGGAAAGAAGATTTTTAGGTTTGGATCATTGTTTGGCTTTCATCATTGGTCTTCTCCTCTTCTTCCTCTCAACACATTGCATATATGCATATTATTGCCCCTCCATTTTTCCATCTCTTATATCCATTCATGGATAGTTTTGTTTTGTGATGTGGAGGAAAGGTTGGTTTCTATTGCCAAAAAAACATTTCCCCTTTCTTTTAGATACTTCTTATGTAAAATGGTACTAACTTGTATTCAAAATTAATTAGGTTCCACAAAACAAAAAACCTGGTATGATCTATAACGCAAGTTTAGAAGTCAGTCTCAAATTTTTATAACTGTTATAATGCACTTGTCAACCTTTTTTATAATGTATCACCCCACTTAACTTGCTTGTTATACTTCTCAATTATGTCGCTAAATAGAGTCGTGTCATTTTATGTTTACGAATGGAAAAACATAACTACTACTTTCCAAACACTCTAAGCAAACTTTACACATCATAGGAATGAATCTTAAACATGGCTAATAATTGGTTAATTGCCTATGTATTTAGAATCTTTTCAACAAAAACTATGAATGGACAAGCCATATGTGTGTCATTATACTATTGGATTCTTTTGGGGTTAAACAATTAACTTCTTTAGGTTGCCTTTTTTCCTTCCCCCTTTGCTTTGGTTCTTTTCTTTGAGCATTCTTCTTTCTTGCCATACACTTTATAAAGCTTTGTAGGACGTCAATTATTTTTAGTACAGTCTAAGAATTTATCCCCCTTTATTTTCCAAATCTTTGAAAAAAGGAATAGTTGGGATGTGTTGGAAAACAACACGTGTAGGGTTGCAGAAGTTGTTCTTTTGCCTTAGTGGGATTTCTTTATGACCCAAAAAAATCAAAGGGAACATAACTTAGATTGATAGAGTGAAAGAGAACACTAATTTTGATTGAGTGGCAGCACCCATCACTAGTAGAAAAAAAGCTTTGGTAGATTGATAGTGGACTCCCACCTTATGCCACCAAGACTGGTGAGCTTTGTTTTTGCTTTGTGTTATTATTATGATCATGTTAATCCAATTCCTAATTCTACTCATTACTAGATTCATTTTTGCCCACTAGTCCTATTGTTGACCTCCTAATCAAAAGATCCATGAGACCATGGATGGTCAACAAGATAGTTGTGTCTTTCGATTAATCGAGGGTTATCATCATTTTTAGTGCATAATGTTGTAATTTATTCATTTTTTTAGCTCTTATCTGGTCATGTGTCTGTTCATACCCGTAATATTTAGGTAAGCAGGTATTTGGGTAAAAACATATCACTGATATTTTTTTATCAGCATATACGCTTTATGAATTCAATCTCATGACTACAATAGTCAGATCTGTCGTTACTAAATCGTAGATCAGTAACGTGGGGTCGGAAACATAAGGGCGATGTGAGATTTAGAAGTTGGGTTGAGGGGCAAAGCAAAATAACTTACTAAGTATGAGATTTCATCCGACTTACTTGTAAACAAATTGGATAGAATTTCTAATAAAGAAATAAACAAAATAAGACATGGTATCATAATATAGTGTCTAGGGTTTGTTCATGTGACATCATACATGACTATAGGTTCCATTAGCTCTTTGTGTTTAGCATATGCTCTCATGAAATGGGAGGAATGATATCAATGTCCGTTGAAAGGGCATCTTCCCCTTTTCATTCGTTCATCATTCTCTTTCAATCATATGATCATAAGAAGGTCTATTTCCATTTGTGTTTTCAAGCAAAGCATAACTGTCATTCCCAATTCTATATGCTCCTTCATACCTTTGTGTTCCTAATTCAATGTATCCATTATTAACAAAGCACAAATTTTGGTTCCAAGATCCTTTGTTTTCTTAGTGGCCTCAACCTTTTTTCTGTAGTTGCCTCTTAAGTTGGTTAGGTTTCTGTTCCTTGGTTTGCAAATAATTACATGATTTGATTAATGCAGATAGTACTGTTCTTTATTCCACCAGCACACAAGGAGAACAATTCTAAACTCTCATAATTAACAACTCCTGAAGAAGTCAAAAGGGTCGATTAAAAAGAACACTGAGATAGTGTGTATTGAGTCTAGATGATTAGAGTAATGGATTAAGGTGACTATTTAACATTCTAATCTTTGCTTGCTGCAGGGGTTTGCCATCTTGATGGAGTCGGTGATCAAAGGGATAAACCCAACGTGAAGCAGCATCTCATGGCCTCATACAATGCAATACTAGCACCAAAGTTGAAATCCGCTTGCTTGGAAGCCACGCCAAAGGAATCCAACCTCAGCAATGGCCATGGTGGCACCAATTCATCCCCAAGACACTTGGGGAGGTGGAGAGAAGACCAGAGAGTTGGCATGACCATGTGGTTCAACCAGTTCACCGTCCTCCTCCACAGGAGCCTGAAGGAGCGGAGGCACGAGTCCTTCAACACCCTCCGCGTCTTCCAGGTCTTTGTTGGTGCCCTGTTGGCGGGCCTGATGTGGTGGCACTCCGATTTTCGAGACATTCAGGATCGGTTGGGCTTGTTGTTCTTCATATCCATCTTCTGGGGTGTGTTGCCTGCTTTCAACGCGGTGTTTGCCTTCCCACAGGAAAGGGCAATCTTTATGAAGGAGAGAGCGTCTGGGATGTACAGTCTTTCCTCTTACTTCATGGCTCGAATCGTGGGCGAAATGCCCATGGAGCTAGCTCTTCCAACCATCTTCATCACCATGGCCTACTGGATGACCGGGCTAAAGCCCGACTTGGGCGCATTCCTCCTCACCCTACTCATCTTGTTGGGCTACGTGCTCGTGTCTCAAGGTCTAGGTCTTGCCCTGGGGGCAGCCATCATGGACGCCAAACAGGCATCCACGATGGCTAATGTGACGATGCTAGCGTTCGTGCTTACCGGAGGGTTCTACGTTCACAAGATCCCGGCCTGCATGGCGTGGATCAAGTACATCTCGAGCACCTTCTACACTTATAGGTTGTTCATCAACGTTCAGTATGGCAACGGGGAGCAAATTGCAAAAGCATTTGGTTGCTCGGGGCGAAATGGTAACAACTACAGTGATGTTGGACCAGATTGCAAGTTTATCAGGGAAGATCTGGAAGGACAGATCAGCCCTTGGGTTTGTGTTGGAGCAATGGTGCTGATGTTTGTGGGTTACAGAGTTTTGGCTTACCTAGCATTAAGGAGGACTTGATTAACCAAATAAACACGATAATTGGTGGGTTTCATTTGGGTGATTAAGCCATGTGTGCTATAAGGCATAAGCCTCTCTTGAATCAAAGACATAGATTCTTCTTCAAGTGGTGACCAATGGTGAAAGGAAGAGACATTGGTGGTAGATCGGGTATTGTGAAGCACTACAAGTCTACAACAAAAAGGGTAGTTGAAATTTTTTCCCAAAGTGTTCAATTCATGTATTTTGGTTCTTTTCCTCTTTTTACTCTTTTCAGTAGGATAATTGTAGTCCTGAGAGGTCCATAGGCTTACTGTAATTGAAGAATAAGTGACTCTTCATTCACATGTAATTGTAAAAGAATTTAGAAACATAAATAAATAAAAATTCGCTTTCCAAGCAGTAACCAACAATGTTCACTAAAGAAATTTCGATTTTGACTCATTCCTATAGCACAAGTATTTGATGAGGTCGAGTAGCAGTTCGTGCTAATAACTTGAATTATTGAAAGTTATTTAAAAAGCAAGAGATTACATCATTTATTTACACTCCCACTTAACCATATTTCAAAGATTTAAAAGCAATATGTTATGTAACTTCCATATTCAAAAACAGTGGTAATACGAGTCAACCAAGTCCTTGTTCGCTGCAACATTGAGCCCTTCTCTGTTTAATTACTCCAATTACTGTAGGTTCCTAGACAAGTAGTTCTTACTTAATACACAAAACTTTGTTCTTTCTAGTTCCAGGTAATAACAAGAGAGAAAAGTTCGAAGGAAATCGACTACCCATGAACTTCCTAAGGCAACATCATAACGAAGAAACCTTACAAAAACGAAGAAAACTAACTCTAAAGAGGACTGCAACAGGACTTTACATATAAACCCTATGAACAACTTAGTTGACAGTCTGCGGAATCGAACTAAAAACTATACACAAAGGATAGGAATCAGACTTAATACACCAGCCTAGTTGACCTTTATGATAGTTAGTGGATGGTCACATTCTGAAGTTCCATTTCAACAGATTACCAGCCGGCCCAGAAACTGCCAGGGCACTTCTAGGACAATTTCTCAACAACCTAGTACATTACAAATACTAGAAAAGGGAAGTCAATGGTACTCATCCTGGAGAAACAGCATTATGAAAGAGGGTGTCCTGTTGTGTAGGAAAGTAAGCAGAGGCAGTAGTAGGTCGGGTTACCTGGCTGAAATCAACAGACGTAGCAACCACGTCCAGTTTACCTTGCAAGTATCTAGCTAGCAGGTGAGCACCACTTTGGCCTTCATCTTTTTGTTCTGCAAATCTCTCTGCAATTTCTGCCCAGTGTTCTTCAACTGACCATGACCATGATACGTTCTCTTGTTATGCTTGTTCTTTTTTGCTTAAGCAGAGAGGAGAATACTAACCCATTATGGCGGCAAGTTGGTCAGGGACAGGAAGTGATCACGGGTATTATCAAGCCCAGGAGAGATCTTACGAGTACGACCCGATTAACATAGACTCCCTGAGGGAGACAGCTGCTGCCTTGGCAAAGAGAGCAACCACATGGACAATGTTTCGTGTTCCCCAGTTGATGTTCAAAGTTAACCCACTTGCATACACTCCTCAGTTTGTTTCCATAGGGCCTTTCCACCGCCACAGAGAGGCGTCTTTTATGCATAGAAATGCTGATTTGCAAGCCATGGAGGGCCACAAGCGAGTGTTCATGCTCCGCCTTCTGGAAAGGACAAGGTCTCCCGATGATACCTTTCACGAGTGCAAAAATGCAGTGGATCAAGTCATTGGAGTGCTAGTTGACGACCACTACACAGAGATGGATATATCTAGCGAGCTGCTCTCCAGGATTATCCTTGTCGATGCCTGTTTTCTACTCGAGGTCTTCCTCAAACACAGTGGCATCACTAACAATCGTCTGAACTGCAGCATCGAAGAGGTTATGCTGGATAACGAGTACAGGAATATTTTCGCCTCATCAGGCCTTCGGCGTGACCTGGCACTGCTCGAAAATCAAATCCCTTTCTTCGTGCTTGAACGCCTGTTCAAAGTCATCCGTCATAACATAGCACTGCCAACCAATATAGAAGGTTTCTCTCTCCCTGAAATTGCATTCGCCCTCTTCAAAAGTGACTTCAATTGTCATCATGAGTTCTTCAGAATAGGAACTGCAAATGAGCATCCACATTATAGGCATCTGCTTGATCTCATATCAAACTACGCTCATCCTACTTCACGTCACCCTGATCTCCCTCCTCTTCCTCCTATGTCCCAACTGTCACCCATAGTGCACATGCGTAATGCTAAGAAACTGAGTGAAGCAGGAATACGTTTTGAGAAGGCAGGGAAGAGCATGTTGCTGGATATGGAATTCTGCAATGGAGTCTTCCGTATCCCACCATTGGTGATCAACGAGTGCACTGAATCACTGTTGAGCAATCTCATGGCTTTTGAGCATAGCTCCTGTAATCCCGAAGATGCAGCCAACTCACATGAGTACTTTGCATCTTACGTGTTCCTGATGGAGCGCCTAGTCAGCCACAAAGAAGACCTTGATATAATGGAAAGCAAAGGAATCATAATCAATCAGATGGGTGGTAGGGAGGATGCCTATAAGATCTTCTACAACATAAGCCAGAACTTTGTATTGAAGAATTTCTATTTCGCTGAGTTATGCAGCAGAATTGAAGCCCAATGTGAGTCTCGTAAGCATCGATACTTGCTGGAGTTGAGAAAGAAACACCTCAAGAATCCATGGACGACCTTATCAGTGGTTGGCGGTACTATACTCCTCATCTTCACTGCCATCCAGACTATCTACACCGTTCTCAGTTACTCGCAGCGCTAGCTACTAACCATACTGAAACATGCTTTAGCATATGCAGACTCTGAGCTTCACTTCGAGTTTATTTGTGTATGATCCATGGAATTATTGCTCGTCTCCTTATGTTTAACAATCGTATTTCCCTTCTTTACTGTGAAAATGAGTGAACTTCAGTCAAACTTAGATATATACATGAGATAATTGGATGTAAAAGTCAAAAGAAAGATGATCAAGTCTAATGGCTCACCTGAAACACAAACGGTTCATAAAAACAGAACCATCCGGCTCACTTGCAGATTATTAGATGAAGTATCTGCTGTACTCAAGGCTTTCCAAGGACGAAAAGAATCCCAAACAGAACAAGGAAAAGAGCCAACAATGGAAAGCTGATGATAGGGGAAGTAAACACCCTACTGCAATTCGAACACAATTTGAGAATGAAGCTGATCACATTAGCCCCCAGTACAACTGGTTCATGCCACGGCACTAACTGCAGACGACGATGACAAATGAGAGAGGTTAATAACCCAGACTTGAGTAAAGCTAGTTCCCAGTTGACTCGTTTCCCTCTCGGTACTAACATCAGATGTTGTTGCTTCTTACTGGAACGGAAACCTAGTACGCTTACACGATGACGCTGACTAGTATCATCATCATTCCATGGTTGACCCTCGCTCTGCAGAGGCACACCCTGCATGTTGTTGGTGCACTCTTCTTCAGTAGTATCATGGCGGTAAACGTGCCGGTAGCCACATCTCTTGATCTTCACATGCGAGCAACCGCCTTTGAACGACAGCTCGATATTGGGTTGCAGCATCCACTGTTTTGGCTTGTTGGGATCCTTAGGAATGTAGGATAACCAGACGTGGTTTGCCCCCTCTGTCACTACTCCTGGGGATACTTTGAGGAATCCAAGGTCGGAACCGATTGAACAAATGTGATCGTCGGAGCATTCATTGGTGGAGTAACAAATGCTGAAGCAAACAGAAGTGGCAATCCCCATCCAGTCTGAATTATTTTTGCTATGACGATCATCTGGAAGTTTTAATGTTGTTAGTGAGCTCCCCTGACTTTGATGGTTGAACCAGTCGGGCATTACATTGATTCCAGGAGTCACAATGCTAAATTGATTTTGGGGATGAGGATGACCCTGCATGAACGGTAGGAATTTGATGAGTTGAAAATACGTTACTTATGTTATTAGAAAAGGCTGAAACACACTGTACCTCCAGGTATCTTCTGAGAGCCCGCAATGCTGAGGTATCTGACTGATCCGTCGGACGATTTGTAGGGTAATGATCTAATTTTAAGCAATCAAAGCACTGCATCTGCAGCCCATAGCGGAGACTGATTGTGTCTGGAATTTCTTCCAAGGATATGCAGCCATTCAGATATATCCTTTCAATTTGGGAGGGAAGCTCAGGCAACGAGCAAACCCTGAGACAGAATTGAAGCGACAACTCTTGTAAAGCAATTAAGCCTTTCAGTGAAGAGGGTAACTTCTCCAGTTTAGAACAACAGTCAAGATAGAGTTGTTTAAGTGATGTCAAACAGCCCAGGCTGTCTGGAAGATCTTTGAGGTTCACACAATTGTGTATCTGCAGTAACTCCAGACTGAGTAAGTTGCCCATTGATGGAGGTAAATGTTCCAGTTTCCAACAGCTTCCCAGGGTAAGTGTTTCGAGGGAAGTCAAACAACCCAAGTTCGGTGGAAGACTTCTGAGGCCGTCACATCTCCAAAGGCACAACTCCTTAAGGCCAACCAAAGATCCCAATGAGATTGGTAGCTCTTCCAATCGTGGACAACTTTGTAAAATAATTTCTTTAAGGGAGGTCAAACAGCCTAGGCTGTGTGGAATACTTTTGAGTTGATGGCAGTCTTTGATTTGTAGAGTTTGCATGCCAACCAATGATCCGATCGTTGAAGGCAGTTGTTTGATTCCAAGGCCATCCAGTTCAAGCTCAACCAAGCACTCCATGTGTCCAGTGAAATCTGGCAACTTCTTCAACTTTGAGCAGCCACTAAGTTGAAGACATTTCAGAGAGCTCATTTCAAGGCTTGTAGGAAAAGCCTTAAGACAGACTAGCTGTTTGAGATCAGCAAAATTGAGTTTCCTGAGGTTTCCAAATGATGGATGAATCTTGGGCAACAGCTCACATTCCTTGAGATACAGGCTCTGAAGGTTAGGAGTTCCACTGAAATCAGGGGTCTCAATTAGATTCTTGCAGTGAGAGAGATTCATCACTATCAGATTGGGCAAAGCCTGTGAACAACATAGAAAACACATCAGTATGACCAAGTAGTATTTTCAGACAAGGAAATGTATAACTGAATGGCTTATTGTCTTGTCACCTTATGTCCATGCCAAAGACGCTCCAAATTCCAGCTGAAACTCAAGTCTAGTTCGATTAGATGGTGAGGATTGAAACTAGATGGTAGAGATTTGGAAGGGTAAGGAGACCAATGCAGAACTCGTAATTCATGGGAGAGATAGGTTGGCCCTTGTGTAATCTGTAAATTTTCCAGCCTCAGCAATCTTAGATTAACCATGTTCTTGAAGGCTTCACCACCACATTCTAGCCTCTTTGTGTCATGCAACCGCAGGTACATCACTTTGACATTTTCACTACCCTGCAATAAAAAAATAAAATAAAAAACAAAAAACAAAACAAAAGCAACCCAACAAGTTAACAATGTAAATCATTGCCCTAGTATAGAGTGTAATACTCATTCCATACATGTATTTACTGCTTACCGTTTCTTTGGTAAGAACATGACAGACTTCCTCATATCCTCGCAATCTACTGCGTTTTCCTGGCTCATCTGGACATTCTGAAAGAACTACTGCTTTTCCCATTTCTTCTAGTAAGTCATGGGAAATGAAAAACTTGGAGCCTCCTTCATTGACCAGTGATTTGTCAACAAGGTTCCTAATCCCAATGTTTACACCCAAATACATGCTTTCAAGTATCTTCACGACACTTTGTTTCTCCCAATCCCTACAGAAAAACAGAATGTCCAGAAAAATTTGCTTTTCTTCTTCATCTAGTCCGTCCAGACTGATTTTCAGCACCTCCAGAATCTTGCCTGGTGGGATTCTCTTCAGCTTCTCAATTGTGCTTTTCCATTCACCGACACTTCTTCCACGAAGGGAAGAACCCAACACTTCTAGTGCTAGGGGAAGCCCCTCTGCATAACCCACAACGCATTCACACACCTCCTTGAAATCTTCCATGGCTTGCTCTGGATTCAAAGCTTTTGAGCATAACAGCACCTTGGCTTCCTCGTTGTCTAACAACTCGGTCTCATACATCGAATCAACCCCATGAGCATCCATGATATGCCTATCTCTGGAGGTTACGATGATTCGACTTCCTAAGCCAAACGAACTATGCTCCATAGCTAACGATTCAAGCTGTTCTTGGTGGTCAACGTCATCCACAACAAGAAGCATTTTCTTCCCTCTAAAAGCCCTCTTCAGCCTCTCGATCGCGCCAAAAGAACCCCATCCCTCCAAATCTTTTGCAGGCTGACTTGCAGTTCCCTCAAATAGCTGCCTCTGCAAATGAAGCAGCCCTCCGTTGGAGTTGCAGACATCCCTCACATGAGCAAGATAAGTGCTGAACTCGAACTGCAATCGAATGGCGTCATAAGCAGCCATGGCCACTGTTGTCTTACCACTTCCCCCCATCCCCCAAATTCCAATCATTCTAACATCCCTATCCCGTTCACCTAATAGCTTAATCACTGCCCTCACCCGCCTATCCATCCCGACCAAGGGTTTACTGATACTCCGAAATGTAGGACTCAGTTCCCTCCATATCTTCTCCACAATGTCCTTCACCATCTCCGAATCATTTCTTCAATCACAACAAGCATATTCATTAAACATAACATACCAATTCCAATTCCAATCGATTCTAACTTCTAAGGCAGGGGGGAAAACGAATTGACTTTCAGCATCTGTAAATGTGTTGCGAGCTACCAACCTGTAGTCCGCCGAAGTGAATCCGGAGAGATTAGCGACTTCCGTCAGGGCATTTCTCCATCTCTCCAGCTGCTCGAAATCCCGCTGATGCTTCTCCAGGCCAACTCCGAAGCTTCCCCTTTGCTTCCTCACATCTGACGGATCAACATCGTAGAAAATCGGGAGAACCCTTTGACCTTTCCGATGCCTGCACTCGAGGATTCTGACGAGCTCCTCCAAACACCAGGTCGACGAAGCGTAGTTACGCGACAGGATGACGACGGCGACTCTGGATTCCTCGATCGCCTTGAGGAGTTCCGGCCCAATCGAATCGCCGCCGGCGAGCTTGTCTTCGTCTTTGTAGACGAGGGAAATCCCTAGCTTCCCGCACAAGGCGTCGCACAAATGGCTGGCGAAACCCCTGCGGGTGTCTTCCCCTCTGAAGCTCACGAACACCTCGTACCTAACGGCGGCGGATGACGGTGACGGCGAAACCAAGGGTAGAGAAGTTGGACCAGAATCGGAGAAAGACGCCATGGACCGGAAATTGAGGATCGAGGAAAAGAGCTTGAACTATCATAGAGGAGGGCTAAGATCAGGTGACTAAGGGGGTCCCTTAGTCACATAACTAAGTCAATCTAAGCCATTGAAGCTCATTAAAATCCAATGGTTCAGATTTATCTAGTTTAATGAAGGGTAAGGTGGTAATTACCTAATTTATTTAACAACTAAATTAAAAAAAACAAACGCTCTGTTTGGCAACAAGGGGGGTGCAAATTGCAGGAGGGTGCAAGTTGAGGTGCAAATTGCTGGGGGTACAAATTGCTGGGGGGTGCAAGTGGAGGGGTAAATTTGTTGTTTGGATGAAAAAGTAGGGGGGTGCAAAATGATGTAAGAAAGAGTTTTATATATAAAGAGTAAATATAATAATATTAAAGAGTAAATATAATATTAATGTTGTATTATACATAGGTAGTAAAATACGGTACGCGAAAGTTGTGTATAAAATACGTACGGATATTTTACTTCGTCTCTAACCGAATGTTATGTTTAACAGTTATAAATATATAAAAAATAATTATTGTAAAATTAAATTTATAAATAATATATATTTAGAATTTGTTTGGGTGGGATGGGTTGGTCTTTCGCAATGAATGGCGGGATAGAAGAGAACAAAGTAAAATAGAAAAGAAGAACCGTAGAAAATAAAAGTGGAGAGGAGAAAAAAATTGTAAAAGCAAATCATTTTTTGCTTCCCTTCCTTCCGCCCCAAATTGGGGGGTTAAGTAAAACAGTGTCTTTACCCCTTTGATGCACCCCCCACCTACTGTTGATTATTATCCAAACAGGTACAAATTTTTTGGGATTCCCATTTACCCCCAAAAACTTGCACCCCCTCCATTTACCCCTCAAAACAAACATAGTGAAAAAAAAGATGCGGCCTCCGCCCTCCCCGCCTGCGGCCGCTGGGAATTACTCCCGCCGCGGTTGCTGCCGACTTCCGTCGTCCGCGCCATTATTTTGCCGGCGGTGGTCAGGGAATCTCCCACGCCATTATTTTATAATGGCCGCCCAGGAGAGAAATCTCTCCCTCATCCGCCATTTTTTTGCCCAGGGTAATTGAGAGAGAGAGAGAGAGAGAGAGAGAGAGATTCTGATCGGAAACTTTTTTGGTCGGAAAATTTCCTGGTCGGAAAAAATTTTCCGGCGACCATCGTGGACGGAGAAAAATTTTCCGGCGACAGTGCCAATTTTGTAATGTTTGTTGACATATTTTGTAATGTTTGTACGCTTTGTTATTTTGTAATGTTCGTAAACTTTGTTATTTTTGTTCACCATGTTCGTACTGTTTATATGTCTAAAAAACACCCGGGTTGACTTTGGGAAGAAGCCCCTCTATATAGGGATGGAGCCTCCAAAGTCAACCCGGGAGTTTTTTCCCGTTCGTATGGATTGTCGGTCTAGTTTGTCATTTTTGTCCACCATGTTCGTACTGTTTGTATGTCTAAAAACACCCGGGTTGACTTTGGGAAGGAGCCCCTCTATATAGGGATGGAGCCTCAAAAGTCAACCCGGTTGTTTTTTCTTTTTGTATAGTTTGTATTGCTTGTCGGTCTAGTTTGTATTGTTTGTACAGTTCATACGTTTGTAATGTTTGTAAATCTGTTTGTATGTTTTGTCGCTCTAGTTTGTACACTTCGTATGTTTGTATGGTTTGTACTGATTGTAAATCCGGTTTGTATACTTCGTAATTTTTCATAATAACCAAACTACCCCTGCCATTAATTAAATAGCCCTTCCCACTTTTTAACCATAGGATTGAAGTGTCCAGATCTAATGGCTAGGAGGGGCTTAGTCAAGTGACTAAGCACCCCCCTTAGTCACCAGATCCGCACTCCATAGAAGAAATAGCGTAGACTTTTTTTCCCTAGGTAATTAGAAGCGTAGACTTTTATTGATAAAAGAAAAAGAAAATTAGAAAGCGCAGACTTTGAAATAGTCTCCATATTCTTTCCCGCGCCATGGATCCACTGGGCTTTTGGCGGGAAGATATCCGTTGTGGATTGCGGCCCAGTATCGCATTGGTAAATCATTCGTTCTATAATTTCATTTTGTTGAATGTCTTTCTAATTTTCTTTTTAATAGTTGTTGGCCCCAAGTTTCAAGGTTCAAATCTAGAGTGTGAATGCGCATATCACTTGGCCATGGATACGAGAAAAATAAACTAGCCAAATAAAATTTGCATTTGATTGATTTCCTTGCAAAAGAAAATCGCACATTAATTATTTGGTGCTGGAGGCATACTTTTAGCGAAGACGTCTGCGTACAACGCTTTTTTTTATGAGCAGACACATACGCCTAATGCCTTATTACAAACGTAATGACTCGACGGATTGCAATCGGCATCACTTTTGCAAGGTCTGCTCACGCAATGCAATTCCTCGTGCCACTCCAATGATGTTCTTCCACCTTCCACTCCAATGTTGTTCTTCTCTCCACCTACAATACCAAATTTATATTTTCAATGACAATTTAAATAACATAATTGATCAAGAAAATTTTGCTTTCTTTTGTTGATCGCACCAAAGGTATACTACCTTTGATACTACTATCGTATGTGCAATCAAATAAAATGAACGATAATATACGTACCAGAAATAGCGAGAACCAAAATCATAACACAAAACACCAACTTGAAGTTAGCCTTCTCCATCGTGCTTGGATAGGTTTTGTCACTTGATTCAATGAGCTTTGTGGTATTTTTTTTTTTTTTTTATAAATTGCAATGAGCGAGATGCAACATACGAAGTTTGGTTTATATAGAAAGAGAATAGAGATAGGCGAGATTGCAATATTAAATTCGTCGTGGGTTCTTTCGGAAAGAGATATTGAATTTGCGATTGTGTTTCCTCATAAATTGATTTTCCTCATACTAATATAGTAATATTAATGATCTTTCCAAAATAAAATTAAAGCCATAGAATCCCCCGTTATATATATATGGAGATTTTTTCATTTAATCACATTCATTCCAGATATTCAATGTTCTGACAAATTTTGGAAGGACCTTTTTTATATAATTCCAATTACAAAATAAAGCTAAAATCGGAATCTCCCTATATCCGCAGAAGGAACATGTAGAAAAATTGGAATGCAATATCCCTTTGCCTTGGAGATTACCACTCAATTGTTTGATTTGATTCTCTAATATTGGCTCATGAATGCTTCAGTAGATGCTTTTTTAATACGATGGCTTGGGTTACCGCAGATTAAGATGTTCAAAATTAGTGGTTTAGGTTAAGTGGTTAACCATTAATTGAAACGTTCATAATATAACATACAATATTTGTATAACATGCACTATATTTTACTGCTTATGGTACCATATCTCTCAATAGAATTTTCTTTAATTTTTATTTTGTTAATGAACGAAATGAACATTTTTGCTTAGTAAAAAAACATACCGAAGATCACAATGGTCAAAATTTTCTTCTCTCTTTAATTGAGTGATGGTAAAATGACATCCAACTTAGGCCCCCTGCCAAGGTCGTCAACCAAGATTAGCTCTTTAATCCGGTAGAGTAAGTGGATTGAGGGTTGATGGTCAAATCGTTTTAGTCCATATATATGAAAAACGTTATTGTTTTGTTTATAGGTTTATAAATGGTATAAAATATCATCTAACATATGAGTATTAACATATAACATTACACCAAAATAATAGTTCGTACTTGAGTCCAAAATATAGTGAAAGTTCAAACGCACTCATATAACATCAATATTCAAATGTTCAACTTGAAATTCCAAATATAGAGTTTTCAACATACTGGTTTGACCTTGAGCCTTCTGAAAACCTATGCACCGCATTCTACCATCCTGTTGCAAGGTAGTTTGTATAGCTAGTTGCCTTAAGATAGTTTGCCAAGGTTTTAATTGTATAGCCAATGTTTTAACTTTTAAGTGTATCTACTTACATTGGAAAGGAAAAGATATTCTTCAAGTTTTAATTCCAAACAAATAGCGCGAGGAAAATTTAAGCTCACCGGAGGTAACAGCCTGCAGATGAAGGTCTAATACACGTTTGAGAAATGACATAACAAACCTATGTGTGAAACCAGTTCTTTCATGGTTGATGTCAAACCTGGAACTAATCGCGTAACACTACCACCCATTAATTACTCTAAGAGTCCCAAATCTGGAGACTGCATTAGGCATTAGCAACCTAGAATTTCAGTAAGTCATCAGTTTTTAAACACATTGAAAAGAATGCTTAGGAAGTTTAAAAAGCATCCTCATACTATACAATTCTAAGGCTAGGGAAGGGATTGTTGCTTACAACACTAACAAACATATCGTAGGCTTCTGACACGAGGTATGCAAATGTTGTTCCAGTGTCGAGCAATGTCGCACGACCAGTTGAAGGTGTGAAGGCTTGAGGATCCACCAGTAGCAGCTTTCCATTAGCTACAATGCTCTTAAGGTGAACACTGTAAAGGGGTCTGCAAGTTTGTAGAGGAAGCAATAAGTCCATAATTTGTACTTAACATGCTAATCAAAACAACAATAACTCAGAGTTACATGGTAGATATACTTACTGCCATGGGACAAGTGGAGTGTAGACCATTCCTGGCGCCGAAACCTCTCCAAGTACGAACATACCACCTTAAGTGCCCCCTCCTTTCAAACAGTGAGAGAACACTCGAGGGGTGATTCCTCTATAGTATAGTTGTGAGAGGACAACCAGCTTCTTTTTGCCGAATCTGAATATCCCATCTACAGCTAGCCCTGTCTCCGCTAAGACGCCAGAGCGGTACTTGCTAACACTATAGTCGGGTTAACATTCTTTTGTCAATATTAGTCATTCAAATGTCTTAGTTACCATTTGTACACATAAGATCTAACGATATTAATGCTTACTAGTTTTTTTGGCTCATTCTCTACCGTGGTAAGAAACTAATGATTTATTTGAAATCAAATAATTCACAACATTATTCTGATAAAATACCTACATAAATTTCACGCATTGTATTAATCATTACGAATAACATATATCATTCGTTTGTTTAAGTGATACATAATCATTAACTATTCCTGCATAAGATTTACGTAGTGTTTAATCAATATGAAAGACTTGCATAATATTTTTGTTTAATTACATACAAAATTATAACACGTTCATAAGTTTTATGTAGTGTGTTAATCATTAAGAAAGACTCATGTAATATATTTGCTTACATAATAACAATCCCCTACATGCAATTTTATCATAAGTTTATTGTTATTAGACCACGCATTATGAAAAATTTATTTAGCTACATTCTATAACAATGTTATATAACTGTTATAAAATGTTGTTTCATCACCGATTACTACTCGAAGCAGGAAATGTAATCTAAGTGAACTTTTTTGGTCAACTCCTAATCCATTAGATACACTATTAACTAGTTTTGTACATCAGAACTAACATGAATGTTCTATTTAATCCGTTACCCATCCTCAGATTGTTATTAGTTGATATAGAGTAGAGATAATAAGATTTGCCCAAAAAGGATTTCTGCTGAGGAGTTTGGAGTCGTTGAATCTTTTGAAAGGATCCAAATAACTTATTTGGCAGCATTTTACTAAAATGAGTTATTTGAGAGTTATTTACAAATAACTCTTACCCCCTAGTTATTTCGAAATAACTCGTTTTGCCTCTTTATTTTTTTTCAAATACCACGTATGTATGGCTCAACCAAACGAGATATTTTAATCCAACTATCACTAAAATAACATTCAAATATCACATGAATAATTAATAAGATATTTGACTCTACAATACCAAATTGACAATTAATTCATCCAAACGACTTGTAACAAAAAAATGTAAAGAGTAACTAGATGCAAGGAAACAAGAAACATAAAGTAGCAAATAGTTTTTTTTTTTTCGTATGTAGAAACAATCTCTGGACGAATCACCAAGAATATGTTTCACAACTAGAATTCAAAAACTCAACTAAAGATACTTTTATCCTCAATTTAAATTTTGGCATTTTTAACTCACCACATAATATTTAAACACACAACTATACTAAATGGAACATTTTAAAATTTGAATTTCGTTAACTCACCACATAAAAATATACACACAATGACACGCTTTAAAATTTGAATAAGTGTCCATATTCGCGCGTCATGATTCTATTGGGCTTTAGCGGATGGATTTGAGGTGCGGATATGGGTTTAGATTGTGGCCCATGATCTTTTTTTCTTCTTCTTCTTCTGGTAAACACAACACAATCCCATTTCTTATACAGATATACCAGTACCAGTTCCTTTTCCAGCGAGTTCTAGAAAGCAGGAGAAGCAGGCCGACGGAAGAAAAAGGGAAACAACGGTTCCCGGCAGAATCACCGAAAATTCACCGGCGCAAGCTTGCCGTTCTTCGAGCCGGAGCAATAGCGAAGAATCGATGGAGAAACCGTCACCACCGTCGTCGCCATCGTCGAGCTCCTTCGACGGTTCCAAAGAGCTTCAGTGCGTTGGTAGGTTGGAAATAGTCCGGCCGAAGCCGGTGGGTTTCCTCTGCGGTTCCATCCCTGTGCCGACTGATAAATCTTTCCACGCCTTCGATTCGGCTCTGGTTCCTTCGCGCCAGAAGTGAGTGTCTCCTTTCGGCTATTTTTGCACCCCCTTGGCTTCGCTGGCTTCTTACTCATTGTGAACTGTGGAGTTTGGTGTTTTTTCTTGTCTAGGGTGAGTGCGCCAAGGTACAGAATGCTTCCAGCGGAGACCGATCTCAATACTCTTCCAGTAGTCTCCAACTTACCGGAGAAGGTTCTTCCAATCGGCGCAGTACAGTGTAAAACCACCGGAGGTACGATATTCTGAACGATGAGCAATCCCTTTCCTGTTTTTTGGTTGCTGAAAGAGCAGTAGTTATTAGATCACTGAGAGATTGTAATTCAGCTAGTTTTGGTGTTTGCTCGGATAGCCAACTTAGTATGCTGTGTCTTGGGACCTCTCTTCTTTGTTTGTAGTTATTGCTCGATCGATGCAGTTAATAGAACAGACGTTGTGTTATTCTTTCATATATATACAACTAACTTAGTGTTTGATATTAGCATGTTAATGAGGCCAGCATGCTAGTTTACTTCCTTTCTTATTGAGGCTGTGGTTTCTGAGCTGATTTTTGAGGCTTCCATGTGGCAGAACTGCTTTGGGAAGGAGATGCTTTTTCATCAAACATGAGTAGGAAATGTGAGACCCTTGCTGTAACTGGTCTGGTTGAATATGGAGATGAGATTGACGTGATTGCTCCGGCTGATATTCTGAAGCAAATCTTCAAAATGCCCTATTCCAAAGCCCGATTGTCAATTGCAGTGCGTCGTATTGGACAGACTCTTGTTTTGAATTCTGGGTATGCATTTCTTCCAGAGCTCGTTTGCTTCTATTCTGAACTATTATAACACTTCAACTGCCCTATGGTTTGCAGACCTGATGTTGAAGAGGGAGAAAAGTTGGTTAGAAGACACGGCAGTCAGGCAAAGTGTGCAGATCAATCTTTGTTTCTGAACTTTGCTATGCATTCAGTGAGGATGGAGGCTTGTGATTGTCCTCCATCTCATCATTCGCCAGAAAGGGAATCAAACTCATCTGTTCTGCCTGGGGGAAGTAGTTCACAGTTTGTTGGGAATAATGATAATGTTGTACAGAATAAGGAAGTGAGCAATCATTCGGACTATTCAGAGGTCAAGCAAGATGGTTTGTTTTTGGAAAGTAAAAAGAACAAGAGAAACAAGGGTCGTCATCCTGTTAAAAAAACAACACATGTTACCGAGAAGTCGAAAAGTACAGTCCAAGAGTCTGAAAAACATAAAAGAGTGAGAGATGATGGATTCCTAAGGGTTCTGTTCTGGCAGTTCCATAATTTCCGTATGCTTCTGGGAAGTGACTTGCTTCTGTTCAGTAATGAAAAGTATGTTGCTGTGAGCTTGCATTTGTGGGATGTAACCCGAAAGGTAAGATTGACCAGGTACGTTTGGTAGATTTGAAGTGTTTGAAGCTTCTCATTGGCTTTCCCATTTCTTCTCAGGTCACTCCCTTAACTTGGCTCGAAGCTTGGCTTGACAATATCATGGCCAGTGTACCGGAGTTGGCCATTTGTTATCACGAAAACGGGGTTGTTCAGGGCTATGAACTTCTTAAAACAGATGAAATCTTTTTACTGAAAGGAATATCTGAAGATGGTGCACCAGCTTTTCATCCTCATGTTGTTCAGCAGAATGGACTTTCTGTACTGAGATTCCTTCAAGAAAACTGCACGCAGGATCCTGGCGCTTATTGGGTACATTGATGTTATGTGTTTGAACATATATTGTTTTTGTTTCTCTCAATTTGTAGCTAGCTGATCCGCTATCATTTTTTCCACAGCTTTACAAAAGCGCTGGTGAAGACATGATTCAACTTTTTAATCTTTCTGCCATTCCTGATAGTCACTCTTCAGATGATTGTAATGATGATTCACGCTCTTTGCCACCTCTACATAGAGGGAGAAGCGATTTCTCATTCTCATTGGGAACTCTGCTATATCGTGTTGCACATAGACTTTCCCTTTCATTGGTAAGAAGTATGAACCATGTATGATAATGATGAATTTTTTTTGGAGTATGATCAGTGTGTCTTACTGGCACTTTGTTGATTGGTTTTAGGCTCCTGACAGAAGAGCCAAGTGTGCTAGTTTCTTCCGAAAATGTTTGGAATTCCTGGACGAGCCAGATGATCTGGTAGGCATAGCTCCTTCAGTAACCTTAGTGTCTTTGTTGAAATGTTTTTTGGCCTTTTCCTAATGTGTTATCCTCTGATAGCTTGATCTTCACGGATCATTTTGTTATTTGATCAGGTTGTACGTGCATCTGCTCATGAGGAGTTTGCACGGCTTCTTTTGACTAATGTCGACGAGATGGAATTGAGCTCGGAGTCACTTATTACTGACTATGAAGCTACAGTCCCAGTTTTGTCTCAGGACCCCTTTCATTGTTCTCCTGAGTATGTTGTGGACGAGGATATCTCTGAGCCAGAAGCAACAGAAGATATAGGAAGTATAGATGAGAATGTTTCATTGGAAGATACAGAGAAGAAATCGGAGGTGAATGAACCGGTAGAAGCCCTCCCATCCATTGATTCTGATGAAACACTTGCAATCTGTGAGATTCCGGAACCAATTGCACGTGTGGTTCAAACTGTTAGTGATCCCATCTCCTCTAAGCTAGCTGCTATACATCATGTTTCACAAGCAATCAAGTCCCTCAGATGGGTTCGCCAATTACAACCTTCCGGGGCAGACTTTGCTGAAGGTGACATTGCTTATGGTCAGGCTCCTGCTGCTGAATTTTCTGTCTGTGCATGTGGTGATCCAGACTGCATTGAAGTATGTGACATCCGTGAATGGCTTCCAACATCTAAAATAGATCATAGATTGTGGAAACTTGTGCTTCTACTCGGTGAATCTTACCTGGCTCTTGGGCAATCTTATAAGGAGGATAAACAGTTGCATCGTGCTCTTAAGATAGTAGAATTAGCATGTTCAATTTATGGATCAATGCCACAGCAACTGGAAGATGCACGATTTCTCTCTTCAATGGTGAAGTATTCGTCCCCGCGAAAATCAGCTGATCAAAATGGTAAGACATTATCCTGTATTGGTAACATAAAGGAAAGCAGATCTGATTCTGGTGATGATAAGCTTGCTTTTGAGCAATTGTCTTCGACCTACCTATTCTGGGCAAAGGCTTGGACACTGGTCGGAGATGTCTACGTTGATTTTCATTTTATGAAAGGTACAGAGCTCGTAGTTCAAACAGAGAGGAAAAATTCTCTTGCAGAATTGAGAATGTCAGGCGAGGTTGTGAAGGAGGTACAGAGGTTAAAGAAAAAATTGAGTCAGTATGTGGAAAATTGCAGCTCTTGTTCCTTGGTTAACTGTAGCTGCCAGAGCGATAGGGTCAGCAGTGGCAGCAGTGCTAGTAGCAGCAGTGGAAGTAAGTCTGCTGTACCTTATGGTAGAAAGCATGTGAAAAGATCTGGTGGTAAGAATGTCAAATCGACAATCCTCAGAGACAAGGAGGGTGCTCCTGCTAATGAAAAACTGGTAAGCAAGAACGTGCCAGATGGAAGGCAATCTCAATCCAGCCAACATGGTGAAAGCTCAGTGGGAGATTCTGGTAAGGATGTCGATAAGCCAGGGGAGAATCTCAATACATCTCCCGACCAAACTGCCAAAGTGTCCGAAGACAATCCTAAGAACCAGGATGGTGGGATATTTAAGTACCTTAAGGGAACGATTATTGGGGGCACTGAAGAAAATCTTTCTACAGCTCGAAGTTGCTATGAAGAGGCTAGAAAGGCTTTGACTGGCCTTTCCTCTAGCTCGCAAGAACTTCAGTCTTTAGTAAAGAAGATAGGGTGGGTCTGCAATGAGATCGGGAGGAAGAGTCTCGAAAGGAAGCAACTGAGAGAGGCTGAACATGCTTTTGCCGATGCCATTAGGGCATTCAGGGAAGTTTCTGACCACACTAACATCATCTTGATTAATTGTAACCTTGGCCATGGCAGACGAGCATTGGCTGAAGAAATGGTGAACAAGATGGAAAATCTCAGAGTTCATGCAATCTTCCAGAAAGCGCACAAGCAAGCTCTTGAAACTGCAAAACTGGAATATGGTGAATCACTCAAGTATTATGGGGCAGCAAAAGCCGAGCTGAATTTTCTGTCAGATGAAGCTCACTCTTTGCCAGTTGGTCTAGGGGATGAAGTCTGTACTCAGCTCGCACATACCTATCTCAGGCTTGGCATGCTTCTGGCAAGTGAAGACATCACCGCTGAAGTATACGAAGACGTGAGTACGCGTGAGATTTCAGCCAATGATGCCATTCGAGAAGCGTTGGCTCTGTACGAGTCCCTAGGCGAAATACGCAAACAAGAGGCTGCATATGCCTATTTTCAGCTTGCCTGCCATCAAAGGGATTGCTGCCTGAAGTTTCTTGAGACAGATCATAACCCTAAAGGCGAAAATGGCTCTATTCTCCATCGAGTGAAGCAATACGCTTCTCTGGCAGAGAGGAACTGGCAAAAGTCCATAGATTTCTACAGCCCTACGACGCATCCTGCCATGTATCTGACCATAATCATAGAGAGATCTGCTCTATCGATGAGTCTCTCGGAAGCTCTACACTCCCAAACGGTATGTTCCTCGCACTATTCTCCTACTGACATCCTGAATTGCTATCATTTACATGGTAATCATATGATAATTGTATGCCACCAATATACAATGGCAAGCTACTGACGCCTTAGGTGGGCTTTCTTTTTTGGTATCAGATGCTAGAATCAGCTCTCAACCGTCTACTGGAAGGACGCCATGTATCGATTTCAGACGCTTTCCAATCTGATTACCCCGCTCTGCACACCAAGTTCTGGGATCAGCTACGCGCCGTCTTGAAGAAAATGCTCGCGACAACAGTATCCGAGAGTGCAAAGAAGCCTGCTTCAACTGTAGCCAATGTCCCGGGATCATCGAACAGGCACGGCGATGCTGCTGGAAAGCTGAGAGAGCTCTACAAGATGTCCCTCAAGTCCGCCGATTTCAAGAAGTTGCAGTCCATGCACTCCCTGTGGATATCGTGAAAGCGCAGATGGCCACCGTGTGATTTTATACGAGGACGTTCGTAGCTTTGAATCCTTCGTCAGTCACCTACTGGATTATTTACGTATAACTCTTGGTAATTACCAGTTAACAGTAAAAGGTTATGTTTTAATGATAAAATGGTAACAGTACAAGGTTATGTTTTGATGATAAAAAGGTCTGCCCAGTGCGGCGTTTCCCTCCTTTTTGGGATAATGAACATGAAGCCCAATCTTCATTTCAAAAGTTCGGCCCATTATGGCCCGCCATCTCCTCATTCCATAACATTCGAGCTTTCCCGCCCAATTTCAGTTGATAATAATAATAACCTTCTATTAGCGGATTTCTTACTCGTTAGTTACGACAATTTCAATTCACAACTGACACAAGGATCAAGGATGAGGTCTTCTTGTTTGGTTAAGAAAATTACGCAATTGATTAATTTGTTTTTCTTTTAGGGTGATAAAAATCTAAATCATCGAAATCAATTTCAGAGGGATAAGGAGGAGATGTTGAATTAAGGAAAAGAAGTAACAAGCCTATTAAGATAATTACAATTAAAATAAATAATAATTACCCTTATCAAAGATTACATTTACAAACAAAATTCAACAACAAGAAAAACTTAGGCCCAAGTCAAAGCTCAAACCCAAGTCACAAGTCAATCTTGGTCAAGACTAGTCAACCAAGTCAAGCCTCATTCAACTTTGATCAATTCATACCAAAATTTGCCTGCAAACTCTGTATGAAGTCTGAACTAATTCCATACTCGGTCTGAACTAAGCGGGAGAATTGTTTGGAAAGTGGGTTTGGCGATGGAATCTAAGAGGAAGCAACTTGACATTACTATATTCTTCGTCTTCCATTTGGTTATTAATTTACTAGCTTGGTACCCGGCCTGTTGGCCGGGAAGTCTTATTTTATTATGTGATTACGTTTTCTTAAGATGAAAATTTTATGCATACATACGGTATAATCATGTTTTCGCGAACATGCAACATATATAATCAGATACTTAATTATTATATTTAAATTATTTTTGTATATATTGTTTTAATAAATGTTTGTAATTTTTCACATGAGACCCTTATGTAAAATTTTGATGACTTCATTTAATTAAAATAGAAAGACTAATTACATAATTAACCACTTGATGCTGTAAAAATAATTTTCTATTTATTGATATAAGCGATACATGTTCCTAACTCAAGATATTCAATCTTAATCTACATATACCAATTCTTTGCTAAGTATTTAACATGTCTATGCTAAAATTTTGGGATGTTTAAAATACTCGCTCATGATGGTTTGTTTTTCTAATCTTGATTTGACCTTCACTTATGGGTTAGACATTTCTAGTGCTGGGTTGGTATCTTTATAAAAATCCCACTAAAGGTAATTTATTGGCCAAAATATTCAAATGATTATTTTATATGATATATAAATGTGTGTTTAATTATTATCCAAGATATTCAAATGATTTGTACATACACATAAAATATAGGATATTTGGTAGAAATTATATAATACTTCTTTTTTTTCTTTTATGGTGAGAAGTTAATAATACTTCTAAACGTTAAAGAGATCAAATATGGTGAAGATAAGTATGGAAATGAGAGTGATGTTAAAAATTCCATGTATTCCTAATATAAATACATGAACGAAAAAAAAATGAGAAAGAAAACACTTAAAACAGAGAACAGCAAAGAAATTTTCAAAAAAAAAAACAGCAAAGAAAAATAGATAATGATCAAAATTAAGTGGAAGTTACAAATGACCACCGGAAAAAAATATTATAAAAAAAGATTTCCGAAACTCACGGAAAAGCCTGCAAGGCTGACGTGGACAGGGTCTATTTTTAAAACCCCTTTAATATATTTTAAGATTATTAATCCAATAAAGCAAAGTGTGGCGCTTTAGCCTTAAAAGTTAAAACCCTCAGCCCACAGTTTAACCATCCCAGTTCCCCACTGTGGTTTTCTCTGGATTTCTTCTTCAGATCTTTTTTCCGATCAAAGCATTATGGCCGCCGGCGTCGTTTCCGAAGTCATCGGGCAACTGGGTTCTATCCTAGCCGACGAGCTACATCGTCGTGCGATGATCGTCATAGATGCCGACGACGATGTGAGGATGCTGAGCAGTACTTTCAAAGCCATCGAAGCCGTGCTCAAGGATGCCGAGCAGCAGCAGCTCACCAGCGAAGCTGTGAAGGTTTGGATCCAGAACCTCAAAGATGTAGCTTATGAGATGGACGATGTGCTGGATGAATGGAATACTGCTATTCTTCTCCAGGAGGAAGAAGAAGGGCATGGAAATAGACCTAATTGGATAGAGATGCAGCTTCTTCGAATCTTCAGCTGTCTCTTTAAAGTATGCCCCTTTTTTACCCCTTTCTCTTGGAATTCCTTCGATGAAATTGGCGTGAGATATGATATTGGTAGCAGGATTAAGGTGCTGAATCAGAGACTTGATGTGATTGATAAGGAGAAGAACACCTACAATTTTACTACTTATAATGATTGTAACAACAATGCACATCGAGATCTTGGTGTGGGTAGAAAATTAACGAGCTCTGTCCTGTATACGGAGGTGAAGGGTAGGGAGGTGGAAGAGGCCGAGCTAGTGAAGATGCTAGTGAGCGACAGCGAGGATAGTGAAAGTTGTGGTCTGCAAGTGATCTCTATAGTTGGGATGGGTGGATTGGGGAAAACAACTTTGGCTAAGTTGGTGTACCGAGAAGTGAGGATGAAGGGGAACCATTTCGACAAGTGCATTTGGGTGTGTGTTACTGATACCTTTGACGAGGTACGAGTTGCGAAGTCGATCCTTGGAGCTCTTTGGGATTCTAGGGTGGATGTAGAGGGCGACTTTGCTGATGTGTTAGAGAAGATACACAACTGTGTTACTGTTAGGAAATTGAAGCTTTTTCTCGTTCTGGATGATGCTTGGGAACAAGATGTTAGCAGGTGGGAAGAGTTGGTGGGGGTTCTGAGATTTGCAAAGGCAGGGAGTAGGATTTTGGTCACTACCCGCAAAGAAACTGTTGCTAATACTTTGGGTTGCACTAGATCGCAGATGATCTGATTGCTCCCCTTATCACAGGATGCTTGTTGGTTGGTATTCAGTGGACATGCCTTTTTGGGATGGGATAGCAAGGAGATTGAGTTGGTGAAGGATATTGGGGAGAAAATAGTGAGACAGAAATGTAATGGTTTGCCTCTTGCTGCAAAAGTTCTGGGAGCAGCCTTGCGCTCTGTAACGTCCCGAAGACAGTGGGAGGGTGTCTTGAATAGTCGGGTATGGGAGCTTAAGATAAGTAAGGAAGTCGATCTTTTTGCCCCCTTATGGTTGAGTTACCATGAGTTGCCTCCACAGTTGAAACAATGTCTATCTTATTGTGCCATTTTCCCCAAGGATTTCATAGTGGAAAAGGACAAGTTAATAAGGTTATGGATGGCTCAAGGGTATCTTGGAGCACCCTCAAGTAAAGAAGGGGACTTGGAATTAGTTGGAGAAATATATTTTGACAACTTGGCCAGACGTTCATTCTTCCAAGAAATTGAAACAAACGACAGCTTACTTGGTAGCGGAGTGACATGTAAAATGCATGATTTGGTACATGATTTTGCACAATTCATATCTAGCAATGAATGTTACAGCATGGAGGCTGATGTTCTGGAGCAGCATAATATGGAGTTCTTAAGAGGAAAAGTGCGGCATTTAGGAGTAGTCCTGCCACGTCGAGAGTTTCCTACTTCATTTAATGATTGGAAGAGTGTGCGCAGCCTTCTATTTCTGGGTTATCTGCAGTATCCTGATCCAGTAGTTTCAAGGTTGCCTGATTTGCTGGATCAATCGAAATGTCTAAGATCATTGGACGTGAGCAACTGTGATCTTGATGAGTTGCACCCAGGAATATGTGAGCTGATGCATCTAAGGATGCTAGACGTTTCAAGCAACCGATCTTTGAGAAGGTTGCCTGAGGGAATATGCAACTTGCATAATCTACAAACTTTAGCCCTGAATTACTGTCATAATTTGATGGCATTGCCAAATAGGATGGAGAAGCTTGTTAAATTGAGGCATCTACTCAATCTTAATGTTCCAGCTGCCATTCCTAAAGAAATTGGAAGACTCCATGGGCTCAGGACATTGCTGGAGTTAAATTTGGAAAGTAGTAGTACGACTGATTTAGCTTCACTTTCGGATCTTCAAAACTTGAATCTGCTTCAGGGACACTTAAAGATAAATGGGCTAGGACTGTCATTAGATCATGTGAGTGAGGCTAAGCAAGCAGAACTGGAGAAGAAAAAGGACTTTACAGTTTTGTCACTTCACTTCAGTTGGGACGAAGATAACCACCCAGAGTGGAGGACAATTGAGGATGAAAAGTTAGTAGAAGTACTAAAGCCGCCTGAATGTGTGCAACATCTGACCATAGTGAGGTACAATGGTACCAAACTCTCCCCTGGTTGGTTGCTATCACTAATCCACTTGAGGAAATTTACACTCAAATTTTGCTTCAACTGTGAGCAGTTGCCTCCTCTGGGGAGGTTGCCATCTCTTGAGGAACTTGAGCTAGGATCCTTGGATGTGGAGAAGGTGGGCCGCGAGTTTTTGGGTTTCCCGGAAGATGACAATGTCTCGTCGTCGTCGGTTGCATTCCCAAGGTTGACGAGACTTCGGTTTTTCAACATGAAGTATTGGACAGAGTGGGATGGGTGGGAACTGGATGTTCAGATCATGCCGTGTCTTCACACCTTGGAGGTCGGACGCTGTTATTCGCTGAAGAAATTACCAGACCAACTCCTTCAGAAAACTACCCTGGAGGAGCTGAAGATCAACTGGTGCTATTACCCTCTCAGTGAGATTTACCAAAGTGGTTATCCTCATAGTTCTTCTGCCCATAAAGGAGAAGAATGGGAAAGAGTGGCTCATATCCCCAAACTTACCATCGATAAATTCACACGCTACAATGATGGTAACATTCATTCCAACTTCCTCTTTGCATGCCAGCTTTCGAAATCTCTTTTTCCACTCGTAAGTTACATCCTTGTTATGTTGTGTTTTCTCCAGGGACATCTGCAGTCGACGGCCCAGACGAATGGGAAGATGAACTTGAAGAGCTTTTGAAACCAGAAGATGCTGATTATGAGTCATATTAGTTGTTTCCATGATTGCTTAATTAACTGAGTTTTTTCTAGGATCAGTACAGCGACACTTTCTTTACAGCTGACGTTGGCACACCATTTGTGAACATAATAGGTTAGATGTTTGAGGTTAGTATATGGCAAGTTGAACTTACAGGCAGCTTTGATTTTCAAAAGTTTCATATCTTTTGTCATTGATTGTGGTTCTGCATTCTGATATACCTTCTTTTTCGACTCCACTTCAAGGTTAAATAATGTTGTAGAAGTTAAATAATGTTGTATTGTATGATTGTTGTGCCGTCAACTGCAATGTTATAATTTATTTTTTTTGACAATAACTGCAATGTTATAATTGGAGACGGGTTAAACTTAGGAAATCTGCCCATTGTCATCCCTATCCTGCTCCAAGATTGGTAAAATGCACAACAAAACGCCGCATGACCTGAAAGGAAAAGGAAAAACCTAAACCTGCTATGTTCACAGACCCTTCACAAACGTTCAACTGTACAACAGGGGAACAAAAAAGGAAGCTATAATAATAAAAACCCTAAATCGATCATATTAACTCGATTAATTCTGCGATCCAGTCCTAAACACATCATCTTTGGCCATTAACACAACAACAACAAATCTACCATCACAACCAGACAGAACCAACCATACATTACAAAGCACCACCACCATAGATTACCCATCTCTACAAGTTGCGAATTGTGTCGACACGGTCTATCACGTCCAAGGCTTTGATCCGATCAATGTCAAAGTCAATGACAGGGATCAGCGATGGTCTCCTGAGAGTGAAAGGGTCTCTCTTGGTTTCACGAGTAGGGGAGTGACTGCTGCTCTTACTCAACCTGTGGTGCTTGCTCATCATTAGCCTGGTTTTCGCGGTGTCAAACTCCTGGCTCTTGCTTATCCCAGGCGGTTTCTTCCTTTTGCTTACATCTCTCAGCATCTCTTGATCTTCAATTGTCAGTATGGGAGACTGAGGGCTGGGAGTTTGTGCTGTCAGCTGTATCGTCTTTTGGTTCGGAGATCGCATGGGTGATTTGATCGGTGATCTGATTCCGCCATTGGCAGCTCTTGCTTGGCTAACAAGGTGGTGAAGCCACACCACCAGTTGGAGGATGTATGTTTCGGTCTTGTCTTTGTCGGCATGGTGCAGAGTCTCGATCCTCAGCAAGTCGTTCTGCCCAGGTGGCTTTCGGTTCACTTCAGACCTGGGAGAGTTTTGTCATGAGAAGAGGTTGTAAACAAATGAAGAGCTAGAAGTATAAGAAAGCAATCTTTCAGCTCACCCTGTATTTGCCCATTCTCCAACCCAACCAAATCCGTGATGAGCTCTGATCAACATTGAAATCAGACGAAGTCAAAATTAAGATTCTATGTGCTGAGCTCTGCTCAACGTAAACTCAAAAAGTAACATCAAATCGTAATCATAAGATTTTAATATCTAAAATGCATATTCTAACAGCATTGGCAAAAACTATAACCACACATGAATATGTGCAAGCAAAATTTTCTTTTAAATGCAAGTAAAGGCAAAACTTTTACTTGGTTGTGTTAGCAGCAATTGGGACAAGCCACCGCAAGGTTTTCTCCATTTCGTCTTTGATTTGAGGGACGCTGAGCTGCAACGAAAATACAATGAACTAGTCAAGATTTGCCAATGAACAATATATTGAAGCATATACCTTTCAAACTTGAGTACTAACAAGGACTTATTACCTCCTCATTAAACTGGAACGAAAGCAATTTGGAGCGCATGGCAGACTTAATACTAGGTGGTAGCCCTTGGTACAGCGCATCTCTTGTACTTGGAGGCACAGAACTGGACCGGGAGACCTAGTTATTGCCCAAATATCAGAGCTCAGCTAATTCATCCAGAAAGAGAAGAGACGAACCTGAATCTGAATGATGAAATTACCAACTTACAAGAGTATCAATTTGAGTTATAATATTTGCATAATGCAAAGCAAGGCCAGCTGCACCCAGCTTCTTGTGACTGTTCGTCAAATTTTTCACTGGTCTATCGCCCTCTACAGTAAAACACTGGAATGAGCATCTATGGGCACGTGGTGACAAATATCACATTAACATAGAAGTTTTTCACGCACGATTCATAGTCTCTTTTTCAAGTTGAGATTCTAACTAACTGTTTAGTTGCCAAACAGGTCTAAAATAATGTCACGAACACACAGTCGTCTCTGAAAACTAATAATGTCACTAACGAACAAGGGCTGGCCTAGTGGTAATACCACTAGCCTAAAATCTGGAGGTTCCAAGTTCGAATCCTTTAAGTAGTACCTTACTCACAAAAAAGTAAAAACCTACATCCCCCTTATAAAAAAAAAAAACTAATAATGTCACTAGTTCCCAAACATTCTAATATAACAAACTGTTTAGTTCCCAAAATGCTCAGCAGCCGTCTCTAGAAACTAGTAATGCCACTAGTTCTAAACTATTCAAGCAGTACATGACTTCCAATTGTACGTTCCTTGGCTCTACAGTAATACCAATTAAATCAAGCTTTTCCAGCTGTATTGTAATTATTTACATAAAAAAGCTACCATAGAATTATATGATGGGTTCATTTGAATGTAGGATTGAGTCTCATTGAGATGCTGGATTGCGAGTTAGAGATTGATGACTAAAATTTGTTCTGATGGTCAAAAAGTGGAGTGATCAACCCATTTGACAATCTCCAAAGTGCCACTACATCTAGTTATGGAGATTCCACTATCAACTGACGATGGGAGTTTACAATCCTAAAAGCTAGACTGCTAGAGGCTAGAATTACATCGTAAAATCACTCATCCAAACAATAAAATTCTGGAAGTTATCTATTCTCACAACCCATTCATTTCACAGTTAATCAATTTTAACAATCTCCAATCTGAGTGACCTAAATATGCATTCCGCAATCAAGTTCACGTGTGGATCGGCTTAACTACAATCAAGTGCTTGGCCTTTTGTTGACTTTAAGTTCTTTTTCAGGCAGAACAGTCAAAATCATCCCCAAAGCCAAAAGTGCCCACAAGGAACAACTTCTTTGGAGTTAATCAACTACGGGCAGAGAAATATAGACAAGATCTGCTGATTTCATGAGGTTGCTGGATGCTTACTTGTACTACCAAAGGCTTCATGAATCTCCAGATGCAAGAAATGAACGATGTCTACAAGCTTTTCCATGACCTAAGAGCACAAGTAACCAGATATATTCTTCACCACAAATCATGAAAAGTTTTAGAGTCTAGGAACAAGAGGACCAGTGGGGCAAACTCAGATTTCTTATTGAATTGGGTTCCACCAAATTGCAAATGCTGATATAAGAGGATCAAGTAAAGTTCACCGACAATGACTAGTACCTCTTCTAAAATCTTTGACCATAGGGATTTCTTCTTCAAACTTTTCACATGCTTCCGTTGACTCTTCAACTCCGTCCTCAAAATTGCAAGGCTATCTCCTGAATTTCAATTTAGGCATGCGGTTAGAACTTCTGAGATCCCCAAAAATAATAATTAAGGCTAAAAAAACTCTGAATATTCATGCAAACCCAGCTCATAAGTATCCATTAGGATATGAAATGAAAGATGTGAATAAAAGAAGTTCAAATTAGCCATCGAGGATATAGATTCAGTTAAACATGGTTGTTGGTACCAGAAATGCAGTTAATTTTTATGTCACGTCAGGCGTATCACATTTATATAATTCTGCTGTCTATATATCAAAACAAAAATGTCATGTCATTGATGACAAAGATCTAAAACAACAACTAGTCAAATGAAAAGGAGATTCGTTCTATGGATCAAACCGATGTTTGAAAAAAAGAAATCAATCATTGCTTTCAGCGAAATCTTGGTCCTCAGAAATCAAGGCTCTAAGACTTTCGATATTGAAGGGCTATATTAAAAAAATATGGAGAGGCTTTAAGTGAAAAAGGGAAGTGCACTCAGACGGCATCTATGAGAGTAACCTATTAAGATATAAACATAAACAACTCGATGCAACCTGAAACTCAAACAACACACCTCTCTGTGTAGTATTTGAGTTCTCGTCTTCCTGAAGTTTACGTCGGTAATCTTGTTCAAATCTATCCAAAGCATGCATTTCATGATACAATTCCTGCACAAACAGGGGAAGAAATAGGATGATGTCTCAAATTTCCTCAAAATAGAAGGTTGAACAAAATTGCACAAGAAAGCTTCTGATTCAGTCAATCACAATAGCAAGCCTGGTAAAACTCACGTGACACTTGCCTTGAAGGCTCGCATTCCACAGTTTTCACTATAAGATGACTTGAGAATAGATTCCCAATTTCTGATAAGTGAAAGTTGATCTATAGACCCCCACCACACAATAAGTACTTGATCAATAAAAGCTTAACTTTTAACGCAAGACAAGCAGAACTCATATCACTAGTACCCACAAGCTGTCATTATGTGTTTGTCGTACGGTTATCTGTCATACTATGTCCATTCAGCGGCTCAAACTCTCTAAGATTCAGTTCCATAAATATCACAACTCACAAGTACACCAAGTGAGAGGCTTCCTGCGACTAATTAACCATGATTGCCTGAAATCCTCTCACTTGGAATGTGGACTAGACAGATGCTAAACTGACAAATATACATTGGGAAAAACTCACTGCTGTGTACTGAACCATAGTCATTAAGTGTTTCATCATTGTCTCTGCCTCTTCCCTAAGCTGCCTCTCAGGTGTAAGTTCTGAGCCTAACCTGCAAAACATGGATACAGTATGAAGGGTAACATGAGATATGTTTCGCGTAGTGTTAAAATATCTAAAGTAATCAAAACATTTCTACATTACTTTTCAAAATAACGGTCCAAATTGTGCCACTGTGGATCTTTGCAACGATTTCCAAAACGTACCACTTCTCCAGAAAAAACAGTCAGTTCTTCTCTGCCATAATCACATGGATAAGTAATTAGAATCATCTTACAGGATACCAAATCAAATGGTGTAATATTCAAATCAAGCAACCGTAAAAATTTCACATGAATAAAATATCAGCAAATTTCACCTCTTATCTAATGCTGCAATTCTCAATAATTCTTCCATATCTCTTGATATTAAATTTTGGACCCCTTCTGAAGGAAGCACCACTTCTTTCAAATGTATGATGTTCTCCTTTGAAAGGGATTGCATAAGGTTGGCACCCTTAACAATTGTATTGGCAACTTCAAATGCCAAAATTGCAATTTTATTGCCTTTTGTTGTTACTCCTGAGGTAAACCCACTGCTAGGATTCAAATTCGTCATGCTACTACCAAGTGTGTCCAGTACTTCCACTGCTTTACCAAGGCCAGCCGTACCCGCTCTACCTAGAAGGGAACTCACTTCCGAAACCTGCACCAGAAGATGCCGCAATGAACAATGTAATGAATATTGCAACTGATACGTCTGCAAGACATAAATTCCAAACGCCTTACATGAAATATAACCAAAAACAAACTCTCTTCTTATGTTCATAAACTTCTCCAATCAGTAAAGTGAAAAGTAAAAACTACTGATATACAAAACAAACCTTCTATCACAACAGTACATGTCAGCCTTTTCAATTAAGTAGAAGCAGTGCAGAGGACAGTAAAGAAGTAGGGTATAAAATTGAACATAGAAAAACTGAACTATAGGGGAACTGGTAGGGATCCATTACCCATTCCAACTGCTGCTGAACAACCACTAAACAGACCATTATCGTATCATCGAAGTATAAGCTATACACAATCTAAAGAGTGGTCCAGAACTGGTAAGAGTTGCAGACGGTAACGGTCAATGAAAAAAACCAGGACATACAAGTCTACCATTATTGTTTCCATAACTCAATAATGCCAGTAGTTAAGGGATTATGAAGCTCATTAAGTACTTTTGGATATACTTGTTTGACCAAATAACAAGCTGAAATCCATAGTTCAACCTTGCATCTGAAGCAGGCAAAAGCACGTTAACAAGCTTTATAAGATTTCAACTCACATCTTAGGATCATTGCCCTCGAAAAAACATACATGTCCGTTGCAGAGGCTTTTTCACTTAAGCTACATTCTTTCATAGCAACAAGTACACTTATTCCTAATGTTAATTTTCTGGATTATCGATGATGACGCACAGTGCAAGTCCTAAAAGTCTCAGTTTCAACTTACCATAAATTCAATTACAAAAAATTGAACCTAATTCAGGACGTAGTACGTAAAGATAGAATAGGTTTTACACAAGGTTCTTTTCACTTAGTCTGTTCAACCGAAATGCGTCACTGATTGACACATGTTCCTGAATGGAAAACTAATAAGAACAGGCCAAAAAAAAAACTCATTCACGTAAACACTCCCTATCAATATTTATAATTACAACGACATGCATCCGAACATAAAACAGGAAAGACAGTAAATGGAAGAAAACAGCAACTGAAGACGGCAGCAAGAACATTATCATCTCGAGTTAAACCTTTGCAACGGCTGCCTGCTTGGACTTGGTCGATCTAGATTTGTTTGACAGCACCCTTGACAAGCGTGGAATACCATCATACATGTCTTCTGGACTCATCCCAATAGGAACCACACTTAACTCCGTCGATGAACCCAGTTGTTCTCCCTGTTGCTTATCGGCTACATTCTCGATTGCTGGAGGTGTCATGCTACTGCTTACTTTCACCTCACAAGACTGATAAATCAAACCACGCTCATTCAACTGACCGTTCACATGAGAAAGGCCTCCTCCGATAGCATTATCTACAGTAGAACTCCTCGAGCAAAGGCCCCCCATGATCCCTCCTCCAATCACCACAAACTATCGTCGACCGTTTCTCATATAACCAAAAAGAATAACTGCCTATCAATTCAATCTCTTTTCCCAGAAATGAGAAACCCTCGCACACTAATGAAAATGCTACAGCCTACAGCAAGCCTAACAATGAACTTCTAAGTTCTAACCACCCTATCTATGAAGCTGAAACCAAACGATCGACATATCCCACATCCAAGCTGAAAATGAAGTCCTCCCTCATCACATCAAAATTCACCCAGCACCAATTACGATCGCCGCTTGAGCTCCAACCCATCAACGCCCCGCCCAAGTCAAACAAACCTGCCAATCAAAACCCAACCCATCAGTTTAAAGGTCAAATCAAAGCATAATGATGTCAACAACTTTGACCAGAGTTTCAGCAGAAGAACAAATTCCCAAACGGAAGATACCCAATCACGGAAACTGAGTAAAGAATCTGCGGTAGGGATCAAGCAAGCATTAAAAAGATGAGAACTTCCAAGCGGTAGGGCGCAGGAAAACCACAGATAAGACCCGCCGGGGGGAAAGAAGATGGAAAAGAAGAGAGGAGATGAAGAATAAGAAGGCGACGACTGACTAACCAGCTAGAGGACGGAGATCCCTCTAGTAGCGGAGCTCGGACTTTAACGAGAGAGAGTAGGAATACTGGAAGAGGCGTAGAAGAGAAGGCGGTGGTGGTGCCAAACTTGCAGCTAGCTATTGACAGTGTCACAGTTGGGAGGACTCAGTAGACCAGATCACTCTCTCACGGAAACAAATTTTCTGTCTTTCTTCCCCCTTTTTCTCTTTGTAACATTTTTTACAGGGAGAAGAAATTGTGAGAAAACAGCAAATGGATAGTCAAAAGAAAACTACAACCGAAAGATATGGCCCCAACTAGCAATTGCCACCATATTCCACCATCTTGATCATTTTTTCTGCGTGTGTTTAGGCCTTTAGGGTTAAGTTAACAATTAGTCAGGTTGGTAGTAGGATTTGTATTGTAAGTATTTTGGATACATGATTTATGTGACGATAAGTTAGATGTTATTAGCATGAAGAAAATATAACTTAGTCAGGTTGGTTTAGTAGGGTTTGTTTTGTAAGTATTTTGGATACATGATTTATGTGACGATAAGTTAGATGTTATTAGCATGAAAAAAATCGAATGGTAGTATATAGAAGGGTTGAGCTGGTGTGCTAACATTTTTTTTTTGTTAGCATGATAATAATACTAGCTCCAACAAATAGGAACATTTTGTTTAGATGATTTTTTCATATGAGTTGAATACAATTAATCAATGAGAAGGGACGGAGGGGCAGGTTTGTATTATGAAAATTGGGGGAAGGAGAAGGGGAGTTACATGTGCAATTAAATGGGAAAGAAAAAATTCATCCCTCAACCCACAAAATCCAAATCACAACCACAAAATCAAGGCCACAAGTTTCTTAAAGTGACCTAGAAGTTTCTTTAACAATGGACCTGTTTGTAAAATTTTAAAAATCTATGTATCAAAATGTAAGAGAAAAAAATTGTATGTACTAAAATATAATTTTCCATCAATATTTTTAGGACTTATATGTAAAAAAAATAATTTTAGGCATTAAATAATAAGAGTTATTAAGTTTAACGTCCAGAGTTTAGGATTTAGGGTTAGGGTATTAAGTTTTTGCTACCAAAACTATAATTTGTATATATAACCCTATTACAGCAACGCAGAGAAAGGGGGAAGTGAAAAGGGTAATTACTATAGTACCTTTAATAAAAATGTTAGCATAGTGCTAACACTTTAGAGTGTTAGTACCCTATCTCCTCCAGTAATCCAGTAAGTAGACTTTCTCTTTAGCATCAATTTCATTTTCTATTTTTAATGGTAAAAATAGAGATGAAAACATGTTTAATTATGTTTTCTCTACTTTGTGGCAACAAAGTTGGCAACAAAACACGAATTAGCTTAAATAAGTGAAATCACTTTAAGTAGCTTTCTTGTTGTTTCAAAAAAAAAAAAATTGCTTGTGGGATCCTATCGGTTGTTGGAGTAATTTCATTCAAGGGACCGAGGGGTCCTTTGCTTGTGGAAAACGGAATAACCAAATCAGAAGGGTCCACATATTTGGATCCAAAATTTTGTTAGAAATCCATAAGCTCGGATTTCTAAATCTCAAGTGAACTGCGGGATTTTAGATATAATCCATGATAGTCCAAAACTATTTTATCCTAAAAAAATGTATATAATACGATTTTGCCCTTTTTATAGCCTTTTATTTGCGAGAATAATTTGACAGACGATCAACGAAATCACTTTCGTTCTTGATAATATGGCGAAATGTTAGGCGATGACCGAAGATTAAAATCCTAGAAAACCCCTTATTCTTTCTTTTTGCTAATCATAAAGCAAAAGAAGCTCTGAGAGTCACCATTTTGAAAAATTTCAAATTGCCGATGGTTGGAGACTTGAAATGGTCATTATAATCTCTCTAATTTTAAAGACTTGTGGCTAATGAATTTATCAACTTGCTATAAATTGTAAGATTATTATATATTGTGATTAGCTATGCATTTTAAAAATTATTGTGGTTAAAGGTTTCATGAACGTGCTATAAAAATGTTAAATTTTGAAGCACAAATTAATAATATGGCCAAAAAGTATAAAAGACGAAGCAATATTAGCTACAAATTCAGAATGAAGAAGGGTAGTAAAGTACTATATATTTTAAAGCTATAAATCCGTAGCCCTGAAATTCATGATCAAATCAATTAAACAAATATTAGACTCTTTTAAATCCGCACCAAATCCCTAATAAGTAATAATTACTAGTTTTTCAAACCCAAGTTATTACAAAAGCGCTCATTTTTAAATCTAACAAGCAAACGACTCCCAGATGATGTATTCAAGCAATACACGCAATAAGGAGAATTCATCATTTTTTTGTCTTAAAATGAACATAATATATGTATTTGAGCAGAAAATGAGACTACCAGAATAATTCATTATGGATAGCCAAGATTGTCAATCTCTCTCTCTCTTTTTTCATCCTCCATTTTTTGAAGGACCATCAGAATCATTTAACCTCCAAACAATGTATTTTTCAAATTCATACATTGACACAATACATCTAATTAGAATACATAAATTGATTAAATGCATCAATTTAGAGAAACCCAATATGACCCCAAATCTCACTAGACCTACTTTTTACATATTTTTCCTCTCTACTCTCTCAAAACTCATCCTCAAAGTTTTATTGGCAAAATTATTTTCACATCTGTCTCTCTCAATTTTGTCATAACTTGTCCGAATATTTCTCATTACTTTTTAATTTTCTTTTGTCTTAATCTGAACATTAATACTATATGGGCATATAAAGTAACTAATCAAATTTTTATATTTTTGTTTTCTTGTTAGTTGTTATTATGATTGTATTTGTACCTCATTTGTCACAACTTCATCATAATTACAACAATAACAAAACAATACTAAATGGGTCTAATCACCTCATCTCAAGCTCAACCCTGGCATCCTGTATCAAAGAATTTCTGGACAAGTGTTTTCCCCTTTCGTTTGAAAATGGTTTTTGGGCTCCCACAGTTTGAAATTCGAGGAAACTGTCTAGTGGGCCAATAAGGCTCCGAGTCCAGTTTCCTCTGTTGCCCACCCCCTTTTTGCCGGTCTTCTCTCTTCATTCTTTTTTCTTCCAATTTCTCCCTCCCAGATTCTCCATTGTCTCTTCCTTCCTGAGACTTTTCTGGACTCCCATCTCCTCTTTACTGAAAACAGGAGCACAAAAAAAAAAAAAAAACGCTTCTCCCTTGTTCTTCCAATTTTACTGCCCTGTAACTATATTGATGGGTTCTTCTGATCGTCAAGATTGAGAATTCCTTGTTTGGATGTTGCAGCAGCAATCTGAGAAGACGAACCCATGCTATCTTTGTCCCTTTGCATTGCTTTTACAGTAAGTTATGCTTTTCCCATCTTTTATTTTTAATTAATCGGGTCATTCCTCTTGATTATGGAGTTTCCTCGTTTGAAACCTGTCGTGGGTCGATGAGAATCCCAATGGAAACTTCACCAACTTACGCAAGTATGCTTCTTTATTTCTTTCTCCTTTCTGGGTCTGCTTCCAACTGTAGGTTTCTTGTTGGGTTTTAGTTTAAAGTCGGAAGATCATTTCAGGAGTTCTGCAGAGATGCAGGTTGGAGTGTAGTTGGCAGTTTTATAGGGATTGATCCAGTTGATCTCGTGTTTTGTGGAGAAGAATTTTACTTGACAAGGCAGTCTAGAAAGAGCACTGTTTGTGTTGTTTGATTGTATTTTGTTTTGAAATGAAAAGATACTGCCGTCTAGTTTATGATCTGATTCCCTCAGGTTGAGCCTGTGGGCATTACCGGTCTTTATTTTAACCTTTTCTCCTTGTTTTCTCCACTTCCAATCCAAGGATATAGCTGAGTTTCCGTGTCTGTTCATTGGTTTCCTCTATTTGATCTTTCCCCTTCGTGCTTTCTCCCTAACTTCCAATCTTAGAATCTCTCCACTTTGAGCCTCTATAGAGCTTTACATGTAAGTTTGGATTATATTCCTAACTTTATAGGCAGCCTTGATGACTTTTTTCAGTGATTCTGCCAAGAGAAACTCTTCCTCTCTTCTTATTTTTTTATTAATTTGTCTCTTAGTTAAGATCTAACGTTACTGATCTCTATTTTTCTGCAATTTAGTTAAAATAAAGCATTTGATCTTTCTTGTTCTTCTTGCAATCAGGCCGCCTGTCATGAATCTGCTTGGATCTGATTGAAAGCATAGCATTTGCCAGTATTGTGGTGAAGAAAATCTGAAGTTTGAAGGCGGAGAAAGGGAATTAGAGAAAGGAAGTTGTCTTGGTGTAAATGTTCTGGAGCCAAGATGGTCTTGTAGACTTTGCCAGGGAACCAGGATAGTTTGTACTGAGTAATGACAATGATGAGTTCAACATCCTCATTGTCTTTCAAGGATCGATCATTGTCTACCAGCAGTAAAATGCTTCCTCTCTTCCCTCTTGAGTTCCATTGATGTAAATTTTGAACAAGCATCAATATGTATATTTTATTCTGTCGTCCATCTTTGCAGGTGATGTTTCTGTTGATATGAATTCACTTGATCGGTATGTATAACGGTCATCCAGTTTTTGTTGTTGATAGTGATGTTTTTTTTTAAGTCCAAACATTTATTTTCATTGTCGTTGGTATCAGGGGAAATCAGGAGGAGGGCAATTTAGACTGCTCTAAGGACTGTGTTGGTTATGGGCTGAATATGCAACTTTCTAAGAAAAACATGCAAGCCCCTATATCCGACCTGTTGCATAGAATGAGAAGCAGCATCAATGGAGACATAGTGAGAGATGTTGAAATTATGGAAAGGAATAATTCTCATGAAATTGGAGACGATCTCACTGAAAATAATTCCAAATCCTGCAATGGGAAAAATGAGATTATTCGGTCTTTGGTTGATGAACTTGATCTGCAAGAGTGGGAGGCTCCCGAACCTAACGACTCTTTGGATGACGTGGAAGCTAGTTTTCCCCTTAATGATGATGACGATGAAGATGAATGTGACGATGGCATGAAATGGGGTCAGCCTGGATCGTTAACTTCAGAGGCCAGCATAGGGAGCTACAGGTTGAAAGAAGAGAAGCAAAAAGCGATGGAAGAAGTGATAAATGGAAAGTTTAAGGCTCTAGTTAAGCAGCTCCTAAAGACAGCAGGTGTTGACCCTATGGGCAATGAGATTGATAATTGGGTAGAAATAGTGACTTCCTTATCATGGGAAGCTGCCTCAGCTTTAAAGCCTGATGCCATCGAAGGGAATGCTATAGATCCAGATGGCTATGTGAAAGTAAAGTGCATTGCCACTGGTTATCCTAATGAAAGGTAGATTTTTGTGCAAGTCTGCTGTATTGCCTGATTGTTGTAGCACTTTTCAGTTGTTTTCATGGCTAACCAGGAACCCAAATGAGTTTGGCACTTCCTCTACTCCATCAGAATACTTGAGTTGGCACTTGGCACGATGCTGAACTTTTGCTTTTTGAACTTTTTGGCAGTCAAGTTTTCAATGGATTGGTCTTTAAGAAGCATGCTGCGCACAAGCACATGCCTACTGAGTACAAGAAACCAAGTTTGCTGCTGATCAGGGGTGTGCTTGGGGAATCTGAAAGTGGGCTGTCATCATTTAAAACAATGGATCAGGTCTCTCTCTCTCTCTCTCTCTCTCTCTCTCTCTCTCTCTCTCTCTCGTTTAAGATGGTTCTTTTATTTGAGGATTTCACTGGTGGTTATTCTTAATCTTTCTTTCAAACAGGATAAGGACCATCTGAAATCACTTATAGAGTCAATTGAAATGTGTGAACCAAATGTGGTTCTGGTAGAGAAATCTGTTTCTCGTGATATCCAAGAGTCTATCCTTGCAAAAGGAATCACATTAGTTTATGACATGAAGCTTCACCGCCTCGAAAGAATTGCCCGCTGTACTGGTTCACCAATCATGTCATCAGATGCTTTGATAGTAACTCAAAAGCTAAAGCATTGCAAATCCTTTCATATTGAAAAGTTTGTGGAGGAATATGCTGCTGTTGGTGAAGGTGAAAAGAAACCGAAGAAGACTCTGATGTTCATCGAGGATTGTCCTACGCGTCTGGGCTGCACAGTAAGACGCTAACTCCTAACTCTTCCATCTTTATCTTATGCACTGAACTTATGGCATAGTGATTTGACTTTTATAACCATGCTTCATACTTAGCCGTTCCTGTAACCATTTAAGTGTTTTTGTTATTTGACATGCATGGTTATGTTGCAGATTTTGTTGAAAGGGAGTCATAGTGATGAATTGAAGAGGATCAAGCATGTGGTGCAGATAGCCGTTATCTGGGCATATCACATGATTCTCGAGACTTCATTCCTTGTTGACCGGAAGGGAATGTTCTCCACTTTCATACCATTTCCTGGAGCAGCAGCTGAGACTTCAAATATAAATCAGCAGACTTCTCTGTTGGGGATTGGTGATTCAGGCATTCACCCAGTAGAAGAGGTGGCCTCTGGTGATTCTGTACCTCCTAGCATTGATATTCCCATTGCTAATGGAGATAATGTAGTGGAAGGTTTTCGTGATTCAAATGTGGGATCAGAACCAACTCCCAGATTTCCTTACGTTCGCTACAACTCCCCTGCAATATTTACTGGGTTTTCCTCTCTTTCTGCCTCACTAAAGAGGGTAATAGGTTCTGTTCCACCTTCAGACCCATATCAGTCACTTTTTAGTTATCTTGGGTTCCAAAGAAAGGAAGATGCTGGTCAGGTTACAGACGACGTTCCAGTGGATGCTACTGATCAATGTGATGGGGAACCCAAGGTTGGTTTTGACAAAGAGCAATCAGCTGATAGTCTAGATGATGTAAAGAATGCCGAGAGTAAGGAAGACGAATTAAAAAGTGAAGATAATGTGAATCCAGTATTGGATTCTCAAAGTATATTGGTACTGATGTCTCGCCGAAATGCATCAAGAGGCTCAATGTGTGAACATAGTCACTTCTCTCACATCTTGTTCTACAAGAATTTCGATATTCCCCTGGGGAAGTTTCTTCGTGATAATTTGCTCAATCAGGTATGGAAATATCTCTATGCTTCTACTAGAGTTCTGTAGTCTATTGTCACATATACAGGTTTTACGTTACTAAAAATCCTTTGGCAGCATATTGACTATGTGATGTTATATCTGATAATTGAACAGGCTGTCTGGTTGAACGCCAATTCATAAATTAAGGTTTTCCTGCTGTATAAATGGCTAACTTGACTTGAAAATGACACATACATTTTTTTCATTGTACAGAGAAGCCAGTGTAGCACCTGCGGGGAACTGCCAGAAGTGCACTTTTACTACTATGTTCATCATGATAAGCAGCTTACTATAAGAGTTAAGCGGCTTCTGAAAGCTTTGCCTGGGGAGGCAGAAGGAAAGCTTTGGATGTGGAGTCGGTGTGCTAAATGTAAAGGGGATTCGAAATCTACAAAAAGGGTCTTGGTTTCTGGAGCTGCACTAAGTCTGTCTTTTGGGAAATTCTTGGAGCTGAGCTTTTCTGACCAATCTTCGTTTGGTAAAAGCTCATCCAGCTGTGGCCATTCTCTGGAAAGAGATTTCCTCTACTTCTTTGGGTATGAATAGTAGATTGCATTTCCTGATATGCTGTTAGTCAAATTTGGGCCAGGAAAAAGTATAACTTTGAAACAAATGGTTTAAATGAGATCTTTGCTTATTTGGAGTCTCTATACGCATATTGATATGAAGACACTATCAAACACTCAATGCTTCTGTTCTTATGGCGTTAAATATCCAACACAAATATTGATTTCCTTTTCAGATTAGGTCCATTTGCAGCATTATTCAAATATTCTCAAGTGACAACCCATACCATCTCTCTGCCACCTCGTAAACTGAACTTCAGCAATTCAGTTAGACATGAAGGTCTGAGACGCGAATTTGAGGAAGTAAGCATCTTTTGAACTTCTGCAGTTCTTTCTTCAAGGTTATTTATTTATGTCTTAATTTTTTTTTCTTGGGATCTTAATCTTTTATTGATTCAACTTTGCCAAGGTATACTCGAAAGGGATATTACTATTTTCTGGGTTAGCAGAGGCTTTGAAAAAATTGAAGTCTCAATTTGGAAGTACTGTTCTGAAGCTCCACGGATCATTGATAGGATTCTCTGATATTGAAGAGATGCTAAAGCAGGAAATGTCCGAGTTTGAGGTCGGTATATTTCTCTACTCATGAGCTACTGATTGTTGGTTACCTTTCAAATTGGATAATATGTGTTGAACTAGCATGCTCTTTGATGATGACTTTGTTTAACACAACCTTTTTGGTTCTCCTCCTTCAACCTTGAGTTAATGGTAAAGAACATTCATATCCGTTTTCCTAAAGTTACAAAGAAAGTTTACCTTATATTTGTTCTACCTAGAGTTGCAGCTATTTCTACTTAAAGTTACAGCTCAATCGTACACTTGATCTGATTTGAATAATCTCAGGGTTCCTCTATCACTTCGTATGTGATACTCCGAAGGTCTTTAAGTTCATTTTCTGTGTCATAATGTTAATGGTTACTGCCCTCGGTGTAATATTTGTGTTTCTCATTTGGTTGACATACATGTGTGACAAATCGTTAGGTGAATATTTACAATGCCGCTGCTAACCATGGGAAATCAACCGAGACTGGAAACAAGCTTCTTTCATTGAATCGCTGCTTGTGGGAGCTTCTCCTTGAGTCATGCATCTGGGAAAGACGTTTGCATTCTCTTCTCTTACCCGACCCTTCGTTACATAGCACTGAAGAAAACACGGCCATTTCAGATGGCAACAATAAAGCTGACAGAAATGGAGAGAATTCAAAAGGCACCAGTGGTGCATATTCGGAAGGAAACGATGAGTCACCAATCAAAGAAATCCCAGTCGAAGGTCCAGTTGATGGATTTCCTGACAATAACCACAATGCCATGAGCTCATCTCCCGTTGATCAGGATCCTGATCGAGTGAAATTGACTCTAACTCATAGTCAAGCTAATGACTTGACTTTGACTGGTGTTATACAAGTCAATAGAGATGTACCAATTGCATCAGGAGATGGAAATGCATTGAAGCGGGTGATGTCTATGCAGTCTTTGGTATCAAACTTGGAAAACTCGAATGGATGGTTCTGGAAGCCATTTCCAGATATCCGGGAGATTTACATGGAGGATCTTCAGAGAGGGTTCATACCAAAATTCAAGCCTATTAATAACGGCTACACTTTGGAAAACGTGCCTTCTGCCTATCAACTGATCACCGAAGAAGGGTCGAGGCTTCACATACCTCTTGGAAATGGTAATGACATTGTGAGAGACTATGATGGCGAGCTCTCCAGCATCATTGCTTGTGCACTTGCATGTTTGAAAGACGTTCCCGTCACATCAGAGTTTCTCAATGATGAAGGAAAAACTAATGATAGTTTATCACATTGGTCATCCGGTGGTTCTGATTCTGAAATAATCCAGTCGGTGGTCAGCATTTCTTCCGAAGAGTCTGTCTTCTCCAGCTTTAACGGGCTGAATTTGTTGGATACTACAGACCCTTCCGAGAATCTTAGTCCTGAAGTGTCTTTAGGGGTGGCTAAAACCCTTGGAAAGGGTAGATACTCAGTGGTTTGTGTATATGATAAGGAGTTTCGTGAGCTTAGGAACCACTGCTGCCCTTCGGAACTTGATTTCATTGCTTCTCTTAGTCGCTGCAAGAACTGGGAAGCTAAAGGTGGCAAGAGCAAATGCTTTTTCGCCAAAACACTAGATGACAGGTTCATTATCAAGGAAATTAAGAAGACAGAGTTTGACTCTTTTGTGAAGTTTGGTCCAGAGTATTTCAAGTACATGAATGAGTCGTTTGAGCTGGGGAACCAGACATGTCTGGCAAAAGTTCTTGGCATTTATCAGGTTTGCACATTGATTCCACTCTTTCACTATTTTCTAGTTTACATCCTCTAATCTCTCATGCTTCATTAGGGTGTCTTTGTTTAAGCCGTTCCTAGAATAAATAACTGATCAGATCAAACATGCTCTTAATGAATCATCTACAGACCTAAATTGCAGTACTACAAATAGCTATGCCCATAATGTTTGCTTATGCAGGTGATTGTTCGGCCTCCAAAAGGTGGAAAAGAGATGAGGAACGATCTAATGGTGATGGAGAACCTAACTTTCGGTCGAGACATTACTCGTCGATATGATCTAAAAGGCGCCCTGCACGCAAGGTACACGACAGTCATCAATGGCCCCGGCGAAGTTCTGTTGGATCAAAACTTCGTCGACGACATGAACTCCTCTCCTCTCTATGTCAGCAACACGACGAAACGTTACCTGGAACGCGCGGTTTGGAACGACACCATATTCCTCAACGTGAGTTATTGCTTGTTGAACAAGAAACATCTCATTATGCATTGCTTGGCGCACTCAATCCCATATATATGTCGTTTTGGTTTTTTTTGTGCTCTCTCTTTGCAGTCAATCAATGTAATGGACTACTCATTATTCGTCGGGGTAGATGTGCAACGCCAAGAACTCGTGTGTGGGATCATCGACTACCTCCGACAGTACACATTAGACAAGCAACTGGAGACGTGGGTCAAGTCCTCCCTTGTGGTCCCCAAGAACGTGCAGCCGACGGTGATCTCCCCCAGGGAGTACAAGAAGAGGTTTCGGAAGTTCATATCGAGCCACTTCCCGAGTGTCCCCGATGACTGGTGCAGCCAGAAGAAGCCTTGTGATCCCTGCGAGCTCTGTGGGTTCGGTGAGAATGCACCAGAATCAAGGAAGGACTGCAACAACGAATCTTCCTGTTAATAGCTCCTGTTTTTTATAGGAATTGTGTTCATCTGGTTAGTCATCATTCTTAGCCATTTTTTCTTTTGTTCACTGAAAGCTGGTGTAAAATGCATAGTATAGATGATAGATTGTGTTTGTGAAGCTGATGTAAGTGAGCCAGCCAGCCCCATTTTTTTAAGCAAAATTCATGGGAGTTGAGGAGAAATTTCTATACTGTTTGTTCTTTTTACTAAAAGGAGGGCTTAAAAGCTAGCTGCCATTTTCAGCAGCCATGAAATGTACTCTTACTATTTTTTTCTTTTTTTTTCTTGTAAAAGCCTTTCAAGACTGACTTGTAATGTTACTATGTTAGTAAAAGACTCTTAGAAAGCCTCCGAAGAAACTGGGGCGGATTTTATTGAAGCAATGTACTCTGAATGATTATCTCAAATCAGTATGATCCATGACTGTCGAATTGCACATTTCGATAAAACCAGTATCGATAAGATATTTTTACGATCAAATCACCGCTATAAAATACTGAATATAAGATGTGGACATTACAATACTGTTTCTGTGTAATGTTCGATGAGATAAAACCAGTATCAAATGTTGATAAATTTGTGACTCAGTAACTGAAAAGGCAGAATAAGCACGGTAAACCAAATTCAGGCGCAGACAGAAAATGAGAGAGACTAGGGGTGGGCATTCGGTCGGTTTGGTTTTGACCGAACCGAAATTATGAATATCGGGTCCCCGAATTCTCAAACCTCAAACCGAATTTGAACCGAATTATAATTCGGTTCGGTCGGTTTAAAGCGAATTATAATTCGGTTTGGTTCGGTTTTTCACACAAAACCGAATTTGTTAAACTACTTGTATCTTCTCACTTTTAAATTATTTTTACCCCTAATATAAACAATAAATATGTAATTATATGCATCATCAATGATAAAATCGAACTTTTCAACACATAAGTCATAAAATATTTCAAATATTTAAGTCTAAAAACAACTACAAACATAAAAATCCACCATTTGGAGCTTGCAATTATAGTATTTCGGTTTTTCGGTCGGAAATTCGGAAATTCGGTTCGGTTGAGAGAACCCTGATTTCCGAAGTATCCATATTTTCCTTCCGAATTTCGAACCGAATAACATTAATTCGGTTTCGGTTCGGGTTACCGAACCGGATACCCGCCCCTAAGAGAGACCATACCAACAGCATGGCGCCCACAACCGCAAAATCAGCGCTAACGAACCAATAAAACACTTCCACCGGGGGGAAAAAAATCAAAATCAACGCGAGAAAAAGGGCAATACACAACTGGGGAATCTCATCTCCGCCCGCGCTCGTTCCCGCCGTCGCCATCGGAAATCGGCCATGGCATCTTCCTCCGCCGGTGCTACTCCTTCACCGGCCGATACTGCTCCTTCCGCTAGCAGTCGTTTCAATTTCTCGCCCGATCCGCCGCCTCTACCTACTCTCACTCCCGAGCAGCGCAGCTACTGCTCCGAGGCGCTCCAAATTCTCAGAGAGAAGCTCCGAACTCCGCAGCGGATCGCTCAAGAGTTCTCTCATTTGCAGGTTCCAGATCACGATCTTCTCTCACACTGATAATTTCTGAGTAGTTTGATTCTGGAGTTTTGTGTCTTGAGCTTCAGTGATGTTTGGCTTTTCGGGGATGCCATTGGAGATTGAGGCGTTTAGTTAGTCAGTGAATGCATTGCGAAGTCGAGAAGAAACGTGTTTTTTTAGAGGCGTTTTCTCTGGAATTACGGTATAGGTTTTCAGAAATGCTTCAACCATGGATGACTTGCTTAAGTTTTATGCCTGTATGACTAGGAAGCTCAGTCCCGAGATTAATTGGAAACATAGTAGTGTTTTGTTAGAGACTCTAGTTCTTCCGATCCTTTGGCTATTAGGGCTGGATAGCTTCCCTGTCTGTTGAACTCGGTCTATTGTCTTGTGAATCCAGGCAAATAGGATGACGGCATCCCAAGTGGCCAGAAGCTGCAAGGTGGCTCTTAACAATGCCAACTCGGAGAAGAATCGTTATATGGATGTCATACCATGTAAAAACAATAGTTTGGAACTCTCTTATATCTGTTCATTTAAGCCTATATTAGTCTGTAAGGTTACACTCCGATGAATTTTTGTGTTTTCTGTTGATTCCAGTTGACCAAAACCGGGTTGTTCTTGATGCTTGCAAAGACTATAGGCCAGAAGCCAAGGGATACGTCAATGCAAGCTTCATAGAGGTAGGGCTGCTCTTTCCTCTCTGATATGTTTGTTTCCTTATTGCTTTGATGTTTCAAGTGAATCCTAAATAAGCCTATCTCTTATGCAGGCAGCCCCTTCCGAAACTGTTTCACGATTTATAGCCACTCAGGGACCACTATCACACACTTATGAGGACTTCTGGGCAATGGTGATTCAGTACAATTGCCCTGCTATTGTCATGTTGACTCGCTTGGTGGACAACTACAAGGTACTTTGCCACTTGCCATTGTAAATTTGAAGGTAGTGGCATTTACTCTATTTTGTATTTTTCAACAATTTCAGATAAGATGCAGTATTTCAGCTGTATAATGTGAAGTTTCTGCAGACTTCTCTCAGTTAGAATACTCAAATGTTTCAACGCGCGTCTGGCTCTTGATAGTCTTATACATGGAGCTCAATCTATATTGAAAATGTTGCTAAATGTATAAGTGCTTAATACCTGTTCTTGCATTCTCTGGCTGAGAGACATCTGTTGCAAACCTGTTCCATTTCTATTGGATATCTTATGTGAACCTCAGTGTCCATGCATCTCTGTCTGTCTAGATATATATGCCTACTATGAACTCCTGAAAAACACAGACATGGCCATCAAATAGCTGATGTAAATCACTAGATAGAAGAGACTCAGTAGTTCTGCTCTTTACTTCCTAGTTTCACTTCATTTATTATTGTGTGGAGCATTTATTTGATTTCATCTACCAGACTGCTAAATGTGGAGATTACTTTCAAGCAGAAGATGGTCCTAGAGACATTGGAAATGTTTCCATCACGTCGAGGTGGACTTCGAATACTGCAACCTCATTAGTGTTGCGAAACTTAGAAGTTGGTGATAAAGTGGTAAGTTCTTTTCCCGGATATATTATGTTTTAAATTCTCTGCATTGCATGCATGGTTCAATGAATAACCAGGTTTTCCAGTTCTGCAAGTACTTCTTTTCTGTAAGGTAACTCGGTCTGTTGAGGAAAGTATAGAAGTTTGGTTCATGTGTATTTTCATCTTCACAAACAGGTTCTTGCAAAGTGTGGTGTCTTTTTCTTTTTTGGCGTTATATTGCTAAGCACTTGGCAGTTTGCTTCAGACCAGTTCTGCCCTTGGAGATGGTTTTAGCCTTTTACATCAAAATATAATTTAGTTTTAGTCATTGATGAACTGTAGTGTTATGGCACTTGAGTGGTGGTTTTGCGGATAAGCTGAGAAAAGATGGTTTTTCGAGAAATGAGTGATTAGTTGACCAGGCAAGTTTAGCAGGTGAGTTAAGCATAATGGATAACTGTGCGACTAACAAGACAGAGTGGCGACCTTTTAGGTCTCAGCTTTTAAGTAGCAAGTTAGTGGGTGTAGGAAAGAATGTTGAGAAGCATGTGGCATGGATGTATGTTATTCCTGGGTACAACAACCTGAATTTCCACAAAAGGAAAGTAAACAGTGTTAGGGGCTCAATTTACATTCCATGGTTTGTGGGTGCTTTCTCGTTCCATAGATGTGTTCCTTAACTTATTATAGAGGGAAAGGGCCTCAGTTATCTAACATGACTATCTATCTAATTGGTAGTCAGAGGAACCACCCATGTCAGTTTTGCACATTCAGTATCCTGAATGGCCTGACCATGGAGTTCCCAATGATACAACTGCAGTGCGTGAAATTTTCAGAAGATTATACCACGTGCCTCCTCAACTTGGCCCAATAGTTGTTCACTGCAGGTTCACCCATCAACCTTTCTATTTCCATGTCCCCCTGCAGATCTAATGAGCTCTTTATTCATACTGATTACTGAATATTCTATGTGTTTCTCATGCTTCAGTGCGGGTATTGGTAGAACAGGCACATACTGCACAATCCACAATACAATCCAGAGAATCATTGCTGGAGACAAGTCTGCCACCTATCTTGCTAATACTGTATCAGTGTTTAGGTCCCAACGCATTGGGATGGTTCAAACCATGGTATACTCCTCATCCGAATATTTGTTTTGGTTTACATGATTACCAATCTACACTAGTTTGTTTTCTATATAGACTTTGTAATTTAACCAGTAAATCAAGAAAAAAGTAGGCAAGAGAAGGCAGTTTGAACTTGGAAAAAGAATGGGAGAGATGTAGAGGAGAAATGAAAATTAAGTGAGTAAATACATCAAGAATGAAATTCCATTCTTCCAATGTAATTTGTTACGTGGTGCGAAGATGTGCAATTTGCTGAGTGTGTGCTATTTGTGTTAATAATAAGTGATCTTACTTCTTAGCTCCCACCAATTTGAAATTTTTAGATAGGATATAGGATTTAGGTTCCTGACCCTTATGCCGGTGTAGTCTATAAGCTGCCAGCGGCTAATGGACTTGAGACTTAAGAGAGAACTGGTAAAAGGGGAGTGCTGACTCATGGAGACAGGCTCTCACTGATAACTAGGTATAATAGAAACTTAGATAACTCATCCGAAACAGATACCCAATCGTCAACAATCAACAGGCTCAACCCGGATGATGAATCCGTTGGCCTGGTAAATATCAACTACAAGCATATATTTCCTAACATGATAGTTAAGTGTTACAGTTGACTACAATGTTGATGATTTGATGGTTTGATTGTGTGGGCTGTGGATCATGCCTCTGCTTTGTACTTCTGACTCAACTTTTTTTCTGTTCTGCAGGAGCAATATATCTTCTGCTACGAAGCTATCATCGACGAACTGGAAAGCCTCACCTCAGAATTGGAACCCTCTAGATAGAACTCCGTCGTGTTGGAAGTTCCTTAAGCTTCTCTGCAACTGTGCCGAATTATCTTTTACACCAAGACCAAAGGCGTAACACAAACTAACGTGATCCTGCGCAGCCGTCTGTTAACACCTTAAGACGACCAGTCACCTTCACATTATCGATCTGTTTGCTCTAGCTACAACCTCGAAACAGGACAGGTTGTCCAGGGACGTGTGGAAAATGAAGATACACCGTTCATTCAAACTGCTCTTTCCTTCGGTCATTGTTGTGCAGAATCTGTTTGATGACGACTTTTGGCAATTGCCTAGAAGCTGCCTGCCTGGTGCCTGCTAGCTACCCTTTGACCCTATTGTTTTCTTGGCTATTCAAAATTTTTTTTTTTTCAGTCTAAGATGGTTGGTTGCTTCCGGTCAAACAATCAATTTGGTGATGTTCTCCAGATAGATAATTTACTCGACTCTTTATATTTGACTCAAAGCCGAGTCTCAAGTCAACTCAACCGACTTTGAATGTTCCACTCCACAATCCACATAATCAATATCAACGTTTGTGAAACTGTACCCGATTCAATAATATGTTAGACAATCCAAAGACTTGTATGTTTGATTTTATCATGATATTATAACTCAATCTAGATTTTGTTATTCTATCTGGAGGCTAGAAGAAAGGGTGTGCAAAACTAAACCGACGCTTAGACCAAACAATACTTAATAGAACATAACGTGTTCCAATTTTTGATCCTATGAATTTTATGAATACTCGAAGAGAAATGGACCAAATTAATATTCAGATTGAATCAAATCAAATATAATGGCGATTTGATAATTGATCTTCATACTAGCTTTCTTTACCCGCGCTTTGCGCCGGGATTTGAACAAACCATTGAAACAGAAATGGATCATTTCAAAATTTAATATGGCGAATGTGTGCTTAGCTTATACACATGATAAATATATGCAGTGCATGGTTTACTGCATTGACTGTTTTTTTTTTTCTCTTCTTCTGAAGAAGCCACGGAGATGTAATTCCATTGTTTTTATTTATAAAGCCCCAGGATAAGTGAATTCCATCAGCAAAAAGTGAAGTTCGGTTGTGCTGCAAAATTTAGATGCATAGCTACTTAGAAAATGTACAACCTGATCACCCGTGGGATAACATATAAGCACAAAATTAGTAGAGGGATGAATCCATGTACAATTGTTGACAAAAAATAATTCCAAGCCTTCTCATTGAAGAGCTTCTGATACAAAAACAAATCAAGGAGACCACCTTTTAAAAGCAAAAACTATGTTCAAACACCTGTATATAAGATACCACAGAATGAGCACAGTTTCAATTGCGGCTCTTGGGTTTTATCATAAATAAATTAACACATGAGTCTAGCTACGAACTAATTGAGATTACTCTTCACTTTGCCAATATATCAAAATCAAAGTAGTGCTTTATACACGCGAAAACTAAATCTGCTGAACATCCCCAACAGCCACTAATTAGCAATTCTTTTGGGTGGCTCATTGCAAATCTAATTGGAAATCTGTTGGAACATCCCCAAAACTTTTCCAAATCCAAGTAGAACTCCTGACCTGACCTCAAGCTATGACCCAGCATCTAAGTGCATCAGGTTTGGACAAAATATAAAGGGAGACAAATGGAGTAACCTGATGAAAGTAAGAGAATATTGTGAAAACAAACTCAGCAGTCCAACAATTACATCTAACCAAAATGAACCTACCTATTTTCATTTTTCCAAACCCTTTACATCTCCCAAATCCATTGATCAACCTAGAACCCCATGCAATTCCACCTGCACCTCGATGAAAATAGGACAAATTAGCACCTCTAATATGAATCTGAACCTTCTACTCATCTCCCAAAAGAAAAAACAAAACGCACCTATAGCAATATACCTGTGACCGTCCAAATCTTGGGCACCGAACTCACCGCTGAATCTCCCCTTATAGAAATCAAAGAAGCTCAACCAAGGAGAAAGACAGAACTAAACCATTAAACTGCAGCGGAAACAAACGAATCAGAACAATCACCTATAAGTATAACCGAACAGACACAGAGGAAGCTGGAGAACTGCTTCTTAGGAGAAGGAAACTTACCAAATAGGACCATTGCTGACTGAAGTCTGGAGAACTGAAAATCAAAATCCATAGAACACAAAGAGATGATAAAGTCGTGAAGCATCATGGATGAGAGGAAAGAAGCAGATAGCGATGACATGAATAAGAGATCGAGAGCTCACAGTTTAATTCCACAATTACCTCGACTATTATTGCAGCGAATCTGCAAATGAGAGAGGTTGGTTGCACCTAGTAGCAGATCTGGAAGTAAAAATAAACCTTATATCAAATCCATAAAAACTCATATATGAACCTAAGAAAATAAAGAGATACAATACCTGGAATTCATAGAGACTCTCACTATAGTCATAGTCGCTGATGTGTATTCGGCAGTTCTCTGATGACTGTTCGATCTGGCGAGTTGAGAGGGAAGAAAGAACATGATGAGAAAAAAGATAATGAAGGGAACTGCAAGAATAGCAAAGCAAGATTCACATAGAAAAGGATGAATAACCTTAAATCAAAGGCACTCTCGGCTGGCCTGGATCATTAGCGGACCTCTCAAACTTGTTGACCGCTCTCCGTCATCTCCTGAGAAGAGAGAAGAAACCAAACGCACAGCAGAGAAAAGAAGAGAGAAAGAGAGAGAACAGTCGGGAGGAGAGAAGAAGGAAAATGGGGTAGAAAGTAAAGTTCTGATCTCAACAAATTCTCACCCTTGGCCTTGACCCGCCTCTTTGCAATTGGGTTAGGTAAAATATGTGGTGGAGAAAGGAGCGGGCTTCCCAATCTGACCGCTCAATCCCTTCAAACCCAGAGAGAAAACCCCCCAAAGCTTCCATGACAACCCCAATCACCTCCAACGCCTCGAGCCGCGAACCTGGCACAACTCCCACCTGCAAAAGGAGACTCAAGCACTCGCCCTCCAACTCCTCGGCGAATGAAATCCCCAACCCCCAAAGCTTCCATCAACAAACCAAAAATCATCGGTCCCACAAAGAATTCCGATGACCAACGCGATTTTATCTCTGGCGCTCCAGGTCAATCTAACCAAAAGGAAAAGCTATTTCTGCTGCTCGTCCCGTCTCCGATCACTCCCAACAAAATCAAGAAAAAAACGTTTAAACGACGGCAAGAATACTCAAAGGGTCCACCATAGCCCAACAACCAATCAGAACTAAGTGAATAGGAATTTTGAGTCACAATGAATAGGAAAAGCAGTCTAGATGTACAGTAATTGTTGTTTTGAGCTATTATACTTTTAATGTCTTCAAATGGGGCTATCTAGACAAGTATTGAGGAAGAAGAAACAAATATTTACATAAAAATTGTCAAGACATGTACTAAACGATTTTTACTGATATTCCAATGTTCATAAGAAACAGGGCTCAGGTCACCTAAACTCATCTCATTCCCCTACCCATCCAACAAAACTTTGCAGTACCTTCCCCAACTCCCAAGGAACCTACAAATTTTCTGGAGCCAAACCACCCCATTAAAGATGAATATGTACAGCTGAGACGAACCTAAACCTAAACAACACTCTTCCCACACGTTTATTCATGTCGATATTGATCTACCACCGAAGAGTTTTACGTTCCCTATCAACACCCACAGAACAGCAATCAAGATTCCCAACAATGATAACACCACCAGGCCTTTGTTCGTCCCTGACTTCCTTACATTTGCAGTGCCACCACCAGCATTGCCAGCTTGAGCAGCTGCTAAGTTAGGGTTTACGATGTTCATCCGCAACCTTCGTAGGCTTGACATCCGTAGCAGAGCCTTATTTACCAGAGGCTTCTCTGCAGCTGATGCAGGTTCGAAAGGTATTGAGTCGACAAAGGACCACAGCCCGGAAGAGAACCAGCCAGAAGTATCATCCTTATTAGTAGTCCCGGCTTGATTTTGATTTACTCCGGGATAATGTTCGGTAGAATCACAAATCATACCTGAAAATGAACCCAAACCACAAGTCACTTCCATGTCACTCTATACAAACCCCTGAATAAGAACATACAACAACAAAAGGACGATACTTGTCCGGGAAGAGCTCATCAATCTGGCTCTGGTTTCCCGATATTGGCAGAGGGCATTTAGCCTTGCTCCATAGCACTCCAAGGAATGACTAAGGAGAACAATATCATTTGAAATCCCAGCTCAGAGATGAAGAACACTGAGGAAAAACAAATGTGGATTGGATTTTCGAGTTCAACTTCATCTATGTACCTGAAGTTTGTTGCAAGTTAGCTCCATAATCCGTTTCACCATTGGTCTTCAGATCACTCCCTTGAAGATTATTGTTGACGTAGAGTCCATTACATGATTGTGTTTGAAGGCTCTGGTCTACTTCATTCATAGTATATTCGGGTTGCCAAGAGTAATCAAACTGAAGCTGTGCTTCATAATTTATCTGGTTTACTGCAGAATGCTGATACTGGTAACCCACTTCATCAACCACATTACCTCCCCGAGATTGTGACATTGTATCCTGACCAAGAGGCCCCATGTCTCTTAGAAACATGGCAGCATCATGATATAGCTCTAAAGAAGATAATCCGTCAAGACCATTAAACAGCAAATTCTCAGCAGGCTCCTCCACATTGGAACCAACAGCTGGCAGTGGATTTCCGGAGTTAGATTCTGAAGGTTCTGGCCCAAGTAGATCATCCATTTCCAGGAAATCCCCTTCGCTCAACAGAAGAAGCTGTTCAGGGTTGTTAGCTGCAGATGTGACTTCAGGAGTCTCATGCTGTTCCAACTTGGAAATATCTGACCATTCAAAGTCAAGGCCAGAGTGATTCTCATACTGCTGACCATTTCCAGAAGTAGCTTCTATGAGCTTGGGGATGGTGAAATCTCTTGTCGACGAATTGACCACTGTGCTCTCTGCTCCTCCTTCAGCATCAACCTGAACATTGCATGAAACATTAGTTAGGCACTCAATACTTGAACAAACAGCAGAATAGCAATTATATGTCCTGAACGAGTTACTCTCTCGAATAGTAATAAGGAGCGTTGTTAGGATCGTAGGTAATGCATTGTACTAGTAATGTTAAGAAATACTAAACTATCCTTAACTTTTAGTTTTTGCAACAACAGACAGGGATAGAAATAGAAAAGAAGATATATTGTCAAACACAACATTGCAACAATGCACCCTCTTTTCATTATCATTTCCAAACGGTGCATTGTGTGCAAGATCTACCAAACCATATGCACATTCCAAGTGAATGTTAAGTTCTGTAAGAAGCTAAAGGACGAACAAAGAAATTAATAGACACTGTCTGGGGCAAACCTGGAATAGCGGACAGGATTCCGTGACTACTGGTGGTGGGTCACGCATGGGTTCCTCGACAATATCCCTAATTAGGTCAAACAGATCATCTGACGATGGCTCGACTGGACAAACAGCTTTCTCATTGCAAACAGGAAGAGGTAACTTGTTGTTTCTCTTGCTCGCAGGAACTTCTGGAACAGAGACAACAGCTTTCTCATTGCATACAGGAGGAGGAAGATGAAACTTGTTGTTTCCCTTGCTAGCAGGAACTTCTGGAACAGAGACGACAGCTTTCTCATCATCTACCCAGTCTTCCTCTCTGAATGGAGCTCCATACTGCTCACCGTTTTTGGGACCAGGTCCACTTTTCTTGTAAACTTTGTAAAGTGCGTAGTAGTCCTGAGGCCGAGACAAGAGAAAAATATCTCCAGTTAGTCGGAGTAGAAAAGCTAGCTGAAAAAGATGAGCAAAACAACAAACAAAGTACAAACCTTGACATTAGGACATCTCTTGAGTTCCTCCTCATCTAAAGTGTACTCGTGCATGACCCAATCGGTTCGCTCACCAGTAGGAGCACGACCTCGATAGAAAACTAGGGTCTTCTTCACCCCAACATTCCGGGAATTGCATGTGATGACACGATCTTTCCCAGTGGCTTTCCAGTATCCATGTGCAGTTCCTCTATTTGCTCTTCCTCCATTAGGGTATTTGTGGTCTCTAGGACTGAAGAAGAACCACTGCCTATCTCCGGTTTTTAATAGCGACAGCCCTGATATCATTATCAATTGTTCGGTAAGAGAATTGGGAATATGCAATTTGAATAACTGATGCTTATTTCAGTAAATCATGTTACAAAAAAGAAAAAACTTGATTGATTCGTATAATATTTAAAGACCGTAATTAAACTAACGAATATGGAATCAACTCCCAATTACAGTTTTGTGATTGTGTTTGTCAAATCTTGTTTGCCCTCTGAACTAACTGTGTAAAGAAAGGAACATCAGTCCAAACCAAAACATCCATCGAGAAGAAAAATAGAAACCAGCATAATAAACAAAGATTAGCATCCCCCTCCAACACGCGCTCAAGACAGGTAGCTAAACCAGCAAATGCATGAACTTCTAAATCATTTGTTTAGTATCATGGAAGAATCTACCTGTTCAAATCTCCAAACAATAACAACTCTAATCATCCTAAGCAAACTGAATATCAAGCATTCAGTAAGCAACCTCGAAGATGATGTTCTATCTTATAGTTCAAAATGAAAGAAAAGCTCTCTACTGAGCTAACCAAACGCTACTGAATCAAAGAGATCAAAACAAATACCAAGCAATTCAGAATTCACATCCAAGTCAACGTCCTCAATTCAACAAGGAGCCAAAAAAAAAATAGCTGTCCACCCATCCATAGCCTATCCAAACCTAAACCCAGAAACCAGAATTCACCAGTAACGATAACCAAAACAACAAGAACATCATCATGCAACCCTCATAAACACCCAAAAATCCCAACTCAGAACAGTAAAACGAAATCAAACCCGAAATCAACCAGTCAACGCAGCCATCACCAAACCTAACTCGTCCTTGAACAAGAAAAAAAGGGCACAGAATGAAAATCGAGAAGGGGAACTCAGAAAATTCCCAATCAACACATACCAGGCAAATCCTCAGGATCCCACTTGTAAACATCGAGTTCAGAGATGACATTAAGCCTCAGCTTCCTCCTACAGATCTTCCTCTTCAAGTAATAAAGAATCATCTCCTCGTCTGTCGGATGGAACCTGAACCCTGGCGGCCACTTGAAATCGCCGGCGCCAACACCTCCGACAAGATCCGAACCCGCCGCCTTCACCAACATCTCGATCGATCCAGATAAAAGAAGAAAACCCTCCTTCAAACCCCCTCCCTCCCTCCCGCCTTCTGATCAGCGAAACCCACCTGTGAATTTTATCCAAGACGGGACCTTTACCCCAGGATGGGGTTTCTGAAAAAAAAAATTCCGGCTGGTGCTTTAACGGAGAAAGAATAGAGAGAAAGAGAGAGGTAAGAAAACCCCGGAAAACTGATGGGTGCGGTGTTGTGGCTGTGGTAGGGATAGAGGAGTTGGGCTTTGTGTGTTGGTCAAGAAACTTACTGAATGGATATTTTGGCGAGTAGAAAAAGAGGAGCCGTAGTGGCGCGTTTGGCGGAATTTTTTTTCCCTTTGTAATCTATTAAGCGTTTTTCGTTTTTTTATTTTTTTCTGTGAGGAACTGGAAAAGCGTTTGGAGGCGAACTTTCGCAGAAGCTATCGGCTTTGGGACAATTGTAATTTTCCTTATTAGTTATTTTCCTAATAATAATTATCTTATTAGGTGTCATAAGCTTTATAGATGGTGTTTGTTTGGAGAGATCAATTAAAGTTTTCGAAAGGGAACTCTGAAATGTTGGGTGCCAAAATTATTAATAGATAGCCATTTCATGTGAAACAAATGTGTATTTGTGTGGTCAAATCTAGATAAAGTCCTTTGTTGATTGTATAATTATTCATTAGGCTAAGTATGGGATTAGTTGTAATTTATCGAGTTGAGATTAACTAAGCCGTACTAGCTTTGTGGCTTCAGCAAAAATTTAGTGAAATTTCGGAGAGTATTATATCTAACGTAAATTAGTGTTGATCTTCACAAAAATTGTGTTAAAATTCTCGTGTTTTTAGTACTTTATGTTTGATATGTTAACACTCCAAACTTGAATATTACCCGATGAGTTTCTTTTTTTTTTTTACTAAATTGTCGATAACTTGTTTAAGTAATTATGCAATTGTTAAGTACTGCGAATTGCAAATTACATTGAAATATATGGTTTCATTACTCCATAGTTCATATATGCAAGAAATACTGTGAATTTCAGGAAACACGGTTTCAGAATCACCAAACGGCTCCTAGTCGATCTATTACCAATTTATTTTTAATAAAATAATTAATTAGTTTTTTAGACATATCGACTACTATTTCCGTTTTCTTTTTTATTTTCTGATAAGGAATAAACCATTCTAGCAAATCTCGTAACAGAAGGGGGGAAGAAGGAGAACCGAAACCAATTCCGCCGCCGCCGCCGTCGTTTGTGGCTGCCCGCACCGTCGCGGCGAAAATCCGTCACCATTCATAGCCACTGCTCTTCAAAGTTCAAATCAATTCTCCGATTCTCTCTCTCGTTTCGCCCTTTGTTCGTGCGGCACCACGGCCGTGACAAAACGCTCTCGCCGACACCGTCATCGGCCGCTAAATTCAAATCGTAGTTATATACGGAGAGAGAGGGAGATAGAGTTGGCTCGGCTTCACCAGGAGAGCACGGTGAGCTCGATTTATGGCTGGTTTCACGAATTAAGCTGAAGCAGGAGCCGGGAAAGCGACAGAAGAACCTCATTTGAAGGAGGAGGAGGAGGAAGATGGAGCAGCAGCTAGGCTTCTCCTTCTTCTCTTTCTGTTGAGATTGAGTCTTTTGGGGTCAAAATTCATGGCGGCCTCTGCCCAACACCGCTGCGTTTTTGGTACTCTCTCGCTCTCTGTTCATCCATCTCTTTCAGATTGATTGCTGGGGAACTTGGATGAATCTCTGATTGAACTTTACTCTGGTGTTTGGTATTTGGGCTGGCAGTTGGGAACATACCCTATGATGCAACGGAAGAGCAACTAATAGAAATCTGCAGAGAGGTTGGGCCGGTTGTCTCTTTCAGGTTAGTCCAATGGTGGAGCTATCTTCTTTCATTTTGCAGTGAAGTTTGAACCTTTACTGCCTCTGCATCCTGCTGGCCTTTGGAGTTCGTTAGCTTGGTCTTTGAATTATGCTTATTCTGAAGCATAATCCGTGGCTACTTGGCGTGTTCTTGGCCAATCGTTCCAAGTTTCATGGAAGCTTGTATGCGGCATGTGAAACTGTTACTGTAGCAATACCTGTATTTACACATGAAGATAATATAATTTGCTCTGTAGTTTAAGTGTCGTGCAATGCTAATTATCTACAATTTGCTTCTCTGTTCGACTTCTGCAGATTAGTTGTTGACAGAGAAACTGGAAAACCGAAGGGTTACGGGTTCTGTGAGTATAAGGATGAAGAGACAGCTCTCAGTGCTCGGCGTAACCTCCAGGGTTATGAGATCAATGGCCGGCAATTGCGTGTAGATTTTGCGGAGAACGACAAAAATACGGATAGAAACAAAGAACAGGTGCTGTGCTGCCTTATCAACAAAACTGTAAATCTTGTTAGCGTCTCTTTATATTAATCAAGATGAGTAAAGTGACTTAAATTGTTATATCAAGTGAGCTTTGATGAGTGTTGGACAAAAAATAGTATTAGTGCCTGATGGAATCAGGAGGTAGGCGTAATTGAGTTGGTCATTGATTGTAATATTGATGGAAAGTGGAGTTTATATTTTGATTTGATCTTCACTTTTATGTTGAGAACCTTGTTGGCTTATTCTTTTCCCCCTTATATAGAGAGTGGATTTAAAGGTTGAGGTCATCAGTGGCTTCTTTGACTATAGGATATCCATTCTCATTCAGCAAAGTTGTTGAATCTTAGGCTCAAAGTAGGTTCCTCAGGGTTTTGATTGTACAATGGATGTCTCGGTTGCAAAAAAATATTGGTCGTTGTATATCTTTCTTGTTAACCTTCAAAGAGATAGTGAAGGGGAGAGACATATACCAGAAGCAGAATTGTTTTGACATCATCCATTTGGTGAGGCAGTTATGTGTACCAATTTCAAAATCCTTATTGCTGTTCATGCTTAACTCCTACTCTGATACACTACTTTTTCCCCTAGGACACCATCATACTGAAAGGAAGTTTCTTCGTGATCTGTTTTATATCTGGAGTTCCCCGATTAGTGTAAATGGTGTGGCTCCTGTGAAAATATTGCATGCCAAATCAAAATCTGGTCTTTAGGGAAAGGTTAATGGAGAATATGAGTCTGTCATAACACACGAGAGTCCTGATTACCTGTTTCACATCCATTGAAAATTTGAGGTCTCGGCTCATAATTGTTTCAGTTGTACAGCTGTGGTAGAGTCATCAAGAAACCATTTCTTTCCGTAATGTTAAGTCCCCGTAGACAATTTCTTCCACACTTAGACATCTGAATGAGTGTTTCCCCCTCTCTTCAAGAGCATAATTTTATGAAATACCTGTCATTGAGAGTGCAGTTGCTAACATTGCTTTTATTAACTTTCAGGGTCGACAAGCTTCTAATACTGGTGAGTTTTCTTCAAATCCTCTCTTTTACCTATTGAAGGTAATATATATTCAAGCTGTTTGCCATGTTGCACCTTTCAGATCCTAGGAGACATGGAGGACCCCCTGCAAACATTGCAGATGCTACACAGCATCAGCCAATAGGTCTCCACATAGCCATGACCGCTGCCACTGTCATGACTGGAGCTTTAGGTGCTACTCAGACAGCAGTGCAGCCGAATCATGCTGCTTTCCAGGGTCAGTCGGCATTAACAAGTGACCCCTTGACACTTCATTTGGCAAAAATGTCTAGGAGTCAATTGAACGAAGTTATGACTGAGCTGAAGGTATTTATAGAAAGAGCTTTTGCATTTTCCTGACTTACTTGGATTAGTTATGTTTCTGCTACATCTCTTGTGCTAATAGGTAATGGCAACACAAAACAGGGAAGCAGCTCGTCAACTGTTGCTTGAGAGGCCTCAATTGCCAAAAGCACTTTTTCAGGTTCCCAGTGCTTATGCTAATACATTGACTTCACTCGTGCTATTTCCCTTATTTCTCTGCAAAAATTGGGCAATATTGAAGTCCGACTATAATAATCAAGACTTAAGTTAATTTTAGGCTTTTCCTACTGATAAAGCAGTACATCGGAGAGAAATTAGTTGGACTTATTTTTCTGAGAAGTATCTGTTTATTATTGTTTTGGGATTTTATTCTGTAGGTTTAAGCTCACAAATGTTGTCCCCATGCTTTCGCAGGCACAAATAATGCTAGGAATGGTCACCCCAGAAGTGGTTTGTCTAATCTTCCACAGTGGCAATTCTTCTCATACATACCCTCCTTGTGAACATAACTATGTAAGACGGTGTCCCTAAATACCTACTTTATGTTTTGCAGCTGCAAATGCCAAATATAAGAGCACCTTCAAGTCAACTGGCATTACCACCATTGCAAGACACTCAGCAGGGTAAACATGCCCTTCAGACATTGGCAGGGTCAGCCCTTCCTTCCCAGGGGACATACCCTAGTTTGGTGACTCAAGTACCAGGTGGTCGCTCATCTGTAGTGCCTCTCAATCCTTCAGTACAAGACCAGGTTTCTACATCCCCAATGCATCCTCCAAATAAGACCCATGTTCTTCCGCAAGCTCTATTACCCGGGAAATCTGTAGTCCCAATACCTCTTCCTGCGCAACCCATTACTAGACCACCAAATCAGGCGACAGTAGATTCGTCGCTCTTAACCCAACAAATTCAACAATCCATTGTACAGAACCCAGGACAGTCTGGAGGTGGAAATTACGGCTACAAATCCCAAATCAGTCTTCGTCCATTTGTGTCAGAAACATCAACAAAGGTATAAAAAAGTCTACCTCTTTCTTATCCCATGTATGAAGAAATGAAGATGAACTAAGGATTGTTTGCTAATAGTTGTCGAAGGTCGTGAGCAAATCAACCAACTTCTTTCTTCATGTAGATATCTTAAGGATGATACATGTGGGTATGGATAATAGTTGGATTGCTTTCAACTGTGGTCTTTTTTGTACCCCCACTGGGATCTTACTCTTCGCATAATTACAGCCTGAGCCGCTGATGTCATCAGGCATTTCAGATCCTGGTAGCATGGATGCCCGTCCTGCTATTCAGGTTCCCGATGAAGCTACAAGGTATAACCGGAACATGGCTTACAGGCAAGCAAACACCTTTCAGGATCCCAGTGAACCAAGTCATCGACCTACAAAGCTTCTGAAGTTGGACGAAGGCAGGAACACGTCTTCCTCAATTGGGGATCGTAACATGGCCAACAACACCGGATTTGGTCCAAGCCAAACGGTCCCAGTTATTTCAGTGCCTACGAAGCCACTCCCCAAGCCAGAAGAGAAACAAGCACCTCAGGTAACGGAAAAAAGTCAAAAACCACTGCTTGAAGCTGAAATAATTAACCGTCTTCTGTAGAACCAATCCTAATTGATCATCAAACAGACTTTTAATGATGGCCTCAACCAACTTGTGCTTCCACTTGTAATCATTTAATAGTAATTATGAGCATACTTCAAAATAATGATCGCGTTTTCCTCGCACATTGCAGCTTGCACCAGATGTGGAATCTGCCCTGCTCCAGCAGGTGCTAAGCCTTACACCAGAGCAGTTGAGTTCATTGCCACCGGAGCAGCAGCAACAGGTGATTCAGCTCCAGCAAGCACTTAGACGAGACCAGATGCAGCCGTCATAGCAGCAGGTAGTTGTCGTTTGCCCACCGCGCTCCTAGTGAAGAGAATAGCCTGCTGCTGCCATATCAGCTCTGTAACCTATTCTTATGTATGATGAACTCTCGTTTCAGCGAGAACCTGCAGTTTTGTTTTTATTTCACTTAGGGAAGAAGAGAAGGAAAAAAACCCATCTTGTATCCTCAAGGTAGAGTGCCAAATTTCAGCACCATAGATAAGGGGGGTTGCCTTGTAGAAGGAGTTTTACCTTTTGTACCATTATTGTTCAGTAGAGGTTTTATAAATATTTGTTCTGCAACTTTTTTGGTGTTGGGTTTTGGGATGGAAGTAATAATAGGTGATCGTTGCTTCGATGTAGTTTGATTGTTGCAACTCTATTCCAAAATCGAAAAGAAGACTAGCGATATTCGTTTCATCAGAATCCAAAATTTGGAATCGATAATGAATTCTTTTATATTGCAAACACAATTTTCAAAATGAATCATCATTAACTTATGGAGTTCATTTCCTCACATTCCATCTTACAAGAGAACGAAGATAAGTGGAACCATAGGGTCACCTTGGACCAGATAACTCGACTGCGTGTAGATTTTGCGTTGAATCCGGTATCCAATCCGAACTACGATGATGACGGCCTAGTTCTTCCACCTCATGATGATCACCTTCTTTTCCCACCATCATTTCCCATTCATCCCATCTCTCACCCAAACCCGCTCCTTCTTCCAGCATTCTCACCACTTCACACATCTTTGGCCGGCCCATCGGGGAGCCTTGTGTACAAAGAAGAGCAACCTGGATTAGCTGCTCCACTTCAGAACTTGCTAGGTAATAACTGCTCACGAGATCAGGATCCACCAGTATCTCTAACTTCCCCTCCTTCAGATGCCCTTTCACCTGACAATGACATACATCACATTGTTGTTACAACAGTTAGAGTAGAGAACAGAACAGAACAGAACAGAAGTAGTTAAGTGTTCATTCATCAAGCCTCAAATTGCTAACAGTCTCGTCGACCACGCGATATGGACTTGAATGTAGTTTGAAGAGAGGGAGTAGAAGCATCATTACCCAATCAAGCATCATCACATCATCGTCATTTGCAAGCCCTGCAAGATCAAATGCCTTCTTCCCGGTGATCAGTTCCAGCAGCATGATACCATATCCAAAAACATCAGTCTTTTCAGACGATCTGCCTGTGGAGAAATACTCAGGAGGGATATGGCCAACTGTGCCACAGACAGCAGTAGTGACATGAGAATCGTTGATGTTCATCAGTTTGGCTAACCCGAAGTCTCCAACAACAGCCTCGAATTCCTTGTCTAACAATATGTTGGCAGCTTTTACATCACGATGAATGACCTTTGGTTCGCAATGATCATGCAAGTAGGACAAGCCCTTAGCTGACCCCAGCGCTATTCGCTTTCGAGTTGGCCAATCGAGAGGAGGTCGAGAGGGAGGACGTCCTACAAACAGAATAAGAACATAGTTCAATGGAATTTTTGCTCCCTGAACTCTATGTTGCTGTTGTTGTACCATACTTGATGAGTAGAAGGATGTAGACCGCTTACCTCGCAAGCATGAGGCAACACTTCCATTTGCCATGTAGGGATACACAAGCAATCTTTCAGTAGGTGTCATGCAAAAGCCATGCAGCTGAAGAAGATTCCGATGCACAGCCATGCTTATCATCTGCAACTCCATTTGGAACTGCAACTCTCCTCCACTCGTACGCCCTTCTTTCAGTCTTTTCACTGCCACCAATGAGCCGTCTGCCAGACGACCTTTGTAGACCTTACCAAATCCTCCTCGACCAAGAATGCTCTTGGTGCTAAAGTTATCAGTTGCAACTAGCAGTTCACGCAACGAAAACCTCTTGAGCTGCGATAGATGGACTTCGGGATCATCATCTTCCACTGTAAAAATGTACCAACTTTTCAGACTCTCTGAGTCATGAAGAAGGCCCCAAAAGTTTGATGCAGTCAATAAGAGACTAACCAGGTACGTCAACAAATAAGTCTCGACGTTTTCTTTGAAGCCACCAAGCAAAATATATCGCGGGAAAAGCAAAGAACAATGCTGCACCAGCAGCAACTCCACCAGCTATTGCTCTGATGGCGCCATTCCCTCCTAAAAAGTATCAACATACACTTGTAAAACAAAAGATTTTGCGTGCAATTGACAATAAAGATCACTTCATGGACTCAAACTCTTTGTAGATCACATACAAGACAACCCTTGAAGGTTGAACACAAGTATAATTAGTGGTAAATGTCGATGATGATTAACATGGACTCAGCAGAACATAATAGACCATCAACCATTTTGTTAAGTAGAAAAATGGGAATTCAAAATGTAAAAGCCAAAACAAGATTTTGCATCAACCACTATTGCACCATGAAATGACGAACAAATTAAACGAGACTTTACTTGGTTGAGAAGTTGGTGAAGCAAATGGAGGAGGTGGAGAAAATGGAGGAGAACCAGGGCAAAGATAGCCAGTAACTGGTCCACAAAGATCCAAGTTGTTAGCAAAACTGCAGAAAGGAAAGAACGAACTTGCACTCGTGACTTTTGCGTTCAAATAATCATTCAAAAGGTTAAGGGAAATTTTCCAAACAAACTGCCAACCTTATGGGAGTGAACTGAGTTAAGGAACCCTTATCTGGAACCAACCCGGAAAGGCGGTTGTTTGAAAGATCCCTTCATTCCAGTGTACAGAAATAAGTAAGCACTAAGCATGGCACTTTTGCATTAAAACCATATGACTGCTTCTATGAGACATATCCAAAGGTAAGAGAAACTTACAGCACTTCTAGTGACGAAATGTTAGCCAATGATGCAGGAATTGAACCAGCCAAGCTGTTGTTATTGAGCCTCCTATCCTTCGCGAAAAACAAGGGAAGGAAAAGAATTCCATTTTGTTGAAAGTTGAAACACCAAACTCGCATGTGAGACTATACATTACTGATAAAACAGAGGAAGTAGGTCTCACAGGTATCTCAACTTCGACAGCTTGCCCAAAGATTCTGGTATCTGGCCACTGAAACTATTCAAGTAAAGATCCAAACTTACCAAGTTTGTCAAGTTCCCTAGGGAACTTGGAATTGCACCAGTAAAGTTGTTATTGAAGAGCTCCCTGTCAGAAAACAAAACTGTTAATATTTCAGAGAAGAACTTTGACAGAAGCAGATGTTCTATGATGAATTGCAATTATGACGAGGAAGAACATCAAAATTTCCAAGTCAGGCTTTGGGTGACTTACAAGTACTCCAAATTCTTAAGCAGGCCAAGTTGTGGGACAAGCTGACCAGACAAAGCAGCATTTCCAAGATCCCTGAAATAGATTGATAAGAAGATAAATACTTCAGCAGAGGCACATACTTGATAATACTATCCGAAAATAGAAGACTTACAATCTAGTGATGCTGTCGTCATCGTTGCACGTTAGATGAAACCATGTACATTTGGAACCAAGATTTTCATCCCAACTCTGTAGAACATTGTTCGGGTCAACCAAGTTGGTCCTTAGACTGCGTAAAGCATCGCCTGCTCCAAAAAATCAAGAAATGGAAAGAAATTAGGTGCTGCTGAGTGCTGATTACCATAATTGAAGAGGAGGAAGAGGCTGCAACATTCCAGCAAATTCATAAAACAATCTCTTTTGCTGCGAAACAAATTAACACCCTAAAAAAACCTGAAAAGGGAGTCGACTTTAGAGCATAAATGCAGTTGCATTAGGAACCCATCACTCATCAGAGTCCCAAATCACTATAACTAGTAGCAAAGCAACCACCATAATCAGTGCATGAAACTGAATGGCGTTTACAGATCTTTCATAAGGAACCAGTAAAGATCAATACCAAGACTGGCCAATTTAGCAGAAACCCAGTTGCAGGAATAGAAATCTCATTCAGCAGTACCAAGATCAAGTCATCCAACCATATCATTAGCTTGTAACCATAATCAGAAAGAGGGGACAAAGACAAACCAGCACAGTTATGAGTACCTTCGATATCACCCAAAGACAGCAGCCACAGAAATGGGTGCAGCAACAAGAGGATCAACAAAACAGGAATTCCCAAGGTACAAACTTTCGTCTCCATTAAAACCCACAATTATTGAGAGACATCAACCAAACTTAAATAAGTCACCTCAGATCCAAACAGACAAAACAAGAAACTAATCCCAATAAAGAAGAAGAAGAAAAACTTATCTTCTTCGAACCCCACCCCCCATTAGATTTCATTATCCAAGTTCCACACGTTTTGCACATGGCAATAATTGTTGTTATTCTAATATGATGGTTCTCGTCCTCTTCCGAGTTCCGCAGCATAGTTTTCAAAAGGCATTCACACTTACAATCATGCAGCAATATCACACGAATAGATAGCACGAAAGCTGAGAAATTCAAGGATGTTACTTACGGAGACACCGACGTCGGATCTCAGCTTCCCTCAAGAACCGGCGGTCACGTACCGCCGCACCATTTACTGATTTTTCCATTGCATGCCGAAATCAAAAGATGAACCCAGAAACAGCTTGAAAATTGATTGACGATGCAGCGTCAAAGTTTGCTACTGGGACGAGGAAGGTTGGCATGTTGCAAATTCATTTAGGGTGCTTTTTCATATAAGTACTAGCATTTGGAATCTTGGCATATGCAGTAAAGTATCTGGTTCATGCCATGCTCACTGGGAAGCAATTCATTCATAACTCAGCCGCCAATAGATAGAATTGAACTACATTCTGATCACCCGTTGAAAGAAGAGAGCCTATGAACACGAGTCCTCGAAATCAATCATATCATGCAGAGCCAGAAGCTAGTTACAACGCCACAACAACAAAGATACAGCAACTGAAAGGTCCATCGATGTAGCACGATAATACGAAAAAAATGAAACAAGCTCCCAACTTTTGTCCTCACAGAAACTGCTCTGGGTTTAACAATAATCAAGGCTGCAGTAATCAAACACTGATTTCACAATTCAAGAGCTTCAGAGCTCTCATAACATAGTGCTCCTAAAGTTAGATTAGATATATAGATAGAAAAGGCCTCATGGATGGACGACACAATGATATGCACCTCTCAACAAACTGACTGATGATTCATATGCACAAAAATGAATACAAATTCAGAAGGAACGGATCTTTGCAATGGCCCGCCGGAATCAGGATTACGTTCATTCACCATGGGAAGCAATATATGACCAGAAAAAATGAAAGGATTAAGAATAAAGAAAAAGCATTTTCATTTCTTTCCTCCCCTTTTTTTTTTTTAACTTGTAAGTGTGCCAATGGGGTGGTCGTCAACAATCTATCACCTCGGACCAGACAGCTCGACCGCATGTAGATTCTCTGTTGAATCGACGATCCAATCTGAGTTCGGGTGAGGGGCAAGCTCCACTTCTTGCCGCAGAACTTCGACCTTCTGCCATTCGTCCCATCTCTCGGCCAGGCCATCGCCTTCGAGCATTCTCACCACGTCGGACATCTTCGGCCTGTCCATAGGGGAACCTTGCGTGCAAAGAAGAGCAACCTGGATGAGCTGCTCCACTTCGGAATCGACGTAGTTGTTCTGAAGATCAGGGTCCACCAGCATCTCTAGCTTCTTCTCTTTCAGAAGTCCTTTTACCTGTGCGGCATTTGTTTAGTAGCACAAGTTAGATTATATGCTATCTTTTACATTGCCCTTGACCAAAAAGAAATGGAGGACAAGGCTGAATGCGACTTAATGATGGTTTACATGCACAAGCAAAACGACGAAAGCATACCCAATCGAGCAACATGACATCGTCATCATTTGCAAGCCGAGCAAGATCGAATGCCCTCTGTCCAGTAATTAGCTCAAGGAGCATGATCCCATACCCAAAAACATCAGTTTTCTCGGATGATTTTCCAGTGGAGAGGTACTCTGGAGCAATGTGGCCTATCGTACCACGGACAGCAGTAGTGACATGAGTATCCTTGTAGTCCATCAATTTAGCCAACCCAAAGTCTCCAACAACTGCCTCGAATTCCTCATCTAGTAATATATTGGCGGCTTTCACATCACGATGAATGATTTTAGGATCACAATGATCATGCAAATAAGATAAGCCCCTAGCAGATCCCAGTGCAATTCGCTTCCGAGTTGGCCAGTCAAGAGGAGGTTGTGATGGTGGGCGTTCTACAATCACAAGTCCGTAGAGAAGAAAACATAAGCATAAACAACCAAAAATAGTAATGCAGGTTTTAGGAGACCGTTAGAGAGATAAAAGAACTCTTCAAAAAGCTTTTACCTCTCAAGCATGAGGCAACACTCCCATTTGCCATGTAGGGATAAACAAGTAATCTCTCGGTTGGTGTCATGCAAAAGCCACGTAATCTCAGGAGATTTCGGTGCACAGCCATGCTAATCATCTCAACCTCTGTTTGAAACTGCAGCTCACCTCCAGGCGTCCGCTCCTCCTTCAGTCTTTTAACTGCCACCAATGAGCCATCTGCGAGGCGACCTTTGTACACCTTACCAAATCCTCCTCTACCCAGAATGTTTTTGTTGCTGAAGGTGTCTGTCGCGACTTGCAATTCTCGCAACGAAAACCTCTTCAGCTGCCCCAGATGAACTTCAGGATCCTCTTCCGCTGCAAAATAGAGATAACCATTGGAGACCCAAGGCATTGAAAGAGCTTCAAAGGATTTGATCTTTCAGCAAGAGGCTTACCAGGTACATCAAAGAATAAGTCCTGCGGTTTCCTTCGACGCCACCACGCGAATGCTATTGCAGGGGCAGCAAACAACAAAGCCGCACCAGCAGCAACCCCGCCAGCTATTGCTCCAGTAGCACTATTCCCTCCTAAAAGGTGCATCAGCAGATCAGTGAATCTCTAAAGCACTTAGCAGTGTCCAGTGCAATTGTCCAAAGAAAAGCAATTAGACAAGCAAAGTGAGTTCCAGAAGTTTCAAGAGCATTCATTACCTGGAACCGAAATTGGTGGAGGTGGAACAAACGGAGGGGGAGGTGAAAATGGAGGGGAACCCGGACAAGGATGACCAGTAACTGGCCCACAGAGGTCCAAGTTGTTAGCAAAACTGCAGAGCAAAAAGAATGCTGAGATGGGTTTCGATTACTAGTAACTCATGGTTGGAGGAATTCCAACAAAATTGCCAACCTTATAGGAGTGAACAGTGAGAAAGAACCATTGTCTGGAACCACCCCGGAAAGACGATTGTTTGAGAGATCCCTGCATTCCATGATACAGTAAGTGCACATGGCATTTTTGCATCAAACTTTTCCGTATCCAAGATTATGGGACTGTTCATGACATATAGTTAGCATATGACTTACAGCACTTGTAACGACGAGATGTTAGTCAAAGACATGGGAATTGGACCAGCCAAGCTGTTGTTGTTAAGCCGCCTACCCTTGCAGAAACAGGGCAAACAATATTGTATTAAACAGAGAGGTCAGGGGAAATATGCAGCTTAGCTGCAGAAGTTTTATATTTTCGAATACTTGGTTCCATTAGTTGATAAACTCAGAGATTTGCTGAATACAGCAGATAAGGGGAATCTGAGAAAGTAGACTTACAGGAATCTTAGCTTCGATAGCTTGCCTAAAGATTCTGGTATGGGGCCATTGAAACTATTCAAGTAAAGATCCAAGCTGACCAAGTTAGTCAAATTCCCAAGATCACTTGGAATTGGACCACTTATGTTGTTACTGTATAGCTCCCTGTCAAAGAAGAAAGGAAGGTGAGTCATACAGAACAAACAGTCGACCGAATAAGCACAAGCATCCTAAAATGCCGACGACAAAGAACAACCAAATCCTTGAACGTAAAATTGAAGTCCAGCAGCATGACTTACAAATACTGCAAGTTCTTAAGCAGGCCGAGTTGGGGAACAAGCTGACCAGACAACGCCGCATTCCCAAGATCACTGAAAGATAGGCAAATTCATTAGCTGAACTGTTTGGTAATCAGGTATTGAACTGCAGGCGTCTTGTTGGTGAACACAAGACTCACACTCGGATGACACTGTTATCATTGTTGCATGTTACATGGAACCATGTGCAGGGGTTCACAAGGGTAGGATCCCAACTCTGCAGAACGTTGTTCGGATCAAACAAGTTGGTCCGTAGGCTGTGCAAAGCATCACCTGTTCCAGAAGCAGGAAATACAACGAATTAGGTACTGGGGATTCCCCATCATCAAAGAAGCAAAGATGTATCTCTCCAGCGAGTTGCTAGCAACAAATGACTAGTCTAGTCAAACAATTCAACTCGATGTGTGAACTATTAAGCATCAACAGTACACCATGAACTCAATCAGTCGAGAATGGCTACCAATGCAGCAATAAGATAATCAATTTCACTAAACCGGGAAATCGTCATTCATCAGAGAGCTAAGACTTCAAAGTGCATTCCAAATCACTGAAGATGTCCCCACAAGTCTCAATCACAATATATAAGCACTAAACCAAATTGCAAATAGACCAGCTTTAAAAAGGAGAAATGGAAATGATAATGGAGAGAAAGGGCACAAAAAAACAGAGAAAAAGGAAGGCAGCTGCCGTAGATATAAACTCAAAATCAACAAGCGGCCAGGCTCATCAAGACTAGCCAATCCAGATTATGAGATGAAACCAACCAAAGGGAAGTTCAACAACACCGTTACCAAGACCCTCAATCCTAAGAACTATTGCAGAATAAAAAGAGATGAATCACATTTGCAGGAATCAACTCATTAACCAGAAATGAAAGATCAGAATTTCCTTCCCAGCTAGAGGAACCAAAGATCACAAGAAGAAAGCAACAATGCAAATGCTTAACAAACCACTTCCAGCAAGGGCACAAAAAAAAAAACCCAGCAATATACCTTCCATATTACCAAGGACCAGCCATGAAGGTTGCAGTACCAGCAGCAAGAAGATCAACCAAACAGGAACAATAGCAGAAACTTCCCTCCCCATTACTACCACCGCCAGAGCTCTTCAGACATCAACCACTAAATCTCCTCCTCAGATCCAAACTCCAACCCACCATTCCCCAGAAAAGACGCTCCAGGGGGGAGCAGCAAACCCACCAACAACAAAACGGAAGAAATGGAGAAAAAAAATCCCTAGAAAGTTTCCATGCTTAATCTTCAAAACCCCAACATTATCTCAAATCACCAACTTCGCAAACACCAAATACAGACCCAGAAAAAAATCTCAGCACCCTTTTCCTTCCCACTTTCTTTCTCTCTCCCTCTCTCCGGTTCCTTACTCTGCCTTGCTCATTTCCTCGCCCAACCCCAAAAGGGAACAGGCAGTTTAAAAATAAAAGGGGATAAAACCAGCAGGAAAGGAGAACTCAGGAAAAAAAAATTACTGCCATTTCCCTTTTATGGGATTCAAGAAGGAGAAGAAGCTGAACAAGCAGAAGAAAAAAAATATTTTTTTCTAGCTTTCTAGCTGCTGCAACTGCAACTGCAACACTTTAGCTGAGACTTGAGAGAGAGAGGAGTAGGAACTAGGAAGTAAAGAAGTGTGCCAGCAAGCCAAGCTGAAATTTTTATAACAAAAAGAAAAGCGGGGGCCAAAAATATAAATAAAAGAATTATGAATTATCTTTATTTGTTCGTCTCTATATTTGTGAACAATAAATTAAATTTTGTGACAGCTGCCCGGACGGAGCTGCTGCTGCCCGAACGCAGTGAAAAAATAAAACAGACAAAGAGATAAAAACGAAATTTTTTCCTGTAGTTGTACCATATATATATGTAAATAAATTTATGAAATTTAAAAATTAAAAGGGTTGTCAATAATTTTTTTGTAGAAATAAAATAAATATTGAAAGAGATAAAATCTGAAGAAAAATAATACTGACAATGTTTCTTCATTTTCCATTTCTTTTTTCTAATAACATAAGTTATGTTAAAATAAAGCTTTAAACTTTATTGGATGATCTGGTTGTAAATGCTAACACTCATTGTGACTCGAGATCGAATTTTGAGATAAAAAAAATATAATAAAACAAGTTAAGATTTGAAATTAATTCATTATAAAAGATAATCATTTCAATCAAATTGTTTACATCGATAATCACATCAATCTCATAATTATTCAAAGAAACTCAATATGAACAATCAACTAGTTTACCTTCCTAGAAAATAAGCTAGTTAACCAATATAACCTCAGTTCAAAATTAAAGAAAAACTCATTATACTATCATAGGCTACAACCCAAAAAAATGTTGCTTCGAGTAAATTTGAGTTCACTGTCTCATCATCAGGTGTACCTGGATTATGATTATTTGAAATACGAGAACGATACAACATTATGCACATATAACAATTGTCGGTTATCCTACCAGTTATAATAACCCAATTGATCAACTACACCTGAGTAATTACCACAACTTTTTTTATAGTTGACGTGGTAGACGAGGCTACACTCATGATTGTTGATATTACTTCCATCATTGCTATCATTAATATCATTCAGTAATGTAACTACCTCTAACTAAAATCAATTGAGGTGAAATTGTATAAAGTTAAAATAGCTACTTCCACTACACTGCTATGATCAGCCTAGTTATTCTGCTAACTTGAAGATTCGTTAGTATATACTAACAAATATCTAAAATGTATGAACTAATATTCAAGTCTGTTAAATATCTAGATAGCACAAACTAGTATTCAAAACATCACAAACTAGTATCCATATAGCATATACCAACTAATATCCACAATCAACCAACTAGTATTCAATATGGATACTCTTATGGGTTATCCGGATACTAATTATGTGTTGTTTGGATATTATTCTGTGTTGTCTAGATATTAGTTTGTGAATTTGGGATAATAGTTGATTCATGGTGGATATTAGTTAGCAAACTTTGAATACTAGTTTGTGCTCTCTAGATACTTTAGTACTTGGACATTAGTTCATATATTTTAGATATCAGTTAGTATCTGCTAACGAATCTGTTAGCAGATTAACTTTCTGCCCTATCATACTCATTAAAAAAATGTCGATCTGGTTTTTATTTTTACCAAAACAGAAAATGTTTGTTGGGTTTGTGGGAAGGAGAAAGGGACGTGACGTGAAGCTGAGCGGGCAGGGGCGGGCAGCACCGTTTCATCGCCAGGCTTCTCTCTCCGGTCAAAACGTCGATGGCTCAAAGAGGGGCCCACCGTTTGGCCATGTCAGATACGGTCCCCAAAATCTGTGATGATAATGGCGTTTTGGGTTTGGGAGGTGGGGAGTTGGGCCCACGTTGTTTTGATTAATGCTATTTCTCAATCTCAAGCGTGTGTGTTGCTTTATTTTTAATTTAATTTTAACCAATTATAATTAACAGCTTAATTTATTGTAACATTGACTAATAAAGCAATCGAGTCCTAATAAAAAAAAATCAATTGAGTCAAATTGTCTCCTAACGGTATTAAATAAGGGAATTTGGTTCAATTGTCAGATGAAACGATTGGGTAAATTGTGTCTTTTGCAAATACAAAATGGGAATGTGTCAATTTGACCAAAACAAGTTCAATTGTCTCGTTTTGTATCAATTTGAATTGACGGGAGGAGAAATAAGTATCTTCAAACGATATATTAACAGTGAGATGAGTCTATTTTGAAATAACTTGGTCAAATTATCTTTATTACCATTATCCAAACAATCCATATAAACAGTAGAAAAGGCATTCTACTCATATTATTTAATTTTGGATATTACAAAAGATGGTACATCATTTGTGAATTGTCACATTTGGTGAAACAATCCAATTAGACTCTTAGTCATGAAACTTTAAAGTGGTCTCGATGATAGGATGTGTAGAGATGGATATGAGAAGAGAAACTAAATAAATTTTGCGCCAAACTATTTACTTATAGTATGTGTTTAACTGTTTATATAAAAAATTATGATATTCTTTTATTAATGTTTACTAAAAGAATTCCCGATAGACATAACATACAAAAAAAAAAGTTCGAAATAAACAAGTTTGGATAAGATTATTGCAGTGTCCAACAATTTAGGTACTAGATCGCTGGATACCAAAGCGATTTACCCGAATTGCTACCTCGTGCGCGGTTTAATTAATCTCTGGAGGCTCTAGCGAGATTCATCTAATAATTTACATTGAAACTTCAGCTTTCGTCTCCAAGTATGGTCGTTTGCTGCCTCAATTTAATCATTTTGTGAGTTTGCTAAACTATGAACTTGCATAATTTTGTGCTCCGCAGTCCGATCATTGTAATGTTTTATTGTGCGTTAAGTTGCAAAAAATACAACTTTTACTAGGGATTTGTCTATCTTAAAAAAAATATTAGAAATATATTTATGAAAGGGTTGCTAAAGTTTAAAAAAAAAAATGTTGCTAAAGTGCGAGAGCATGCGTAACAGCTACACTAAATCTCAGTCTCAATGGATAATCCTCCCTTAATTGCCTAGTATTTTAAATTATTAAAAATCATATATCAATATTAAAATTGTGTTGTGTTTCTTTATTAGTGTGGCTGGTGAAAAGACTGGTACGGTTTGTTCCATTCCAACAAGAGAAATTTGAAAGGGACGGGACACATATATGTATGTACATAATTTTGTTTGGTTTGGTGGTCAATCTCTCATCCCTTTTCAATCTTTTGTTTCTTTGCTTTTTGTCGTTTAATTACCTAATTAACTAATTAACAATAATCAAGATGGATTTGTTCACCCCAAACACACTTTGGAATTGAAGAATTCATATTAACAATCATTAAGCCTAGTAATAATGTGGAATGAGAGTGTGCATCATACTTTAAGTTCGACAATTGAAGTCAATAACCAACAAAAAAAAGACTTAAAATTTAAGAACTCCCACATTTGATTAGTTGCCCCGTGTTTCAAGCAAATGAATTCAAACAATATTTGGTGTATTAAGAAGCAAAATTATATTATCATGAAGCAGTGGCGTAGCGAGAAATTTTGTTAAGGTGGGTCAAACTACAATATAGATCCTTGTGAACGGCTAGCATCAAACATCAGTCGACAAGCTCAGATGTTAGGGAACGCTATCACGTCATATGCGGCATTTTCAAGAAACAAGATGAGGGTTTTTTACGTTAAAAAGGTGGTGAATACGCTTGGGAACGATGAACGACAACGTACAAACCGAGCAACTAGCAGTTGACGGCTGGCATTGATTATTAGATAGAGGTTGTGGCTTGTAGAGATTCGGTAATCCTGGTCCGTTAATAGAAGACAATAGATTGTTGATCATTTGAGAGAGATCGTATTAGGAATTGTGATAGGTAATAAAAGACAGGTGTAGTCGTGTTTCTTGGTTTGATGTAAAAGATACTAATGAATCAAGAAATTAGATGTTAAAACATAAAAATAAAATGACTTGCAACTGAGCAATGTTAATACGTTATAGTGAAAGGGAGGTTGGCATTTCGATAACTCTTATAAAAGTGATATAGGTTTTGCTTTTTTCGTGGTTAGATACTACTTAAGGGCTACTATTAATAATATTTGTTTGTGTGTTGAGCCAAGGTGGTGCAGCCGACCCACCTTGGGCCAACCTGACTCCGCCACTGGCATGAAGGATGGTTGTACATACTTAAAAAAAACATATTCGATTTGAGAAGGGATTTTACAATTTCTCAATACCACATTTTAGAGATTCATATTAACCTCACGATTCATGTCATCAACAAGGATTACAATTGAGTTTGATTTCTTGATTAGTACACTTTGATAGGCATTTTACTTCTTAAAACAAATCTAAGAAGTGAAAATTTGGAGCGAAATTATTTTCCTTCGACAAAAAAATTAAAGTAGCCTCTCTTGCTAAGAAGCCAAATTATTTAGTCAAATACAAATATATAAGAAACTTAGTCAAATACATCAAGTAGGGCTGGAGGTTCGGTTATCAGTTGTCGATTAACCCGATAATCGGCGATTATCGGTCAACCGACTAATCGAAAAAGGATCTCGCGGTCGGTGTCCGGTAGGGGATTGGTTGTGACGATGAACCGGCTAACCGACACAACCAACCCTCTCATTTTCCACAATACGCCCCCTCCCCCCAATTCTTCAGCCCTAACCCTAATTCCCCTTCCCCGACCCCAATTCCCCAATTCCCCAATTCCCCTTCCCTTCTCTGCATCGCGACGCCCAGTCCCTCCCTCCCGAGCTGCGATTGCGAATGGCGACTCCCATTCCCTCGGCCTCCATCTCGTTCTCTCTTCTTCACAGGCCCCAGCCGCGACCAGAGCGACGCCGCGACTAGAGTGTCCCCTGATCCGCCATCTCCCTCGCCGACGAGCGCCCCTGCTCCGCCATCTCCTCCCCGACCAGCTTCCCGACTCGCCGCAAGCCACAATCCCCCGCCGGCCGCTGTTGTTCCTCCGCCGCCAACCACAGTCCCCACCGCTCTGCCGCCAACCATAGTCCCCCGCCGCATTTAGGTGGCCATCAAGGAAAGAAAGAACTCAGAAAATGTCTCTGCTTCTCTCTCTTCTCTCGAACCACTCCCA